GTCCGTTAAAAATTTTGAAAATCGTGCGTAAAGTTCGAAGTCTTGTATTCCTGCCGGTAGAATGAATATTTCGAGTGTGCGCTCGCGCTGTTAAGTCTTCGGTTTCACTCACAGTGTACTAGTGCGTGAGTGTGTTTCGGAGCCTGTTGCCAAAAATCCGGGCCACCCTTTCCGGCCGTCATCAGGCGCAGCCGTTGGCGCCCCACCGGGTGGCCCTCTCTCCCTCTCTCTCTCTCTCTCTCTCTCTCTCTCTCTCTCTCTCTCTCTCTCTCTCTCTCTGAATCTAGCGGCTACGCCCCTGCTTTCGGACCCCACGCCACCCGAGCGTCCCTCCCCGTCCCCTTATTATGTTAGCTACTTTTAATTAAGGTAAACAAAAAATGTGGCCGTCCGGCTGACATTCATTTCGGCGTTAATTATTGCGAGAGTGCACTAAAGGGCGCGGGGCCGCGGCCGCCCATGGGCCGCCCGCCCGTCTGCCGTGGGAATCAGGGCCAAAAGCGGCCAAAGCGGGCCAAAGGTAAATGGTTTATGCCCGATGTGGGACTGCCGGGCTGGGCTGGGCTGGGCTGGGCCGGGGCTGCCGGGACGCGGTCCCTGCGGAAGCCGGCACCGCCAGCAGCAGTAGCGCCTGCAACAATCACGTAACGCCTCCAGGGCCGCCGCCAGAGCCTCACACTGGAAAACGGCAATAGCTCAAAAATAGTACGTAGTCGCGGAAATGATAGTGCATTAGGTGTACCTTTTTCTATTCTCTCTGGGTTGTTCTGCGATTCAGAAGACCACACGGCAAAAACAGTGTCTTGGTTTCCTTCCAGGTCCAGGGACCTTCCAGACCGCTTTTTCCAGGGCGTGGGCCTAGAAAACTAGTACACTGCAAAAACGGTTCCTGGTTTGCCCACACCCTCCCTGGAAATCGCTCATGTCTTTATATAGACTACCTGGGACAACCTGGGAAGACCTGGGAGCGTTTTTGCAGTGTGAGTGTTTGCCGTGACGTCACCGGACCGGTGGAGCGGTTGCCTGGAGCGAACACGTTGATTCGAAAGGCCACTGGATGACTCCGTGTTTACGAATGCAGGTCGAGGGGCTATTTCAGGACCTCGGAAGTGCCACCGTGTCGCCGTATCGTGGCAGAGGCTCGTTGTCGATTGGTTCATCGCGCCTCCGCGACCTTCGCGCATGTATAAATCTAAATCCGTGGCTGTCGAGGCCGTGCCTAAATGTCGCGCCACTGCGAGCTATTCCGAGCGTGCAGGCCGCTGCAAGGGCTGAGGGCGGAGGCCTGCAGGACAGCCTGCCTTGGCCATGGCCTGCAGCCTGCGCACAAAGCGATGCCAACTGAAGCGGAGACGGCCGAGCCAAGGCCGAGCCATCCCCATGGCCGAGCCGTCGCACAGTGGGCCAGAAGACCGGTGGAGGCGGCCAAAACGCTACACACGTTTTGAGCTCCAGAGTCGCTACATGGGACTCGAACCGAACGTGTGACCCCACCAATGGATTGCTCTCCGAACGAGGAATCCATTGGTGGGGTCACACGCTCAGTTCGAGTCCTGTTTAGCGACTCTGGAGCTCAAAACGCGCAATTGAGTTTTGACCGCCGGCGCCGGCCTTCTGGTCCACTGTGCATCGCCGAGCCATCGCCATCGCCATGGCCCAGCCCTTCACACGACGGCTTTTATATGCAAAGGGCCGTGCCTTTTTCCGCCTCGCTGTCTGTCCAGTTCCAAGAGGCGACCGACAGCCGATGGGCAAGCCGACGGGCAGGCGCTGACGTCATCGCTCTTTTTAAAAGAAGCGGCAATCGGAGGAGGGGGGCAACCACTTGGGTGAAACTATTGAGTGGTGCGTTGTGTCGGGTCCTCTGTGTGTGTTTGTTTTTTTGGATGCTCACACGTGTTTGCGTGTGAGTGTGTGTGTCAGGCCGTATTGGTGTGTGCCAGTGTGTGTGTGTGTGTGTGTGTCAGGACGTATTGGTGTGTGTGCCAATGTGCGTGTGTGTATGTGTGTGTGGTGGTGTGTGTGTGTGTGTAGAGGGGTGTGTGTGTGTGTGTGTGTGTGTGTGTGTGTGTGTGTGTGTGTGTGTGTGTGTGTGTTTGACCGGGTGTGAGCGCGGTCCTCACCCGATCACGCCTCCGCACTCATCTCGGCAGCCAACGTGACGACACCAGCTGCACACTGAGCTGCCACTCACCAGCCATATGCCGTTTGACCTGTGCCATTTTCAGCCCCCCAGCGGCGCAGCGGCGCCTTATATTTTATTTATGAACACGGCGGAGGGAGAGAGGGAGAGAGAGGGGAGGGGGTAAAAGTCGCGGGAGGCGAGGGCACATGCTTTAACCTCGGTTACGATCTGCATGTAGTGTGTGTGAGTGTGTGTGTGTGTGTGAGAGAGAGAGAGAGAGAGAGAAGAGAGAGAGAGAGAGAGAGAGAGAGAGAGAGAGAGAGAGAGAGAGAGAGAGAGAGAGAGAGAGAGAGAGGCTGTATTTCTATGCATGCATGCAGAGTGCATCTTTGTGCATCTACCTCAGAGACGTCGCAAGCCTGGATCGGAGCGCAATACAAAAAATGATTTTTTTTTTCAACTAGGGGGTTGGGCTGGATTGGGCATCCTGATCCAGCTCTGGGCTTTCTATCGGCGACGAATTAGCGAAGCGTTATTTTGCAGGCGCGGATAATGATCCAATTACCTGTGTTTTCATACCAACAGCGCGATCACCACACAGACACACACACACACACACACACACACACACACACACACACACACACACACACACACACACACACACACACCGGCTCCAAGAGTCGTCTTTCGCGCGCGCGCGCGTGTGTGTGTGTGTGTGTGTGTGTGTGTGTGTGTGTGTGTGTGTGTGTGTGTGTGTCGCCCTCTGCGGTGGGGTGGTGGGGGGTGGTGGTCCAGGAACAACGCTCGGCGCTGCACACATCCAGAATCCATTACCCAAACCGCGTCAGATGAGCCTCTGGCTGCCTCTGGCTCCGTTAGAAGGGAGGTGGGGGGGGGCGGGGCGTGGGAAGGGAGACACTCCACTGCCTAATTTCCGCCTCGCAGTCTCCCTTCCAGTGTCCCAGTCGGCTGGCGAAGTGGCGAGGACGACAAGGAGGCCCATTCTGTGCCTCGCACTGCCTCGCCCCCTCCGGTCGCACAGTGGGCCAGAAGGCCGGCGCCGGCGGCCAAAACTCTAGAAGCGTTTTGAGCTCCAGTGTCGATAAACATGACTCGAATCGAACATGTGACCCCACCAATGGATTCCTCGTGCGGAGAGCAATCCGTTGGTGGGGTCACACGTTCGGTTCGAGTCCCATTTAGCGACTCTGGAGCTCGCAACGCGTCTGGGATTTTGACCGCCTCCAGTGGTCTTTCTGGCCCACTGTGGGTCGCACCGCCGTGCCGTGCCGTGCCAGCCCACAGCCGAGCCGCAGTCCGGCAGTGCTGCCACACAAGGACACCGAATACACCCTCTCGATGCATCCAAGTAATCGATTATATTGAATCGGAGTCGCCAGAGTCCGCCCTTTTACAAAGACGCATCTTTCCATCTCGGTGAAGCGCAGAAATTTCCCCAGTGACCCAGGCTAGGGAAGGGCAACCCCGTCGACCTGAAGTGCTTGGAGCGAAATGTCCTTCGGATTGCACCAAGGTGGCAACACTGACCTCCGTTTTCGACAGACCCCCACTGCAGGCGTCATGTCCCCACGTCAGCGCGTGGCATGTTCGCGTGAGTGTGCGTGCGTGTGTAGAGTGTCACTGTGTGTGCGTGTGCGTGCGTGTGTGTGTGTGCGTGTGTAGAGTGTCACTGTGTGTGCGTGTGCGTGCGTGCGTGTGTGCGTGCATCCCTAATGGATGTTCACACGCCCCATAACAAGTCAGGTCACCGCGTCCCTGTCGTCTGCCCCTTTCTCCTCGTTCTTTCCTTTCACGTTTTTTACATTTATTTATTCATGCTCTTGTCCGTGCTCTTCGACTGTCAGCGCTGACAGGGAGGTTTGGCTGGTCCGCGCAGCAGCGGCCTGGGATTTGCATCCCTTAAAAAATGCTACGTCAGCGGTGCACTGTAAAACAAACTTTTCTTTCATATACTAAAAAGTAAAAGCAAAAAAATATATATATTGAAGGTATAATTGTAAACGTGAGAGATCTTCAGGGTGTAAGGTTGCCAGCCCTGCCCAGCACTGGGGAGATTCACTTGACCTGCGGCCAGCAGACTGACTCCTACACTCCAAATCCAGGGTGTCTAGAAACTATACGCCTTAGGCGTATGCCACAGAAAAGCGAGCGCCTTAAGGCGCCTCGATTCTAGACGCCAAAGGCGTATACCCCATTGAGCACCTTGTGCAGATACACTCCAAATCTACACACCCTGGATTTGGAGTGTAGTCGTTTTCCTCTCTCTCGCACCTGCACCGGACGCTCCATAAGAGCGAGAGAGACAGACCAAACGAAAACGACTCTCGGAATCAGTCTGCAGACAGAGAGAAGGCCAGGTCGTTGAGGCGGCTCGACCACCAAAAGCGGGGCGGGCAGACCATCAGGGCCGACTCACCTCCAAACCGCGCCAAAACCGAAAACCGCTGCAAACTTTGCTGGCTGCCAGTGATTCCTCTGCCTCGGCCGAGCGGGGAGCGGGAATCGGGGCGAAAAAAAAAATTGACGGGGCAAACCGCGAAGCGGCGAGTCGAACACGCGGCGCCTGCAGCCCGATTCCGAGAGTCGCTTTCGTCGCTCTGTCTCTCTCGCACTCATGGGGCGTCCCGTGTAAGGTGCGAGAGAGACAGAGCGACGAAAGCGACTCTCGGAATCAGTCTGCTGGCTCCCTCAACGCCAGACTTATTGATGGGAACAGTGTGCGGGCAAAAGGGCGAGCCCCGCGGTGCCCTGTGCGGCGCCCCGCCGCCTGGTCGATTATTTTTCAATCGCAAAAAGGGGGCTGCTGTTGTAACAACGCGCGCAGGGCGTCGACGGGCACTCAAGCACTCACCGGACGTGGAGGACGACGAGTTGGAGCCGCGGCGCCGCGGGTAGAAGGTCACCTCCTGGCGGCTCTTGATGCCGATGTCCGCCGGGTAGGCCGTGATCTCGTCCTGGAACACGAAGGGAAACTTAGCACGAAAAAAAAAACAACAAGTTTTTGCTGTTGTTGCTCTTTTGCATAGCATCTCCCTGCAGTGCCGCCGAGCCGCCACTGCAGCCAATCTGGACGCCGTGTTGCTCGCGCGCAACAGTGTTGCAGTGCACCGACGGACGTGTCGCCTGCACTGTGTTTTCACCCTCCTCCCTTTTATCGCACTCTTCCTCATCCCGGGCCGCGCGCGTGCATCAACGGCAGGCTGCGCGCGCTACGCGTGGCGAAAAAAAAACAAACAACACGGAACAAAAACAAATGTCCATTCACCTTTTCTTTTCTGCTCGGCAGCTCATTTCCATTCGAGTTTTACAGGCGATCGGCTCGGAATATTGAGCAGGTTGGAGTACACTTGCAGCCCCCGAGTAATACCCCGTCAATAGCCGCCGTCCCCCCCCCCCCCGGAGAGCCCCTTCCGGGATGCTGTTTTCAATTTCGCCTCCCTGTTCCTGACGGCGCCTCGGCAGCGTCGGCAGCGTCGGCGCCGCTCGGGGCAGACACGCCACTAGAAGGGGCGGCCTCAGCGGAGCGCGGCGGAGGCATCGAGGCCAAGCCGTCAATTAACACATAGATGGAGTCGGCCTCCAAATAAAATAAATATGATAATTCCGGAGAGGGCAATCGATCAAATGCAAATTAAAAACCTTTCCCGCCCTTCAAAACAAAAAAAAAATAGAGAGAGAGAGAAAGAAGAATAGCTGTGGGTTTTTTCCAGCATATTTTTTTTTCTTTAGTTAGAGAGTAAGAAACGTAAAATATTTACATTTGCATTTTGCAGGGGCAAGCGGGCGGAAAAAAAAGGAGTGAGAGAATCAGGCCAGACTCGCGCCACCCCAGTCGGGTCGGGCATCTCTGTACTTTCGCACCGTCCGGGCTCGGAAATAAGAAGTGGGCCGGGAATGTGGGTTCGTCCGAAAGACTGAAAGACGCGCTGCTCGCGGATTAGAGTCGCCAAGTGCCTCCTCTCTCTCTCTCTCTCTCTCTCTCTCTCTCTCTCTCTCTCTCTCTCTCTCTTTCTCTCTCTCGCAACGCGGCCGCCATAACCAGCCCCGCCTCACGTCCCACAAAGTCACACAGATTAGCACAGTTATAAACTTTGGCGCCACTAATAAATCTGCCTTGTAATATCCCCCCCCCCTTCCCCCTTCTTGGTCGAAGCCCGACCGCGGCTCGTGCTCCTCGCCTTCCTGATCGCGAGCTCGCTGGCGTGTGGCCTCTGGATTGATACTGGGCGCGCTGTGCGAGCTCGACGAGGCCAATTTTGAGCAGCTGGGAGGTATACGAAGCGTTGCACAGAGGGCCAGATGACCGGCAGATGGCCAGAATTCAAGGCGCGTTTTGAGCTCCAGAGTCGCTAAATGGGACCCGAACCGAACGTGTGACCTCACCGATGGATTCCTGTACGCATGTAGTAGAATTCGAACCCTATGACGAGAATTCGATCAATCGGACAGTGACTGCGGAGGTAGCTTGTCTTACTATGCGGTCCCCTTGAATAGAAAACCATGCCATTTTGTTTCTAGTGCCGTGGTGCGTCGAGGCGCGCTGACTGCCGCAGCCTTCTCCTTCACGCTCGGCGGCGCGACGCGGGAAGCGCCTGCAGCGTAGGCAAGCCGAGGCACTCGCAGACACGCTCGCAGACACGCCTGTGCGGCGGGCCGGCCTACGCTGCAGGCGTTTTCGCGCCGCTTGCTCCCTTGCCGCCACGCCACACACACACACACACACACACACACACACACAGAGAGACACGCACGCACGCACACACGCACACACACGAGAGAGAGAGAGAGAGAGAGAGAGAGAGAGAGAGAGAGAGAGAGAGAGAGAGAGAGAGAGAGAGAGAGCCGCGACACACTCCTCCTTTCCCTTCTGAGGCAGCTCGCCACGCCACGCCACGCCCAGGCTTTTGTCCAAGTTTGGCCGATCGTTTAATACCGGAGGGCCTGGCTGGGCCTGGCTGGGCCTGGCTGGGCCTCCAGGGCCATAGGCCTGCCGCGTGGGTTTACGGCGTAGTGCCTATAGCCGCGGCCGGCCGGCTGGGCTGGCGTCGCACGGATCGAATTAATGGACAGGTGCCGGCAGAGCGAGCGAAGCTGCAGACTGATTCCGAGAGTCGTTTTCGTCGCTCTGCCTCTCTCGCACCTGCACGGGACGCCCCATGAGTGCGAGAGAGAGACAGAGCGACGAAGACGACTCTCGGAATCAGTCTGCCGGCAAAGCTGGCAACGGTCAGGTTTACGTCCGCGGAAATGACGTGACAGCGGCGAACATAGAATAACTCCCCCCCCCCTCCTTTTTCCTGTACCACCCCCTCCCCTCGTTCCTTTTTGACGCTTCGTTGCGCTCGGCACAATACACACAAGCCGTCCTGAAGAAATTAGGTAGAAAACAAGACGGGGGAGGTTGGAGGGGGAAAGGGGGGGGGCTGTGAAGTGAATTAACACGCCGTCGGCCACTACAACTTGTGCCATTTCGCCGCGTCCATTCATTCCTCGCCGGCTGACGTGTAGGGTAGGCGAGGTGTGTGTGTGTGTGGTGTGTTGGTGGGCGGGTGTGTGCGTGTGTGTGTGCGCGCGTGTGTGTGGGCAACGTTTACTCGGTGGTGTGTGTGGCACGCGCGTCGGTTGCGTCGCTGTTGTTGTGGTCCGACAGACATGCCGCGGCCTCCGCCCTGTACTGCTGTTGACTGACCGCGCGAGGGGCAGAACTCCGATGAGCGATACAAACGCTTATTATTTTATTTTTATCATTTTTTTCTCTCTTTCTCTCTCTTCGTTTCGACGCGGCGCCGGGCTGTCGTCTCCCACGTGACACGCGTGCGATACTGCGCGTGACCAGATTGTCATTTTTTTTTCGCCGGGCCAAAGTAAATAAAGGGCGGCAGCTGTATTGTGCTCTGCACCAGTGTATCAGCGCGGAGGAAGGGAAGGGCGGACACCACACACCGCACGCAGGCCGTCGCGATGAAACGCCAACAAGACAGCCAAACCAAAATTCAAATTTTAAGTGCCCATTTAAGTGACCCGTACACACTCCTCTCTCCCAAAGCTGGCGAAGGGCATCGCGTGTATTGCTAATTAATCTTGAGAATGCAAGCGTCCGAAGGAAATGTTGCGTTATCAACAAAGCGATTCATCGTGTAAACAAAAAGGAAACAACGCACGGTGGGCCAGAAGATCGGTGGAGGGGAGGTGGCCAAAATGGAACTCGAAGCGAACGTTTGACCCCCCCCCCCCCCAATTCATTGGTGCAGCCACATGTCCGGTTCGAGTCCCATTTAGCGGCTCTGGAGCTCAAAACGGGTCTAGAGTTTCGGCCGCCTCCACCGGTCTTCTGGCCCACTGCGGAACGCCCCCCCCCCTTTTCCCCAGGCGCCGGGCAGGCCTTCTACGTCGTTAGCTCCATCCGAAACAGATTGAATCTCGCGCGCAAAAACTTTGTACAAATGCCGCGCGGCCCAATTAAGTTGCCGCGAGGGACTCGTCCGCGTTGAGGGAAATCGCGCGTCGTTGGCCCGACCGGAATAATGGATCTGCAGACTGATTCCGAGAGTCGTTTTCGTCGCTCCGTCTCTCTCGCACTCACCGGGCGTCCCGTGCAGGTGCGAGAGAGACAGAGCGACGAAAACGACTCTCGGAATCAGTCTGCTGGAATCCGCAGAAACAACTGCTCCCCCCTCCAGGCGCCATCCAGCACTCCGCCTTTCGCCACCGTATTGCCGCCAAAACTTTGGCCAACAGTTTTGTTATTGTGGTCCGCTGGAGAGGCGACGCGCCGCCCGCCGGAGTCTGGAGGCCGATGTAATAACGCCAATGACCGGCACGCCTCCAGACGGCCAGCCTCTGTCGTGTTTTGTGGCCGCGTCGCACAGTGGGCCGGATGACCGGTGGAGGCGGCCGAAATTCTAGACGCGTTTTGAGCTCCAGAGTCGCTAAACAGGACTCGAACTGAGTGTGTGACCCGAATGGATTCCTCATTCGGAGAGCAATCCATTGCTGGTTTCACAGGCTCGGTTGGAGTCCTGTGTAGCGACTCTGAAGCTCAAACGCGTCTAAAATTTTGGCCTGCACCGGACTTCCGGCCCCAGCCCACTGGGCGTCATGTTCGCCACTGCAAAACGTGGCTCCGTTTTCGTTTTTGTCACTGAAACAAAAGTGTTGTTTTTGTTGATTTTTTTTTTGTGTTTTCCCGCGCGTCAAGTGCGAGAGGCGGGAAATCAAATCGACATCCAATCGGCGGCGTTATTCTGTTTCCTCGGTGAGGCCTGCGGTGTGGCGGTGCGGCGCTGCGGTGCCCTGCGGTGTGCTGCCCGCGCCGATTACGACGCTAACCGCGAATCGCCGAATCGGGGAATCGGAGCCGAGGCTGCACAGTGGGCTTGAAGACCAGTGGAGGCGGACAAAACTCTAGACGCGTTTTGAGCTACAGAGTCGCTAAATGGGACTCGAATCGAACGTGTGACCCCACCAATGGATTGCTCTCCGAACGAGGAATCCATTGGTGGGGTCACACGTTCGGTTCGATGCCTGTTTAGCGACTCTGGAGCTCAAAACGCGTCTAGAGTTTTGGCCGCCTCCACCGGTCTTCTGGCCCACTGTGGGCTGCCAGGCCCGGCCAGGCCCGACCAGACCGCCCCGCCGACAGCCAGTGCCAACCTGTCGCGTCCAATGGCCGTCGAGCGAGCCGTCGAGTGTCGGGTCAGTCTCGGGGCGGCGCGCTGTACACTGGTAAAACTAAAGCGTAGTTGTAGGCCTCATTCAAGCCTTGAACGGATCTTTTGGTTGCGCTAGCAAATTGTTAGTTGATCCAGGAAGCGGAAGAAGGGGATAAGTCGAGTTGAATCCGTGCACTTTTGCAAGGCCTAAACCTTGCAGGTGGGAGAACAGGTGGGGAATGTCATCTAAAAATAGATGCAAGAGGATGGGACTTGTCTCACCACACTTATTTTTGGACCGAATTTTCGCTCGTGTTTACTTGATAGACTGATAAGAGGTCACTGAATCAACTCGACTTAACCCCTTCTTCCGCTTCGTGGATCAGTTTTACCAACAAAAATTTCGTAACTCAACCGAAGTTTTCGTAACTCCAACAATTTTTTTCGGTTATCACGGAGTGAACGCACTTTTTGGTTGGGTCAACGAATTCCTTTTTTCCGTTTGGATCCGCCACTGAGTGGTAAGCTCATGGATGGAGGATGGGGCCCTTGGCGGTTCGCCCCGACTCGAGGCAAAGGCAGGCATAGGGCGACCGCCGCGCCTCGCAAAACAAAACCCGGCCCGCCCGGCCCGACCCGGCACGCTCCCCCGAGACCGCGGAGAGCCCTTCGCGTCGGCAAAACACGACGACGGCGACCTGGCCGCCGTTCTTCCGTGCTGTTCAGAGGAGCTCTTCTGTCTCCCTCGCACCCTAATGGAGAGCCCCATGAGTGCAACAGAGACAGATGTTCGGCTCTCACGAATCGCTCGGCAGCTCGCCGCTGCAGTGCAAACCGCCGGCAAAAAGGCCGCGGTCGCCGCAGAATTTTCCGCCAAGTTTGAACCGCAGCGGAGAATCCTCGCTGGGGAACAAGAACACCGGTCGAGGACGACGATGTCGCGGAAGGAGGCGGGGAGGAAGAGGAGGTTGAACGCCGTGTGGCCGCCCGCAAGGTAGGCAACAAGTCCAACTCTGTCGCTGTCTTAGGCAAGGCAACTTTCGCGACGTCACCCCCCCCCCCTTCTGAACCCGCCCCTGGACAGTGGCAAAGCAAGCGCAGCAAGGCGAGTCTAGGGACGGTTTGCTTTTTGCTGCGCCTTCCTCGCTTTGGCCGGCAGGGAATCTGAGCGACTCTGGAAGACGCGCGCTCGCGCGTGTCACAGTCACCGCAGGCCCAGCAGGGCCGGCAGCAGACTGATTCCGAGAGTCGTTTTCGTCGCTCTGTCTCTCTCGCATCCGTAAGGACGCACCGCGTGGGAGAGAGACGGAGCGGAGCGACCAAAGCGAACTCTCGGAATCAGTCTGCCGGGCGGGGCGGGCAGACCCAGCAGGGCCGGGCACAGCTGCCGCGCGCCGTTTACGGCGACAACACGTAGGCGACCTCCACAACCTCCACCTCCATGGAGTCCCTCCAGTCTGCCCGGCTGCCATCCCGTCCGCCGAGGGCGCCATCCAGGACGGGACGTGTCGCCGCCCACCGCACTGCAAGTTGACTATACACCGATAGGCATACCGACTGCACTGCAAACCTTACTGTCTACGGTACTAGGTCAGCGGTTCCCAACCTTTTTCGGTTCGCGACCCCAATTTGTGGCCAAAAATTTCCGCGACCCCACGCGACCCCTCCTTTAGCATGCCTTTGATACAAAGTGCGATAATCCGGCTTAGTTTGGAAGCAGTATTGTCTCAAAGTTGATCAAAACGGTCACAAATGTCTGTGAAAAATCGTGTTTTGGGCCGACTTTAAGCATCTACTGCGTCTGATCCGAGGCGGTATTTCGTCCTTCCTCAACGGGCAATTGGTCTTTAAACCTTTCTTTTGCATGCCTTTGTTACGGAGTGAGATTATCTGCCTTAGTTTGGGAGCAGTATTGCCGCAAAGTTGATCAAAACGGTCACAAATGTCTGAAAAATCGTTAAACGACGCATAAATTTGGGCACCAAATTAATCCTCACCTTTGCGACCTACCTCGCCTAAAATACGGTCCTGATCAAGACTCCATCACTCTCAGTGTTGTTTGTCCGCTGGATTTTTCGGCGGTGTGGCCGTGTCATCCAGCGCGTCCTCTCTCCCTCCCTCTCGACGAGACAAGAAATAATGGCAAACATAATAAAACCGGGGTCCATCCCTCTTGTCGGCGGCGAGGCGTGGTCTGCGGCGCGTAGTACCCGTATGCGCGCCGCGCCGCTATCCGACATGCGGGTCGGGCCGGGCCGGGTCGCGATGGAATAACAACTTGACCGATTCGGTCTATCAACAGGCAAAGTCGCGCTGAAAAGGCCCGGATTATTCTTGTCGGGGACACAAAACATGTGGCTGGGGACGCTCGGGGGTGGAGCAGGGCGGGCGGGGCGGGGCGGGGCGGGGCGGGGCGGGGCGGGGCGGGGCGGGGCGGGGCGGGGCGGGGCGCACAGCCATCAGGGAGCACTAGGGCGAGTGCCGCCGCCCCGTCCCCCCCATAAAGGCCGAGCGGCAGACTGATTCCGAGAGTCGCTTTCGTCGCTCTGTCTCTCTCGCGCCGATACGGGACGCCTCGTGAGTGCGAGAGAGACAGAGTGACGAAAACGACTCTCGGAATCAGTCTGCAGGACAGCGCGGCCGAATCGCCGCCCGGAGGGTAGGCAAAGAGCCTTTCTTTGCCGGGGTAAGTAGGCAGCTTGATGTGGGCCCGCTTCCCAAACCCAGCGAGCTATTTACTGCAATCACGGCGCTGCGTCCGCGACTTGCAGCGCCTCCAGCTCCCAGTGGGCCAGAAGACCCCCGCCGGCGGCCAAAACTCTAGACGCGTTTTGAGCTCCAGAGTCGCTAAACAGGACTTGAACCGATCGTGTGACCCCACCAATGGATACCTCGTTCGGTGAGCAATTCATTGGTGGGGTCACACGTTCGGTTCGAGTCCCATTTAGCGACTCTGGGGCTCAAAACGCGTCCGGGGATTTTGACCGCCTCCACCGGTCTTCTGGGCCCACTGTGCCGCCGTCACATTTATGATTCCACACGGTCGCGCCGGGAAACCCGCTTAAGACCCGCGAGGCGACGGCGAGCAGACGTTGCATATGAATCGTGGGATGCCTCATGATCTCTCTCACGTCGAGACGGTATTACAAACGCTCCGCGGATACGACGGTCGCGCGCAATAAAAAATAAAAATAAATATATAAATGAGTGAAAAATGCAGGGGGCCTCACGCTCCCCTTATAACGTGTACGTCCAGCGGGAAAAAGCAACGGCACTGTCCAGCACACTGGCGAACACGAGACATAAAGCGCAAGGGCCGGACACGCCGACACGGCCGGACAGCCCCAAAAGGTACAAAAGGGGAGCGGGCTGAGATGCGGTTGCGGTGTATAGTGTGCCAGCGTGCGCATAGCGGCGTGCAGCAGAGCAATGGACACATTTTTGCCCCCCACCCCCCTTTCCCCTTTTTTTGGGCTTCTCCCTTTTGTCACTCGACATTTTTTATGACGCCCTGTTGTAATGGTCGCTGTCCTGTTTGCCGATTTGGCTCTGTCGGGTGCAGCGTGCAGCGGAGCAACACCGAAATTCGCGAATGCGTTCTCGAATGCAAGTCACTGTGCTCATTGTGGTCCTTAGCAGTGTAGGCACCCACCATCATCCACTGCAGACTGACTCTTAGATTCGTTCTCGTCGCTCCGTCTCCGTCGCACGCGCATAGGTGCGAGAGAGACAGAGCGACGAGAACGACTCTCGGAATCAGTCTGATGGTTCCTCATCGTCACCATGAGGAACCAGGATGGCTGAGGGGCACGGACAACGGAACCTACTCCACTATTTTGAATTTGTGGAATCATTATTTCCTCGTGGAGTGGCGACATCTTGCGGCAGGCCTCACCCACACGGCTAACGATGCGACGCTGCACCATGCCATCACTCTGTCTCTTTCCCGCTCGCACCCCTGCGAGCCCACCCTCATGAGTGCGAGGGAGACAACGACAGTCTGCTTTCTGCCCCTGCAGACTGATTCCAAGAGTCGTTTTCGTCGCTACGTCTCTCTCGCACCTATACGGAACGTGAGTGCGAGAGACAGAGCGACGAGAACGACTCTCGCAATCAGTGTGCAGGTCGTGGAGGCAGTGGACCGATCATAATGAGGAGGGCGTCGCACCGAGGCCGAGGGTGCGCGGCGTCGCGTGGCGTGTCCGCGTCCCGTAGCGTCCCAGTGCCTCGGTACTGTACTGTTCCAGGGCTCCATGGTTCCGGGACTTGGACGCACACCAACAGCGCGCCGCGTCGCCTCTTGGATTCTCGTTAGCGAAACTTGCGCCAGTTTGATAGTTTTCACGTCGACTAATGACGTGCGACGCAATGGTAGGGCGCCGCCAGTTAGCCCCACCCGTGGTCGAGAGCGTAAAAGCGTCGACTCACAACCCTGACGACCAGCGTTCGACTCTCAGTATTTCCTGAAGTTTGAAACTGGGCGTTGCAGAGTGGGCCAGAAGACCGGTGGAGCGGCCAAAATTCTAGACCCGTTTTGAGCTCAAGAGTCGCTAACCAGGACTCGAACCGAACGTGTGACCCCACCAATGGATTGCTCTCCGAACATGGAATCCATTGGTGGGGGTCACACGTTCGGTTCGAGTCCCATTTAGCGACTCTGGAGCTCAAAACGCGTCGAGAATTTCGGCCGCTCCACCGGTCCTCTGGCCCACTGTGCGTTGTCTGAAACGAATAGACGCAACGTCAAGCAGCTGGGGCACTCACCGTCCTGAAGGTGGTGGGGGCGAGCGGCTGCGGCTGCGCGGCCGAGGCGTCCCTGTCGCGGCCCTCGCGGCCCTCGCGGTGGTCGCAGGGGCAGCGGCACTGGTAGGGGCACGACGGGCGAGCCAGCGTCAGCCCGCCGCGCTTGGGCCTGGCGTCAAGCCTGGCGGCGTGGGGGTGCGCGTCGTCGTGCACGTCCGAGTCCTCGCCGTCGGCCATCTCCAGGTTCTCCCACAGCCCGGCGGCCTGCTGGCGGCCCGAGCATCCCGGCGCGCCGGGCGGCATGCCGTTGCCGGGCGACGTGGGGGGCTGCTTGCCGGGGACGCTGGCATGCCCCGCAGGGTGCGCGGCGCGGTCCCAGCTCACCACGTTCACCTCGGACGCGCAGTGGCGCGGGTAGCCGATGAGCCAGCAGCGGTCGCCGATGACGCCGTTGACGCCGGCGACGCCGTGCACGCCGTTGCCGACGAGGAGGTTGTCGGCGGAGCTCAGCACCTGGTCGTCCGGCAGCACGTGGTGGTGGTAGCCGCCGCCCATGTAGTGCGGCGACGCCCCCGCGCTGCGGTTGCGGTAGTGGTGGTAGCCGTCGAGGTGCGCGATGGGGGCCACGGGCTGCCAGAGCGTGCCGAACTCGTCGCCCGGGTACCAGGCCACGTCCGCCATCTCCTTGGGGAAGGTGCGGTGCCCGAAGCGCGAGGCGTGCGGCAGGGCGTCCCTGGCGTCCATGACCATGCCGTCGACGCTCACGTTGCCGTCGCTCACGCTGGGCCGGCACTGCTTCCGCGGGCCGCCCGGCCCGGCCGGCCCGCCGCGCCAGGGGTGCCCCAGCGTGGCCGCGCCGTCCACCAAGGCGTCGCCGTTCACGCCGCGGCGCTGCGACCGCCGACGCCCGGCCGGCGCCCCGGGCAGCCCCGGCAGCTCGGCCAGGGTGGCGTCGTCCAGCGAGTCCACGATGGCCTTGACGACGTCCTGCTGCGACGACGCTCGCATGGAGCCGGCGTGCGGCCCCGGCGACGCCCCGGACGGCCGGCGTCGCGACGCCTGGCTGCGCGTCACTGGGCGCCGGCCCGTCATCGCGTCGGGGGACTCCAGGCGCACCATGGTGGGGGCCAGGCCCTGCACCTGGCCGACGTCGCGCCGCATGCACCTATGGGCAAAGAAAGTCGCTGTCACTACACTGTGGTTCCCTTCCACTCTCAGGCTAATCGGGACCGCGCCGCAGTGCGGCCTGCACACGCATCCCCGCGAGGAAGGAGGAGGAGGAGGAGGAGGTCATCTCCTTCCCCTGCTGCGGCCGACCGGGCCGCCCCAATCTGCCTCGGCCCTTTCCTCGCAATCACGTCCCGGGGCCGGAAACTTGTAGGTGCAGTCGCCTCGCTCGCCTCGCTCGCCGCGCCACGGGGACGGCACCACGGCCCGGCAGTGCCCCGGACGGGGTGAGGGCGGCCGGGGCGGCCGGGGCGGCCGGGGCCCGCAAACGTGGGTCGGGTTCGCTCGTTACAGGGCCAGTGCACTGCCATGCCAGTGCAGGGAGCCAATCCGAGCGGCGAGCAGCGCGGCGGCTGCAAGCGTCACACCCAGCCCCTCTTGCAGACTGATTCCGAGAGTCGCCGCTCTGTCTCTCTCGCACTCATGGGGCGTCCGGTATGTGTGCGAGAGAGACAGCGCGACGGAAACGACTCTCGGAATCAGCCTGCTGTCTCCTGTCTCCGTCTCGCCCTCCAGTCTTCGGCCCTTTCCGGCCGAGGCACTGCAAGGGATAGGCGTCCCCGAGCCGAGCCGAGCCGAATCGGTGCGCGGCGCCCACGGACGGCACGGCGGCACACGGACCTGGGTGAGCCCGTCTTTTTGGACTTGCCGGAAAATTGAATTAGGGGCTGTGACAGGCGAGTTATTCCGATCACGTTGGCCCCGAGTCGCGTGGGCCGGGCGGGGCGGGGCGGGGCGGGGCGGGGCGGGGCGGGGCGGGGCGGGGCCGTATGCTGGGCCAGGAAGGGGCAGACCGGGGTCGAAAGCCACCGCCGCCGCGACGACCGTCACGAGCACCGCCACCACACCGTGCCGTGCAGCGCTGCAGCATCGCGCAGCACAGTGGGCCAGAAGACCGGTGGAGGCGGCCAAAATACCGGACGCGTTTTGAGCTCCAGAGTCGCTAAACGGGACTCGAACCGAACGTGTGACCCTATCAATGAATTGCTCGTAGAACGAGGATTCCATTGGTGGGGTCACACGATCGGTACGGGTCCTGTTTAGCGACTCTGCAGCTCAACACGCGTCTAGAGTCTTGGCCACCTCCACCGGTCTTCTGGCCCACTGTGCGCCGCGCAGCTTGCAGCATCGCGCAGGCCGCGATGCACTGCCCGGTGGACGCGCCGAGCGCAGTGTGCCTACTGGAAGGCTATTTTTATGAAAAGTCACCCCCTTAAAAATGAAAGGCGCTTCAATAACTGAATTGAGCGTCCATTAGCGGAGAAGCCGCGCCGAGTGGAGTGCGGCTGGCCTCAAAGCGTGGAAGTCTGCGAGGAGAGGGTTGGAAGGGGTGGGGTGGGTTGGAACGAGTAGGAGCGGGTAGTTGGGGCGAAGGAACTTGCAGGAGGAGGGGCCTTCGTCTTCACCTGGCTGCTGCACGTTGGCGGGGCCAGGCGGGGCCAGGCGGGGCGGGGGCACACAGTCGTTGACTGCGCTCCACAATTTTCCGGTCGCCTGGTCCCGACTGGGCTGGACTGGCCTGGGACGCTGGCTGGCCGTCCCTGCAGTCTGGTTCCGAAGAGTAGCTCGCCCTGCTCTGTCTCTCTCTCTCGCTCTCATGGGGCGTCCTGTGTGAGTGGGAGCGAGACGGCGACGAAAACGACTCTCGGAATCAGTCTGCAGCAGCCAGCACCGCCAGACGCAATCGGGTGTGGAGCATGGAGGCCTCCATGGAGGCCCCCGGGGCCAAGCCCGGGGCAGTGGCGGCGGCGTCCCCGACTCCGCCCGACTCCCTGACGGCCGTGTGTCCTACGTGACGGTGTTGCAAGGACCACCTCTCCCGCCTCGCTCTGTCTCTCTCGCACCCGCAGGGGACGCCCTGAGAGTGCGAGAGAGACAGAGCGACGAAGTTCGGAATGAGCCTGCTGGACTAATACACTTGCAGGGCGCGCCCCTCGGCCTTCAGACCCACGACGCGCGTATGCCTGGCGTATGCCTGGCCTATGCCATCCCCACAACGCAACAGTTGCACAAAAAGAGAAAAAGAAAAGGGCCGGTGAGAGGATTTGAACCGGGAATCGTCATCGATCTTGCCACTGGCGGGCACAGTGTCCACTGGAATGCTAAAACCAAGTCACGAGGACGTCCCGTCCGGCCGGAGTTTGGACGCCAGTCTCGACGCCAGTGGCTGCCCCGTGGCGCCACTGCAAAACTTGGAGCCGCTTTTCAGCGAGGAAGTTGCTGCCTCGTCATGGCTTAAGCCGTCGCTGCTCCGTTAGTCCGTTAGTCCGCTACGCCCCCGCCGGGACAGCAGACTGAGAGTCGTTTTCGTCGCTCTGTCTCTCTCGCACCCATACGGGGCGCCCCACTAGTGCGAGAGAGACAGAGGCAGGGCGCCGCAAACGGACCGAAACGGAGGCTTACGAGTGCGTGAAGTACGTCACGGAGGACAGCCAATACCTTCCGAGCCATTGAAAGGGGTAGGGAGGCGGGGCCGAGTGGGAGTACCTCGCATGGCCTGCCCGGTCTGCCGCACTGTAGACGTGAGCAGGCTGAGAAGGTCCTCTTCCGGAGACCAGCCCCCGGGTTCGACTCCCGCCGCTGCAGGCTGATTCCGTAAAGTGCTTGGTCTCTCTCGCACTCGCGGGGCGTCGCGCGTGGGGGTGCGGGAGAGAGACGGAGCTGGCTGGACCTCGCACAGTGGGCCAGAAGACTCTAGACGCGTTTTGAGCTCCAGAGTCTCTAAATGGGACTCGAACCGAGCGTGTGACTCCACCAATGGATTCCTCGTTCGGAGAGCAATCCATTGGTGGGGTCACACGTTCGGTTCGAGTCCCATGTAGCGACTCTGGAGCTCAAAACGTGTGTAGCGTTTTGGCCGCCTCCACCGGTCTTCTGGCCCACTGTGCCTCGCTCCCTCCGCCACCCCTCGTCGCGGAACGCGAAAGGCCACCGCGTCATCGCAGACGTGACCGGACGACGGCCACGCCTCGACACATCGCGTTCTGCCACGAGCCCGCTCCGCCCCGCCCCGCCCCGCCCCGCGCCGCCCGACCCCACCCCGCCCCACGGATCTCGCACACTTGGTATTCTCTGCCGGACCACGGCGGTGGAAAGTGCTGGCAAATACGACCATGACACGTCGACACGTCGGCGGGGAAGGATGCGAAAACAGAAAGGAAACGACGCGAAGCGCCCTTCCGCCGCCCTCCCATGCTTCCGCTGAGTGGCCGCGACGCGCCGCGACGCCACGCCATTGGCGGCAAGGAATGCCAATTTCAATATCGGGCCGGACGCTCGCCGCTCGCCCCGCCAGCAGACTGATTCCGAGAGTCGCTTTCGTCGCTCTGTGCCTCCCGCACTCATGGGGCGTCCCTTCCAGGTGCGAGAGAGACAGCGCGACGAAAAGGACTCGCGGAATCAGTCTGCAGTCCCGCCGAGGCCGGGGCACCACTAGGCACCACTAGCAGACGACAACCCCTCGAGCCAATTGGAACGTGATCAGAGCCTCCCCGAGTGCTTCGTCGCTCCGTCTCTCTCGCACCTGCGAGGCTAGCCCAGACTGGCCGTGTGTGGGAGTGGTGTGGGTGGGCCGTGCCACCGCCGCCTGCTGCCGCCTGCGGCTTCCAGTGGACACAACAATGTGTCTGCCGAGCGCGCAGCGCGCGCCGAAAAAAAGGCGGGAAAAATAAAACACGGACACGGTGGCGGGGGGCGGGGAAGGGCCGCCGGAAGGGACGGAGCAAACATAAATGATGAAGCCACTCACCTACACACACACACACACTCGCCACACACACACACACACACACTCGCCACACACACACACACACACACACACACACACACGCACGCCACACACACAGTGTATCAAAGCACGAACACGAGCACAAACAATAACCGACAGAATGTGTAACGCCGCAAAATATGCTCCAGAGTACTGCATGAGGCGTGTATCCATGCTCCCGCCAGACTGGCGCACACATCCTCGCCATTTTCACCCATTTCTCCTGAGAGTTTACCTTGCCTCCCCCCCCCCTTTTCCCCCTTTTTTTCTTCGTCTCAGTCGCGGACCTGGCTAGCTCGTCATCAGATCTTAAAAGAAAACCGAGGGAACATTATTGGAGTGTTCCGGTGAGAGGAATTGGCAAGCAAAGTCAAACACCGAGGCGCGCGGGAGAACGCCGGCGGCCGGGCCACGCGGCGCCACGCCACCCGCAGACTGATTCCGAGAGTCGCTTTGGTCGCTGCCTCCCTCGCACTCATGGGGCGTCCCGTATAGGTGCGAGAGAGACAGAGCGATGAAAACGACTCTCGGAATCAGCCTGCTGGCGGTTTCTTTTCTCTTTCCCTCGTCCGCCACCTGCCTGCTCCCTCCTCCCCTTGCAGTCCGCGAGTAGCAGCGAGTGGGCGGGCGGGACCCCTATTTTTTCACTCCCTCTTTCCATACCGCCCATACGAGAACACGAGGAGGAAGCGAAGGGAAAGCAGAACGGCTAAGACGAACACGGTCGGCCGAGTGATGCCGAAGTGTCCTTTCGTCTCTCTGTCTCTCTCGCACCGCCGCGGGAGCACTGCCATGAGAGTGACAGATGTGACAGAGGCAGCCGGCGCAGCTCCAGCAGCCCAGCCTGATTCCGAGAGTCGCTTTCGTCGCTCTGTCTCTCTCGCACCTATACGGGACGCCCCATGAGTGCGAGACGCACAGAGCGGCGAAAACGGCTCAAATCAGTCTGCAGGTTTGGTAAGGGAAGAGCAATTTCCTGCCATCCCGGTGGCCTATCCTAGTGAGCCTATCCTATCCGCACGGTGCCCAAGGGAGGCAGTCGCCCCTGCAGCCTCTACCCGCTCCATGCCTGCAGGACTGCAGCCGCGCGCTTCACACACAGAGCGACGAAACGTCTTAGACGGTCAAGTCAACAACACACCAGGACACGATGACTTGCCTGCTGGGGGTGACGACGGCGAGGCGAAGGCGAACCGGCGGCCAATCGGAGAGCCTCTGGCGCCTCTGGCCGTTTGCTTCCGCAACAGCCTCCTTGGCTGCGCTAGCTGCGCTCTGGACTCGGGTTGACGCTTCACGCTTCACGCTTCACGTCGCCGCGGCACGGCATCTCGCTGGCTTGCCCCGCTTCAGACACGCTTCGCCTGGCCACTTGCACCGCTTTATCTTGTCCACTTGTTAACCGGCTCGCGCGAGTTGCGACACGTGGCACGGGCGAGGCTTGCGCGCGCGGTTCGCTCTCGCTGCACGGGACGACCCTCTCCCGAACGCGGCAGGGAGCCGACTACGACCAACCCCCGCCGCTCGCTGCGCGAAGGGGCGGGAGAGGGAAGGGGGTGCGCCGCCTAGCGCCGACACCGGAGGGTGGGGGCTTTGGCAGGGGCGGGTACCTGGAGAGCGGAGTGACAGGGACCGGCGAAGGGTAGGCAGGGTGGTCTTGCTACCGGCGATTCGTCAGCTTACTCTACCATTTACCATCTCAATTTCACCGATAAAACTTAGCCCTCACTTTATTCTTTTACTTGGCTGTTGGGATTGGCGGGGAGTTCGGTACCGAATCGAATCGAAATCTTGTCTGATTCGATTCGATGTTAACTTTGCTCAGTTCAATCGCGAATTTTTCGACGGACAGATAAGGGGAAATTCCATAAAATGAGAGAAGCGTTCGAATCGGCATCGAATCGCTCATTAAATTTCCTTTTAAATTCGATTAGAAAAATAAATCATGGTTCGAATTGGATTCGATTTGAAACGACCTGATACTTGTAAGCCCAACTCAAATCCAAATGTGATTTCGTCTTAATTTATTCAAAATCTTTTAACGCCAAGCTATTTTTGAATTATTTTTTGAAAGAAGTACATAGAACCTTTATCCGAGACAGTATCACAGTACTACGGTTTTAAGTGTTTTACGATTTGTATTTGGCGCTTAAACAGTGGTGGCGCCTGGCGCCTGGCGGACAAATGGTGAACTACTGCTGCAGCTGCACCCCCGCCGCCCTTGAGTTTATTTGGATACAGGGATAACATACAGCAGAAGAAACCTGATCAAAGTGTCTCCTACGAACCATCAGCAGCCTCAGAAACTGAAAATTGTGTGCTTGAAGTCTCTATCTTCAACCCTGCCTTACTCTCGCAAGATAAGAAGCCCTGTTATGTCAAGACAACAGAGTGTCTGACGTGTGAAGAAGTGGACACTAACCTCGTTGAAGTTTTACTTCACTTTTATTAATCCTAAACAATGATGATTTCTCTCAAAACGAGAGGATTACGGTTGCCAACGGAGGGTATTAGGTGCTTTTCTGTTAGATCCTCGCAATGTCAGAAGTCTCATTATGATACGTTAAAAATTTCTCCAAATGCTAGCCAAGCTGATGTTAAGTCAGCATACTATAAACTTTCCAAGCAATATCATCCAGACGCAAATATAAACGACCCTACCGCTACTGTAAAGTTTCAAGAAATAAGTGAAGCTTACGAAGTTTTAGGAAATGAAGATTCCCGGATGCGGTATGATAAGGGAATGGCGCCTCTAGATCGCATGGCCTCAGGGACAAGGAAAGCTGGCTTTAAAGTTCCAGAAGATCCAAGAGCAGCTTTTTACAAATCAAGACTTCAGAACAAGATGAAAGTTCCTACAACTGGACGAATTTACAACTTTGATGATTGGACCAAAAACCACTATAGTGCATCTATAAAGACTAACAGGGATTTGCGGAATCAGGCAAGGACAGCTGTCAAACGAGATATACAATACTCAGATACTGAAAATGAGAGACGAATGGACAAGAAACTTGTGATGCTCGAAAAAAGAGTTGCCATTACTTTAGTTTCAATCTTTCTTTTTTTGGCAGTGTTGTATGAGTTGGATCAACCAGACACTCCTAGGCCATTAAAGTAATTTTGGATGTCTATAGAATCTGTTTTCTTGTGTAATAATAATTTGTGGTTTTTTTGTTGTTGTTTTCCATCTGTTATCTGTTGTACTACTTTTGTGTGCACTGTGTGCATATGTATGATTAGAGCTTGATGCCCACCACTCAGGGCAGAGGTAATACTTGATGGCTGTGATTGTGCAAGTTTGTATTCAAATGCAAAATACACACAAATTATCAGTTGCTTTGGTTGTTCATGTTTAGCATCCTTATGTCTCAGTCGCCCTAATAAATGAGAGAGCAGGTGGAACAATAATTACAAGATCACTAGACTAAAATTAAGATATTATTACATACATCACAATCGACAACAATACAATAAGATTGAAAAGCTAGTAACATGGCAAAATACACACAAATTATCAGTTGTTCCGGCTGTTTATTTTTAACATCCTCACATCTAGATCGCACGAGTAAATGACAGAGGAGGTGGAAAAATTAATTACAAGACCACCAGATTAAAATTAAAGTACTGTAATATACATCACAACAGACATTTTGATTGAAAAATGTTGAAAAGCTAATAACGTGGTGTGGGGTACGGCAGAGGCATGTTGAAATTGCCCATTGGATATGGAGCACCACCAACAGGAGGGGCTGGTGGATAATATGGCACATTTCCGGTAGGGAATGTGGGATAGGGGGCAGGTCCTTGAGACGGTTTCTTGGTGAGCAGGTCAGACATCTTATCTGCCTTGACCCGGCGCAAATGCATTATCTTCCTGGTAGTCTGGAACTGGTCTAAAAAGGCATCCACATCAATTTCACCCTCTAAAAATCTTTCTGCCACTTTCTGCAAATAACATAAAATACAAGTTTTTATACATAAATTTTAAAGAAACAGGTGGAGGGGACCACTTAAGAAAGCCATTGCCTTTTTTTGAAAATACCTCTGATTCTTCCTCCATTTCTGCAGCTGCTGTTTGCAGAAGAGCCAGAACTGTCTCAGAATTAGTTGAACCAGACTTTTCTTCTGCAACACAAGAGTAAATTCAAGAAATTGAAATCGAACGCATCAACTTTGCCAAAGTGTCATCAAGGAGGAAGATATTACTCACTAAGCTGTGCTGCAAGTGCTTCTATGCTCTCCAAAAGTTTTTGTCCTTGTTCACTAGACTGCTGCAATTGAAGTTTCCCTTCTGTTAATTGCCTTTCCCTTGATAAATTGAATTCAGCTAGAGATCTGTTGCTCGCCAGGATCATCTCTTTCTCTGTAGTAATCTCGTCCAATCCATCAACCTGAAACAATAGAACGAAGCAGGGATTACAGTATTGTGGAATCGTCAGTACAAAAGTTTTGAGATAGTGAGAGTGCACTCCGATGACAAACTCTGTGTGTCTGCTAACCTGTTTCGTATCCCTCAAGAAAGTGTCAAGCTTTGCATCGTCGTCCAAGAGCTCCTTTAGTTCATTGTTGCTTAAAGTTTCAAACAGCGCTATTACTTTCGACAGGTCTCGGCTGTCTCGGCCGAAGTCATTCGGATACATGTTTCTTCAAGGACTGACAATATAAAGACAAAATTCAGGAAATAACTAGAGTCAAAACGAAATGGCCCTATCTGTCATTCTGCGAACATGCTAATAACAAACAAAAACATGCACAACAACAACACATAAAAACAAGGTGTACACCCTACGAAATAAAATTTTAGTTTCAGAGAAAATCTTGCAACGATGAAATCTGAAGAATCGTATTCAAATAAACTAAAATTACTTTGAATAAGGATATTATTACATTCCAATCCATTGTGATTCGTCAATATTGAGTGTGGTAGTGCGTGTTTCAAGGCACTAGGTTGGTTGACTAGATGTTTGCGACTAGAAAATAGAAGGCAGTGTTTATTTTCTTCTTCCACATGGTCTTCTCCCAACATTTTCCGACACTCGCTGAGCAATTCTATCATGACGTTGTGTGTAATGGGATGATTGCTGCCTGGTGATAAGAACTGATAATCGTGGTGTTATTTTTCCTTTGTCGCACGGTTTCGGAGTTTCCAGCGTTCATGCTGGTGGATCTCTTCGGTGAATCTTGGGTGAGTTCATGAAAGAAATGACGAACTCCTAGTTAGTTTCAAGGCTGCTAACTTTCGCTCCTATGACAGTTGGGTGGTTATGGATTAATTGTGATTCCAGTTTGACATTTCATTTATTTTGCCGTCTCGATTTTCGGTTATTGATATCATGTATATGCAGAGCTACCTTGTTCGCTTTCTACCACATCATAAGAGAAATTTGGTCTCATGCCCCTATTTTGCCCCAGCATTGTCAAAAGATTTTTTTTCGAAAATTGTTGTTTTGTTCAGATTTGTGCCCCTATTTACTTGTGAATGCACCCCTTCAATTTCTTCCACCCTTTAGTTTTTTCTTTGGTCTTCTTAAATATTTGCCCTTTTCTCTGAAATTAGTGAGCACTTTTGTTCAAACAGTATGACGACAGATTTTTGTTTCTTTATGTTTTACTCTAGATTAATTATATTTCACCTGAATACACATTCATTAATTACATTCATACTCTTTCTTATGTTAGTTTCATTCTAATTGTTAGATTTTGCCCTCTGATAGTAATCACAAGTATCTCGAGAGGTTAGGTCTTTTGTGTCAGCCTAACTGCAAAGTTAGAATTAAACCTCAGTCACTGAACATTTTGTGACAAAACTCACTAGATCCCGTTGATTTAGACTTTTACAACTTGCATTCATTTGGAACTGCTTTAGGCCCTTCTCAAACAAATGTTGTCTTTGGGAGGAGCTTGTTGTTTTTGTTGTTTTAATACTTTTTAGTCAACTTGCTTTCTTCTGTTATGTAGACTGCTGCTGCTCCCTGAATTATTTCTGTGCCCCATGTGACCGTACGGACTCAAACCATGTCAGAACCAGGGAATCCTGGGTTTCATCAACTCAGTGTGACAAGTAAGATATATTATTTATTCATACAAATCTTTTCAATGAATTTTTATCAAGTTATGTTTCAATCAATTATTTATACTAATATTTCTGTTTCTGTCTTCTTTTTTAAGTTGAATGCGCACATCTGAAAAGTTCTGGTGGTTTTCTAAAACCCAACCCATATGTGGAACTGGCTATAGATGACAAGGCGCCACGAAAGACTGAGGTAGTTAAGTGCACAATACAACCAAAATGGAATGAGGAATTCACTGTGTAAGTGTTTCACATCTTAAAAAATAATGTTGTTAGTGTACTTTTCACAATGAAGGATAATAATAATAATATTTTAACAATTATAGGCTGGTCACTCCTCACTCGCTGCTTCACTACCGTGTGTTGGATCATAACTCCTTTCGAAAAGACTCAATTTTGGGTGAAAAGCGCATATGTTTATATGATATATTGCATATGTGTAATGGAAGATGTGAATATTTAGAAATTACGTTAGATCTATACAGAGGTTCCCCAGCTGATAGTCAAAATGTTGCTGCGGTGAAAGTTGGGGAGTTAATCACACTTATGCACGGCCTGAGAATAGACATGGGCTTTGTCAATGCACCGACAGCTGTTCAACCTTCCCTTCCTTCGACCAGATTAGGTGATACAGTTTCAAGAAACTCTGGTGAGTTGTCTTGTCTTAATAATTCACTGAGTGGCAATATCTTTAATCAACATTAGTATTTTACTTAATGTCTTTGTTTTTAGGCTCATGTTCTACCAATGGTGAGGCAGGAGGAGTTAGGGGTGGTTTAAACGGTGTCCGATTTAGAATTCGTCCTCATGGTAATGGAAGTAATATTCCTAATGGGAGCAGCCAGGCTCCAGTTCGGCAAGTTCCAGGGGCTCATTCCCACCCAATAACCCATGCAGGTAAGCAAATGTTGAGTCTGTAGGTGCTTTCATTTCAGGTGCTTGGTGTGCTGACCATTTCATGAGTATTTGAGTTTTAAATCACTGGCCAACATGGTACTACCAATTCTTGCTTTTTATCTTAAGACACGTTCTTAAAGCAATGAACAGAGTGGTTCCTTTTAAATTTCTATGATGAGTTTCTTGTCTATCCTAAGATCTATTAGGAATTATATTTTATTATTTAATGAATACTCCCCCAGCTCACAATTTTTGTGTTCACATTTTGAGAGTGGTGTTACACAAATGTACACTTGAACAGTAAGTATTTGTCTTGTTCGTGTGATAGCTATTACACTGGAGCCATGCCATGAAATCAGACGACCTGATGGATATGAAAGATTACCTTATTCTATCTTTCCACCGGAGACATCTAGACCGTCCATAGGTAGAGTTTTCATTAAAAGGTTTACCACACATGCACCCACACACATAGCTGCTTGCTACATCTCATTTATTACCGATTTACTCTTGTTCTTTTTTTTTTCAATGATAGTTTTAGCTTATTAGTTAAAGTTTATAGTGATATTTTGTAGGTCCAGTGCTTCAATATAGGCATAACAAAAGACTAAAGATATTTGCAATTTTATCTCGAATGTTGTGTATAGTAGATTATCTCAGTTTTTTTGTTTATTTTCAGATCTATCCACCCTAGCGGCTCGAGCTGCTGCTGCTGTTGCTGCTGCTTCTCAGATGTCTCAGGAGCAAGCACAAGCTCAGGCTGTGACCCATCCTCATCACCCTGTGAATGGTGCAGGAGCTGTACATCCTCCAGAGCATCCTGCTGAAGGGGAGTCCAATGCTAGTCCTAGTACCAGTGCCGCAACCATGCCAAACGGAGTTGCACCTGTTGGTGCTGGTGCAACTGGGCCGTGTGTAGACGTGGAGGCCAGAGTCCCTGGTTCCACAGCAACAGTTGAAGAACCTCTACCAGCTGGGTAAATAGAAACCATCATTGGTTCCTTCAAGCAACATTACATAATGCATTTATTTTGGTTACCACTCCTCTCTTTGACTCAGGTGGGAAATGCGCTATGATGTGTATGGGCGAAGATATTATGTGGACCACAATACCCGAAGCACCTCATGGGAAAGGCCTCAACCCTTGCCCCCTGGGTGGGAAATTCGCCGCGATCAGAGAGGGCGCATATATTATGTGGACCACAATACTAGGACTACAACTTGGCAAAGACCTTCAACAGAGCGGTTGCAGCATTACCAGCATTGGCAGGGCCAGAGAGATCACGTCATGACTCAGGGCAATCAGCGCTTCTTGTATCCTCAGGTACTGTATATACTTTCATCATGTATCATCTGTTATAAACTACAATTTTCAAAACTTAATGTTTTAAAATTAACCATTTATCTTTTGCCCTGAAGAACCCAACTACTCCTCATGCTGATTTAACTGCTATTGCTGAGGAGGAAGATGCTTTGGGACCACTCCCTGAAGGCTGGGAGAAACGGGTTGGCCCTGAAGGAAGACCTTACTTCTGCAACCACAAAAACCGCGTGACGCAATGGGAGGACCCGCGGACGCAAGGGTATGTGTTTTGATAGGTTACTGTATTTGAGTTTGGGTCATTGGTACTTCCTACTGATTTCCTTTGTTTTATGAATATCCAGGGAAGAAATGGGTGCTGATGAGCCACCACTCCCAGCAGGATGGGAAATCAGACTTACCGAAGACCATGTCCGTTACTTTGTGGACCACAACAAAAAGACAACAACATTCCAAGACCCTCGCCCTGGTGCCCCTAAAGGGTGAGTTGCAAATCCCACCGGTTACTTCTGATGTTCATGATACAGTTCTGACAAAACAATAATGATTGGTTGATTTTACAGAATGCCTGTAGGTGCATATGGCGTTCCAAGAGCTTATGAGCGTTCCTTTAGGTGGAAAATTAGTCAGTTCCGCTATCTGTGTCAAAATAATGCTTTTCCCAGCCACATCAAAATTTCTGTTGCTCGTCAGACTTTGTTTGAAGATTCTTATCATCAAATAATGAGACTTCCTCCTTATGAGCTGAGGAAAAGATTGTACATCATCTTCAGAGGAGAGGAGGGCTTGGATTATGGAGGTGTTTCAAGGTATTTTTTTATTTTTGTTTTTAGATTTTTTTTTAGAATTGTTGAGTAAACTGCTAATTCTAATCAACTTTTATTTTGTGTTCTCTCCTAGGGAATGGTTTTTCATGCTATCTCATGAGGTCCTCAACCCTATGTACTGCTTATTCGAGTATGCCAACAAGAGCAACTACTCCCTCCAGATTAACCCAGCTTCATATGTGAATCCAGACCATCTTTTGTATTTCAAATTCATTGGCAGATTCATTGCAATGGTATTTACCATTTAAGAAATCATAATTAGTGTTTTATAGTTTTGTGTTGAAGTACGTGCTAATGTATTTCTATTTTGCAGGCACTCTATCATGGGCGCTTCATCTACTCTGGGTTCACTATGCCATTTTATAAACGCATGTTGAACAAGCAGCTTATCATGAAAGATATCGAATCAATTGATCCAGAGTTTTACAATTCTTTGGTATGGATTCGTGACAATAACATTGATGAGTGCGGGCTAGAGCTTTATTTCAGTGTAGACTTTGAAGTTTTGGGACAAGTTATGCATCATGAACTTAAGGAAAATGGAGATAAGGTTCGAGTGTGTGAAGAAAACAAAGAGGAGTACATGAGGTATGTTTCAGAATATTAAATTAAAGTGACTTCTAGTTTGAACATTTTAATTAGTTTGCGTTTTGTACTTTCAGACTGATGACTGAATGGCGAATGACACGGGGCATAGAGGATCAAACCAATTATTTCCTGCAAGGCTTTGATGAAGTTGTGCCTCTAGTTTGGCTGAAATACTTTGATGAGCGGGAGTTAGAATTAATGTTGTGTGGCATGCAGGAAGTAGATGTCGACGATTGGCAAAGAAATACTATCTACAGACATTACACCAGATCGTCAAAGCAAGTGGTTTGGTTCTGGCAGGTATGTCAATTCCTCTAAAGAACTTTCTTGTTGAACTGTTTTACTGCACTTCTCTTACTTAACTGTGGTTTGATGCTTGTTTCAGTTTGTTCGTCAAACAGACAATGAGAAAAGGGCTCGTCTGCTCCAATTTGTTACTGGAACATGCCGTGTACCAGTTGGAGGTTTCGCAGAACTTATGGGTTTGTTAATTCCCTTGTTAATTGATGTTAGTTTGCTTATTACTTTTCGTTACATCTTTGTGAAAAAATTTTTTTGTTCTTGTTTTAGGGAGTAATGGTCCTCAAAGATTTTGTATTGAGAAGGTTGGCAAAGACACGTGGTTACCTCGCTCTCACACCTGTTTCAATCGGCTTGACCTACCCCCTTACAAGAGCTATGAACAGTTAGTTGAAAAGCTCATCTATGCCATAGAAGAAACTGAAGGCTTCGGTCAAGAATGAGCTGGTGTTCTTTTTCCTTTAAGTTCCTTTACCACTTTGGATCTTCAAATTGTGGTTGTTGTATTATTCTTCCTTTAAGGCACGCTTTAAAGTTGCAGTTTTGTTAAACATGAACTTTCTTTATTTGTTTGCTGTTTTTGCACGCCGTTCCAGTGCTATGTAACTCAAGATTCGTTAAAAGTATCATTTGTTATGAAGAATTATTTTGTTGTTTAATGAAGATTCAATAATTATATAATATATATATTCAGTTATGCGTCGTAAAATTTCTTATAAGTGAATGAAATATTTTAAAGGTGTCTACACAATGAACTAACTTGCAGTGCTGTCATTTTCTGTTTATGATTTCAGACAACTCTAAATGAGTTGAAGAAGATTACTGCAGTTATAAAATATGACAAGAAATCAGATGTGATAACTTTATTGTATTATTTCTCTTAAACCTAGTTGAAAACATGTTTCTCAGATTTCACCCTGTCAGTGCTAATGTTCTGTGATTTGTTTTGATAATGTTTTTAAGGAACTAAATGTAAAAATAACATTTAGTTCCTTCCCGATGATCTTTTGTCTGGCTTTACTAGTGGAACAGTCCTCATTTTTTAAGAAAAACACAACATTCATTGTATTGTGTTGGTGACTTTGTTTAGTTTTGCTCTGAGAATGTCATGTTTCAGAAACTAATATTCCTTTCTTCAGTAATGAGACTGGTAAGTAAGTTTTCTTGCCATTGGTTAACATCCCAAAAGTGTAGACACAAGCCTAGCATTGCACTGCTTCTTTCACAATTGGTGTCTGTACTCTAGTTGCTCAGTTCTGCTAACTGCCTATTTCCATGTGGACTTTATTTTGCTTGTTGTACTTGTTTGGATAACTGAAGACAATTTGGAAAACCAGTAGGTAAAATCTCTATAATCTGTCACTTGAAGGTGCATTATGTTTTGAACGTCCTCGTTTCCGTTTCATTGCTTTTTGTCCGGTATCAAAAGATGTCCCAAGCTTACATATATATTCAATAGTCCACACTAATGTGAGCTGATTTCAACTCATCTTTTGGTGTAGGGTCTTTTCAGGATTTAGCCTCTACACATTATGGCACTGTCATTGTTACTTGTGGAAGGAAAGGAAATGGTTGGTCGCTCTTCACTCATGTTGGAAGCTGTGTGAAATCCACTGTGTTAGCTATGTAAATGCAGTGAAGCATAGTTGATTTTTTTTTTTTTTTTGGTAATTCCTATTTCCTTATATTATTTTCTTCCTTTTTTTTCACATAAAAAGTAGCTACAGAAATATGATTGTGTTTGTGGTTTGTGATGACTGATATATAGATTTATATACAAATATATACATATAGGTAGAATTTTTATTACTTGTGAAGTAGAGCCGTGAGCTGTGATACTACTGCAGGCTCTGGTGATGATATGTGAGGCTTGTTAATTGTATCTGTAATCTTCAATTTTTATGCCTTATTATTTGCCAGTTTTTAATGTTACAAAACTAGGGTGCGACTCCCTCTTGTGTTGTTGGAATGATCATCAATAACATGCTTTCTCAGCAGGTCTTTAAATTGGGACTTGATTCGAACTATTATGTTTCTTTCTTTTCCTTAGATACTTTGAATTGTTATCTAATTAGTATGCTGTTGTAGTGAAATTTTACTAATCTATGTCATTGTTTAATTTGAGCATGATTGCGACTCTGAAGGCAACATTGGCCTGTTATTGACGGTGCTTAACAGATGCCCTGTGTTGTTGCAGTTGTCACAATTCCAACATCTTTCCCAGTTTTTTTTTTTAAGACTTCTTTTTTCAGTATCAGTCATGTGGCAATAAATGAAATAATATAGCTCCTTCCAAGAATTTTCTACTCCAGAATTTTTTCAAAGGTTTTTTTACTTTGTGCTGGTAATTTGGATAAATTTTGTGCGATATGTGATATGTGTGTCATTCATTCAACCAGAAGCCATTTTTGGGTATTTTACTTCACTATGAATAGCTTTGAGGCTTTCAGATCCAAACCAATGAGCTGCAATAGGGTTTGGAAGTTGCAACACTTGCTGCGTTACTCATTCAGTCTTGAATAATAATAATGAGAAGAAGAAATCCATTTGGACTTCTTCTACTCTCTTTAAAAAGCTGTGGAAGTATTTGGGTTTTAGGTTTAGGTTTGGGTTTACCATCATCAAACTTGTAACTTGAAAATTACATCTGGATTTGCTGTCAGAAAACTTGTTTTCCTGTGCTCTTACGCCAATGTGATTAAACAATGTAGAAAGCCTGGTTGTATATACAAGATCAAAACTCGTTCAAAAGTGTGCTGAAATTGCCACTGTTAATGCATCTGTTTATACCATGGCACTGTGAGTGTTAATGAATTGTAAATACCGTGGGGATGGGTCAGACATTTCAGACTTTTGCCCTTGTGATAGCAACTGTTTTTGTGCACTTTGAATTGCGTAGTGTGGTGTTAATTTACGCATCAATAAAGCTATCTTTTGTCGTCAGGAACTTGGTAATTAGGTATGTACGTTGATGGATGAGTGCAAAACCCATTTCTTCAAATCAATTCCATCATAAATCTATTGTAAATTTTAAATTTTGATTTTACAACGAAATGCCCAAAGATATTGTACATATTTCATGTAATTTTATCAGAACTAAATAGAAGTAATCACTTGTACATAGTTGCATAGGTTTTTTTTATAATATTTTGTTCATAGGTCGCTGTTTTCTTGACACTTTTCTTTTATGTAAAAGTTCACTTTATTTCAATTGATGTGAACTTTCTGAGGTATACCTGTTTTAAAAATATTTATGTTTCAAGTTGTCATCAGTTTTATAGTTGTTGCTTTTATTTCACATCTTTTTCAATTATTGTTTGCCCTTTAAAATCACTGTTGTGTCACTTCATGCTTTTTACATCGAGTTAAGAGAATCAATATCATGTTGGTCATATCTACATGTATGGCTGTGCCTAAAATGTTTCCAATTCCCTGTAGTATTTATCCATAATATTTGAATTGCTGCTTGAAATGCTTTACATAGTGTACTGTATCTGCCTACCAATTGCTTTTCCTGTTCTTTGTTTTATTTGCGACATGGTCCTTTTAGTGATCTTCAATGACTTATCCAAATCACCTCTTCAGCTGAAAGTGTTCACTCAATCCATGTTTACTTTTCTGTGCATGATGGAAGAATTCATCCTGTCAGTTGCATCTTAATGCTTTATGAACTGTGTACCCTTAAAATCTGGTCTAGTCTCTTAATCTATTTGGGTAATTGTATTGGTTCAGAGGTGCTGGATGATGTATTTAGTTCATGTGGGCCGAAATTAAACACACCTTTACAAATTTGAAGAGCAGCTTCACAATAGTATTCTTTTGTTGTAGCAGTATTGTATTGTTTTATTCTGAACAAATTTAGGTGTATGTCTACTCAGTTCAAACCTCATCAAATAAAGTCTACTGATAAGTGTGTTTCTTTGATGTGTTGCTTCTATTAAATATCTGCGCTCATTTACCTTGGAGGTACAGACAGATTGAGTTTCTGAAATAGGGGCCACAGGCATGTGTATGTATAATTTTAGATATAGTTAATTGTATAAAAATGAATGTAAATAAAGAAAACTGTTTAAAAAAATATGTTTTATTTACAATACTTGCAGAGCAGGCACATTCAACCAAACCGATACCAATGCCTTAGGGTAGTGCCAAAAAGAAATGCATTTTGTCCTCTTTGGACTTACGTGTTCTAAGAAAATATTCATTCTTATCTTACCCTTCTGTCTTTTCTTTATACTGTATGACACCCTTCTCAATCATGTCAGGAATTTCCACAGCTAACCAGGGTCCAAGCTAGAAAATTTTTTGAAATAAGAAAGGGTAAAATGAAAATGAAGTGAAATGATGCATAAATGATTTCAATTCTTACCCCAAGAGCCATAGCATGAGCGATACCAAATTTAGGAACATTTCTTGCCCAGAGGGGCTTAAAATGGTCTGTCAGACAAATTTTTCCACCCCTGTACATCTTAGCAGTTTTGCCATCCAGCTCTGGTAATGCTATTTCTGGTGCTGTTGAAGGATATGTCACCGGAATCTGAAACATTGTTTGTTGTTGTTGTTGTGTATTGCATGATTTGGGAAGATTTTTGGTCTTCTTCTGAACACTTAAATAGTTACATAAAGGTTCAAAAGATAATGTCAATCAAACTCACATCAAATTCAACATCAAACTCATATTTCAGAAGATTATGTATATACCAACACTTTCCGAACCAACGAGTCCCTTGTTCGTTAGACTCTAGTCTGAACCAATCATTGTCAGCACTTTTGTTGTTTTGAACGTACTGAAACAAAGGCAAATATCAATCAGGAATGGGCCACAAAACTATGAACAGTGGGCAAAATGACAGAGAACAAAATGACAGAAAGCGTGCAATATTGAGCAGAACTGCCGTTGTTATATATCATCACGACCATATGGCACACATTGACTTGACCGTCAAAGGCTGGACAGGCTAAATCCTAAGAATATTGCTGACGTAACAGTCGCATAACAAAATATTCACTCGTTTGCGGACTGCAAGTGATGAATACACACATGACACTTATTATTTACCTGAATGAGAGCTTGATACTCTTCTTTCAACCTCTGCACCCATAGTTCTTTCTCACGGGGACCCGCTTTAGTTTTTAACAGAGGAATACAGCTTAGAGTTTTTCTCGTCGATTCATCAACCATCTTGCCTTCAACACTACAGATCAGGAATACGAATCAGTAGATGTAAAATTTCAACTAAACCCTTCGTCTGCTTGAACACATCATCAACCCCTGTAGAGTGAGAGGTGCTGGAAGACAACATCAACATAGGAAAGCTGGAGTGGGGATGGTTGCAGCAGGTGCTGGATGAGAACAGCTGATTGGTCGCCGGGGGATCACGTGGGCTAAAATGAGGGAACGGTGAACCGGAAGCGGACTGATCGAACCCTTTCGCAAGTGTTTTGTTCATTCCTTGTTTCAGCAGTTACCGGCAAAATGGTGGATGATGAAGACAACGGCATTGCTGGAGCCTTAAAAGATCATATTCTTGAAGTGATATTTTCTTATCTGGACTTACACGATTTAAGAAATTGTTCTTTAGTGTGCAAGAATTGGTATAGGATCCTGAATGACGAGAATAACGACGTGTGGAGATTACATTGTGTCAACAAACTTGCCGAGGACGCAATGACGTCCGATTTGTTGTCGTCTGTGCCAACGTACAAGGCGAAACTTCGAGGATTCTATCATGCTTGGAACCCACACGACTGTTCCAGGAATGTGTACATAAAACCTAACGGGTTCACACTTCATCGAAACCCCGTCGCACAGAGCACCGATGCGTCAAGAGGCAAAATGGGGTTTCGACACGGTAGACACGCCTGGGAAGTGATTTGGGAAGGACCTTTGGGCACTGTCGCTGTCATTGGAATCGCGACGAAGGAAGCTCCTTTGCAGTGCCATGGGTACGTCGCCCTTTTGGGGTCGGATGACCAAAGTTGGGGGTGGAACTTGGTTGACAATCACCTTCTGCACAACGGCAACTCACAGGGCAACTACCCCCTCCTCAATAACGCCCCCAAGTACCAGGTTTGTATGTCAACATAACCTAAAAGTTGCGCTGAATGTTTTTCAAAGGTCTGCCATCCCCTACTCAGTTTTTTTAATGATACCTTTGTGTTGTTATTCTTAGGTAGGAGAAAGAATTCGAGTAATTTTAGACTGTGAGGACAACACTCTTTCATTTGAGAAAAATTATGAATTTCTGGGTGTAGCATTTAGAGGTTTGTACTTTTTTTCCTGCTTGTTTACTAAACACAGCTTTGTTTGTGACTGCATACTGACATTTTATTTTTTTGACAGGGCTTCCAGGGCAGCAGCCTTTATACCCCGCTGTGTCAGCAGTCTATGGTAATACTGAAGTGTCAATGGTTTATTTAGGTCCTCCTATGGATGGCTAGGTGTTTATTTTTAAAATTATAGAACATTGTGTCTATTGTTTTTGAGAGTGACTTGACTAGAGCTAACATATTTTGTAACATCATTTTGACAAGTAAAATAACATAAGGAGGAAAAAGTTATCTGATATAAGGCTTGTTACGACTTATCTGGTCAGTTGTTCTTTCCCAAATTGACATGAAAGATATCTCTGGTGTTGAATATCTTACTCATTAACGTTTTTGATACAATTCAGACACAACTCGATAATTTATGCTGTTCTTAGTGTACAACCATTGTTTTCTTTCTGTGTTTAACTATTTTGTCCTATCTATCTAGTGGAGGCTAGTCCAAAGTCGGAGAGCAGGGTATGGGACATTCATTAGTGTATCATTGGGAGGAAATTTATCTCACCAACTCATGTTGTCATTTTATTCTAAGTGTACTTGAATCATGTTTCTGTTTTAAGTTTGCATCAGCCCAAACTTAATAACCTTTTTTTTTTAAAGCATCTTATGAATAAGGTATTTTACACTGTCAAAATGTATGTATTTGTCATTGCATCAGCACCTATCACAACTTGATTCACACAACCCTCTGTTTTCCTACAAGGTATGCAAATATTTTTGAGAAGTAGGATGAAATCAGTAGACTTATTCACTATGTTTTTGTGGCATCTGTTCATTTGATTTTACTTTTGAACTGTATTAAATCGGTCGGGTGTTACCCTGAAGAAGTTAAGATGGCATTGTTACTTTGTCACTCTGATATTATGTGCTCCATTCAGCAATTTAGCACTGAGCCATTTTGTGTACCATTTGATTGGTTCTTGCTTTTTTTTTGTTGTTTCTATACCAAAGATAATAGTCAGGGGTTTGTGATATTTTAATGAATTGTGGTTCATAATAAGTTACATGATTGTACTGTACATAATTTTTTTTTTAAATTTATGTTTATTTCTTGGTGTTTTCATACCTGCCTGTAGATCGTATTGAACAATGTTTTTCCAACTTTACTAAACGACTTCGTCGTCAAGATCTGATCCCTGTTGCTTCATCTCACAGTTAACTGTGTCCATGGATTTACCTTAGCCCGTGTTTGTCGTATAACGTTCTGTCATTATCTTGTTCCAAATCATTTGTCTATATGGAATGTTTTGATATTTCTTATGATAATTGTGGTTATTTATTTTTGTTTGTAGACAGTTTTGTGGTCATTCTGTTAAAGCACTGGGTGGCAACGCCCTCCACCTTTCTTGACGCCAAGTCCCCCCTTCCCCCCCTTTCCACTTAAGTTTACTCCGTCGAGATCCAAAGTACTAAGTCCTATAGGGCTAAGCTGTTTTGTTATTACAATAATATGTGACTTGAGGAAGTGTCTAGGCCAGGTTCCAACTCATAGGCTCAAAAACTTTTAAACACTTTTCTTGTACCCAGAATGAACTTGGTGTTAGAATAAGTGTACAGCGTTGCCACCCTGTGGTTAAAGTAGAACAGTTCTGTGGGTAACACTATTTTGTAACTACTTGGAGACTGATGCTATCAAATTTTCTGCTTGAGCAACTCCTCATTTTAACTGTTCTTTCAGGTTGTATTGTCCCTTACAACCTGTCTTCCTTTTCCTGTAGTATTTTGTTTCTTGGGGACTTATTCGACCAAAGCCTTAAGATAGTTTTAACATTTTATCAATATTATTGTAGCATTTGTGATCCTAACTCATCATTTCCCAATCCCTTCATTCTAAATCTGTGGCGTATGATATATGTAATCCAAAGATTTATCTGTGAATATGTATATAGTCATTACCTGTAATTTCTCCCTTTTGTGACATTCCAGTCTTAGGTACAATGAAATGTCTTAAAATTTGTTACCTGAAGTTACCTTCAAGATTAAAATAGTAGTGAAACACAAGAGTGGTTTTGCTCTTGAGTGCTCTTTAAGCTTGGATGTTTTATATTGTTTTTCTTTTTTTATTTCACATTCCATTTGACAGAGGACTACTGCTCCTCCCATCACTGGGCTGCTTTCCTAGAGCAATTCTAGTCATCCTTCCTCCATTTCACATCAAGTCATGTCAATGATGGATCTCTATTTAATAAATGCATCCATCAAGTAATGTCCTTAAAAAGTTTGTTAAGCCTGTTTAGTTCAAAATATTTTCTTGTGGCTCTGCCACGCAAGTCAGTTTAGTTAACATTTCATGACTGTCAATAGGATGTGAAGAATAGTCAGCATCATGGTGTGCATGTCTTGTTGTACAACACATTTTGTGTATAGTATAATGCACTTATTTTTTAATGCTTCAATCGTGTTAATAAATTATTGTTGTTGAGACAGTTGATTATTATTCTCCCGGACACAAACTGAGAACAGTAAGGAGGTAGTTACAGAGCTATGGATTGGGTCTACATGGGTGTACCTGTGGCTGACAGAGAAAATGAGTGAGATAAAAGAAAACTTAAAAAGGTAGAAAAACACTTTTAATTTAAAAGAAATACAAAATGAACACAAAATTATGACAGCAGCCAGTAATGTGGTTAAAAATTCATTGTAATACAGCTCAAAACCTATCCAATGTGTCATTTCAGAAATTAATTATGTTCTCATTATTTTAAATAAAAATTATTTTAAATTGATCAATAAAAGCAAAAACACTTTAAAACATTTCATCAGAATCAACCATTTCATATTCACAATTACTGTCAGGCGAATCTGACTCCAGGTCAGGCCTCACTTGTTGACTTTTCTCATACTTATCCAAAGGGCGCCGTCTCAATTTCAAAGGAATCTTCCTTATTTCTGAAAAAGAACAAAGCATCTCATTGGCATCACTACCCATTAGGAGAATTTGGCCAAATTTTGACAAAGATGTGATTTTATGTGGGAGGCAATACCTTTATTAAGGGTTTTTAGAGTATCTTCACCCTCTGAATCACTGCTATCTAGGTCTATTGCTTCAAGGTCGGGTGTTAACCAAGCGAACTTTCGAAGTGGAAAGAGCAGCCGCTCCCAAAGCAAACCTTCAAATATCCACAATAGAAAAGGGCATTACAGTATATATGTATGATGAGGTACATTTTATTTTAAACAGAGTACTCACCACTATATGCTTTCCTCATCTTTATCTCTACACTAAAACCCTTGACTACTGATGATACAGAGCTTGGTACAATAGCTCCACGCAGTTGCTGATCAATATGATAGAGTCGACCATTTACAGATGTGCTGCAAACGAAAAAATGATTAAATACCTCATCCAAGAAAACAAAAATATTGGTACGATATGTTTCCTTCATTACCTGAACTGAAATCTATCACATGTCCATTTTAAGAAATAATTTTCCACACCAGTAACACAGATTTTGATCCAAACAAAATAGAGGTCTTCTAGCCACTTTGTTGTTGGGGGACGAGCACTGCACAGTACTGGCAATACACTACGTCCAATATACTCGTATTCTTGCACCTCCCAATCAGAGTCCCCATCCCCATCCGCTTGCACAACATGTGCTTTTTCAGCTTGATGTGTAGGTTCTCTGCTTGCGGCCTTCTTGAGTGGGGGCTGTTGGTGTTGAGGAGCCAAAGCTGAAGCCTGTAATTGTTTAGCTAGTTCTTCTACCGCTTCTTTATTCTCCTTCTTAAAAGACTGAGAGAGGAGGAGAAACGAGATAAAGGATTTGTTAACTAAACCTCTCAAATTCGCCAAATTTGATCACATTAATGTCAGACAGTTTAAAAACTTACCTCTGCTAACAGATCTAAGCCAAAAATCTCAAAATTACCCAAACCATCATCAGTGTCATTGTCCACAAAACCACTTAGGTCCTCTTCCTTAAATTCGAGGTCAGACAGGTCCAAATCTGGGTCCTCATAATCAGTATTGTGTTGGGACACTGGCATCTCAGGCTCCGCTCTTACCATATTAGAGCATCTGCGGAACAGTACACAATGATGTAACAGGGTTCAAAAGAACAGTTCACTTAACCCTGTGATAAAGAGCCACTCACTTGTTCAACAAACTTTCATCAAGTTCAAAGTCTAAAAGTTCCATTTCTTCCGCACATTGTCCAACACCTTCCAATTCCAGCAAATCTTTGTTCAAAATTGAGGGAACTTGCTTCGAGCAATCAATTATAACAATGACATAGTGATTGCCACTTGTAAGTGTCGCATCTTTCTTTTTGCAAATCTGCCAAATAAGTTAAGATAAACTTAAAAACATCTCAATAAAAAAAGTTAATAATCCTGGTGCACGGTGTCCGGATGCTGAATTTACCTTGGCTAAAAGGCTGCGACAATCTGCTACATCATACAATTTGTCCACAGTATCACAAGAGGCTATCCCAGCAAGACTGCACTCAATGGCCTAATACAAAACAATTGTTATGGAATTATAGTCAAGAAGCACCAAATTAAAGTTGCAGTTAAAATTCCAAAGCTATGTTCACCTGGAATGGTAATCTTGTAATTGCCCAGTCAGGAATGCACTTTATTTGTTCGTGGGTCACATTTCCAAAATCACCATAATCAACATAGAACACAGTAAAAGAATGATCCTCATTTTGAGATCTTATTATCACCCTGTGCCACCTGCAAGTTAAATTTTTTTTTAAATTTTGAAACAATTAAAAGAAGTATGTAAACTTGCAAACAAAATAAATACACAAAATTAACAGTGAATGACTTAGAGAAAAGAACTTACTCATCTTTGTGGCTTGCCAGACAAATGCTTCCAGGTGATAGCAATGATACTTCTTCAGATTTCCTTGGGATGCCTTTTGTATTTATATCTTTGATGAGCTCATGAAGTCTGCATCAGGATTATTACATTAGCAGAGTTTGAAAAGAACCACACCAAAGGCAGCAGAGGAAATAAAACAAGCAACACTATTGAAGTAAGTAATTGAAATTGAAGTGTTTCTTGAAACGTAGATTTTTAACTTACAATGGTTCGAATTTAACTTTTCTGACAAAGAAAACAGACACACTTTCAGCGCTAATGAAGTTGATTTCTTCAAAAATCTCTGCCTCAAGGAAAGCCCAGGATGGTTTAGCTTGCTCCCTTGGTTTGATGGGACACTGTACAGCAGCTACAATGAAATTGTTAGTAAGTGAAGCTTCTCAGAGAAATTTAAGTGATAGCCAAGACACTAAACTGACCATTTACAGACGAAAGGACCAATGGCTCTTTTCCACATAGTTTAAAAAGATTTGGTAGATGTTCAGGGTTTGGTAAGGCCAGATGATCTCGCAAGAGACTTTGATTGATATTTCTCCGAGTAATGTGTTCACGAGTGAGTGGAAGCCATTCCAGAATATAAACAGGATCAATCCATAAGGAACCAGCCATACTCAGCATAATCTGAAGAAAAACAAGACAATTAATCCAGGTGATTCCAGTTACGAACAACCATGTTTTTGGTATACCAGCAACTTACTTGTCCCTGCAGGAGTGTTTGCCTGCTGTCTTCAGATTCATTGGTAGACTTCAACCACTTTTTCACCGTCCAATTAGCATCGGCACCAAAGTCACTGTCCTGATCAGCAGGTTGCAGGCCGCACAAGAACACGTCAACTACCTGTGCCGGGAAAGCTTTCAGGTCCTCTGGTAATTCATGTAGCATATATTCCTTAGAACATTAAAACAAACAACAGTTTAAATACATTGCATGACTGTAAAATTAAGATTTTCATAATAGTAGTAGTTACAAAAAAAAAAAAAAATCTTTAATACCTTTACTGTGTCATGATGTCCTTCATCAAGAAACTGGACAAGCATAGACAGAGGTTTACCATACTTGTCTCGATCTTTGACCTCCAAAATTTGCACACGTTGAAATAAGCCTATTTCCGTTTCAACAGCGAATAGATCTCCCACATTTATTTCGCCGACACAGATCCTGGTGCAAGAAAAACCTTTCAGTACATGATGGAATAGTTTTTAATATTAGAGGAGGGACAATTCACCTGCTGCTCTCCTTTCTGAAATGGGAAGACATCAACAGACCAATCTTAACATATCCAGAAGGCCATTTCTTCTTTTTTCCGTCAACATCAATGTGTTCTACTAATCTCACTGAGTAATGACCAGCAGAATGCACTTGTGTTACTTGCATGGAGACATGACCCGAGCTGAAAAGATCCAAACCAGATGGTTCTTACATGAGAAATGAAAGAACAGTGTTATCATTAGAGACCTTTGAGATTGACTAACTAACCTCGGCAGAATTTCAGACAAATCTAATTCATTAACAAAAACATGCCTGTTGGAGCAATCAACAGTATTGATGCATTGACCAAACATTTTTATGTTTTTGCAGAAAAGCTTGTTTATTTTGGTCCTTCTTTCTTTGTTCATAGATATACTCTGCACAAAAAGAAAAAAAAGTAACAAAAAATATTGATAAAATCACAGAGACAGAGAGAGAAATATAGAACATTGACATTGCTTGACTGTCTGTACATTTCATCATGTACCTAACAATACATGTAATCATAGTTACCTTTGCCAAGTCCAAATACTTTTGATCTAGTTTGCCAGCTATTCGCTGCATTAGTTGAACAATAACTGGTAACTGTTCAGTGTTTGATTCATCCATCAAAAGATGTATGGAAGGGGAAAGATTAGTTGTCTTCAGTGTTTTTACTTCCATTTTGTTTGGTAAATTGCCAAGTATAGCAGATAGACGTTTCACAAAATATGATTTATCATCAATGGGAAAACTGAAAATACAACAAAAAATATAGCAAACCGAACGAAAAGAAACAGGAACCTGACCTGGCAAGTGCTACACACCTGTAGTGGACAATGCTTGTGGCATCTGTTATCTTTAAGTCGTAAAACTCACTGTCAGGGCATAACAAAATATAATGATGCCCAGCTTTACTTGAATTCCAACTGGAAAGAATTGCTAGGGAAAGGAAAATAAAGAAAAAACCATGACTTTACAATGTGTCTGAAACAAATCACTTAGAATGAATAATTCGTACAGCTAACATTGATTTACTTTCAATATGGCGCAATTCTATGCCGGGTCTTACTACCAAATAGTTAAGACATGCATTTTCAATGAATTCTTCAACCCTTGATACTTCAGTTGCATCGCAAAATACAACTGTTTTTTGAAGACCGATTTGACTTTTCAAAATCTCTGGAACAATCAAAAGGATAAATTGCAAGATTTAAAAGTTCAAACACACCAAGTGACTGCAGTGATGTACACTTATCTACATACCGATGAGTTTAGAGAGTTTCTTGCCTGACTGAGTCAGATGAAAAATAACATCAGGTTTACCATAAACACAAGCTTCAAAGCAATCATTGATGCATAAAAGTGGGTTCCCACGCAAATGCTCAGAGAATGACAGGAGGTGAGGCTCCCACTTTTCACTTGAGACTACAATTTGAATGGGTTCATCTTTTGGTCTGATAGTTTGCTCAGCAACCACCTTTGCTTGAATTTCCTTTATCTGGAATGTGTTACGCGATTATTAAGAGAGCCGTTTTGGGCTTTATAGAATTACTTACAAGTTAGGTTCAAGAACTAAATGATACAATTATTACTATTATTTATTACTTAAAAGCAACAAACCTCTTTTAAGAATCTTGTCATCATGATGTCTGCTTCATCTAGAATGAGATGTTGCAAACGACGAAAGGTCAGGGCATACCCATGTTTATTCATTATTCTAAGCAGGCAGGGTGGTGTTGTGATAAAAATTTCACATCCATTAATTAATTTGAACTGGAATAAAAAAGTCAAGATAGTCAACAGACCACAAAATTTGAATTGAATAACTAGTATTTCAAGATGATGACTCACAATCAATGGATTAGCAACAGTAAGTCCATACACTACTTGCACTTGAGGGGGATTCTTCATGTTTCTAACGATTTTTATGCACTCTTCATAAATATTGGTGGCACTTTTACTTCCAGAACAAAGAATGAGTGCTAGCGGGCCACAACCCTTTAGGGTTTCCTGTAAATCGAGACAAAGCATAAGACACAGATATTTCTTGTGAGAGCAAACAGAAAGGCACAGATCAAATGATCTTATCACCTCTTGACTGCACATGAAATCCATTATAGGAATAATGTAACTGCTTGTTTTCCCAGATCTTTTTGGTGAAATCATTACAACATTTTGCCGTAGTTGTATGGCAGGCCACATGTACTTTTCAAGTGTCAAAATGTTGTAGCACCAGCGTCTCTCCTGAAGATACTGCAACAAAATACATCATTTAGCAAAGATTTTGATCAGAAAAAAATCATAGAAAATTAATATTACCTTTTCAATTGTAGATGAGAATTTCAGCTTTACATCATTAAAATTAACCCATGGCACAGGACGTAATCCTCCATGCAGCAGCACAGATCGAGAAAGGAAAGTCTCGTTTGGTAGAACATGATCAGTTACAGGAATCTTCGGACCACTGGAAATGTACAGTGTTCATCAAAATCCAGCATCTTAGCTTAACACTTTAGTTTTAAGTTAGCAAGAGGTGTGAGAAGGATCTAATGTTTGTGTTATGATATTTAAGACGCTTATGACTGAGTAGGAAGGAGAACTAGAATGCAATGAGGTGTCATAATGGGAAGACCTAAAAATTCACCAGTAATTTATTAATCAATCATTTATTAGCTAGATATTGACATGATTACAGTAATAAAACAAAAGGTACTGCTAGAAAACACACAATAGGTGCCACATCATTAAAATCAACAAAACATGAACTCTTCTAATGAAAATATAATGATGAGATTTATAAAATGTTAGAATCAGGCAGATTGATATGCCCAAGTCAATTTGTCTTCCTCATCCCCCTTCCATTAATCAGCTTGCATCCTTAGCCTTGTCACCGCACTGAAATGCAATGAAGCTATTAACTACTGAGTGATGTAATATTAGTGGTGAAAAGCAGATGAAATTAGAGGTATGAAAATGGAAAAAGAATTTCAGTAGAAAGAGTTTGAAGAGTGGGAAAAGATGTTAAGTTGCACATTTGAGGATCTTCAATAAAATGAATGTTTCAACGTGAATAATCAATTTGTCAAGATGCAGCAAATTAAATAAACATAAATTTAACTCACCTTAGCAATCGATTCCTCATTAAACTTGATGAATCTAGTGGTATCTGCTTATCCTGATCAGGCTGCCTTGCAGGGATAAGTTCAGTGATCCCCGCTGTACTCTCAGAGCTAGTAGATTCATCAGTCCTTGAAGAGGGCGGCGTCTGTTGTTTCCGAAGTTTTGAAAGCAGTGACATAAGTCCAGATGAGCTTTGCAATGAAGAGTCGTTCGAATGACAAGAAGCACTGTCATTTGAGTCTTGTGCCGTTTGGGAACTTGAGTTTAAAGGACAGTTGGCTGGTGGGACTGGTCTTTTCTGAGCAAGTTTTGAAAGAAGTGACATACTTCCAGGTGAGCTTTGCAATGAAGAGTTGCTTGAATGACAAGTCGCACCATCACTTGAGTCACGAGCCGTTTGGAAACTAGAGCTTAAAGAGCAGTTGGCTGGTCCCTTCTGAGCAGGGCCTCTTCTTTGCAAGCTGCTGTCAGATGTACTTGAATCAGAGCTGTACATCAATTTTGTCTTGAACATGAGATCTCTTCCATTTGGAGTTGAAGGTCCATTTTGACAACTCTTCATAGATTGTTTGGAGCTGCTAGAAAACGAATCTTCGGAATCAGATGATTTCAAAGGAGAGCGAGAGCTGTGTGGCTGGCTTTGAACATTATGTTTCGGTTCTTTCTTGGCTGAATACCCAGCGGGAACGAAACAGGCACCCAGGGACTTCGGAGCCGACAACTCTTCAGGAGCACTTTGAGAGTGCAAAGGTGCTGAGACTTGCTCTTCAACACTAGAATTGACCTTGGTGGGAGTTGAAGATGAGGAACATGTTTGAGTCAAGACTACCTCATTTGTCCTTGTCTCATTGCTTGCACTTTTACTCTTCTTAAGCTGTTCAAGAAATGAAAGGCGGCCCTTGGTTTGGGGAGATGTCCTTACAATATGTTCACCATCGCTGCTGGATTGAGGTAATGGCTGTCAAGGAAGTCAATGAGAAATCAAACACAGACAGATCAAAGAGAGTACTGTGAAAAAAGATTTGATGAAATACCTCGGGAATGACAGGTGCTTCCTGTGCTGACTGTGAACTAGCGACTGTTGACTGTGAACTAGCAACACTTTGCAAGTATTCCTAAAATAAAAGACTCATCGTAACTGAAAAGAACAGAACTTAAAAATATCACCAGAACACAGTTTAAATTACCATCATGCTGGGTCTCTGGCTTGACATCATGGACCTTGCTGGAGATGGAGAGAAACTGGTGGATGTGTCAGTAGAATAACCAAAAGAGAGAGGAGATTCGCATTCACTGGTTTCAGAAGCATCCATTTCAACTTGTTGTCCTGAAAAAGACACCTTACAAGCTTAAAGGAACAGGAAGTTTGTTCTGACACAGAAGAAGAGAGAACTGAGAATAGAGGATATTTACAGTAAACCCACATTAAAAAGAAAATTGAAACTTACGTCTCTCAAACTCCACCTGGTTGTACTTAGCGAACTTTTTCTCACACAATAGGGTTGAAAGACTAAAAAGTTTTTCATTGTCTGGCATTTTAATCAGAATGTCACCATATCGAGCATTTCCACGGGGAGAGCGACTCTTCTCCACAAAATAAGCTTCTAAGTAACTGTTCCTGACATCATTTACAAAGTGCTCTGCAGCAGGTGTCCACCCTTCAGATATTCTACCCCAGCAAAAAAAAAAGTAAAACAAAAAAATTATTTAAAAAATTTAAAATATTGATACAGTAGTTTTTAGTTTCAATTTCATGATAATTATTATTAAATTGAAAGAACATTTCACTTACTCAGGATGGAAATTTTGAAGATCAGGGGAAAGAGTTAAACTTGTTGGGACAATACCTTCCAGCATAAGAACTAATGCTTGGTACGGCACATCTGGAAGTTTATAGGGGATACTGTACAACTTTTCAGGTCTCAACAAGAAAGTCAGACCATGATCTAATAGGAAAACCTGCAAATAAAATTGTTCAACAAATCTCAAAACAATTCAAGAAAGAACCATACTGTGATCTAACTCAAGGTGTAAAGTCAAACATAAAAATAACTACTACAACATTGCATGTCAAACTTACTTTATATTTAGGCCCTGTCTGCAATTCCATTCTACACTCTATTTTCCCTCGATGCCATAGATTGCTATTATTCAAACTTTGAACAGCCACAATCTGCAGAAAAAAATTTAGCAGTGACATACCTGTGACGGATTTAAGCAATTTCCACTGGAGTGAAATTGTACTTACATCATCAGCCTCTCTAACAAGAGAGGGTTCCTTCTTCCTATTCCTTTTAAAGGTTTTGCCTAGTTCAGATTCCAAAAGGTATAACTGGAGGCGCTCTTCAGACATACCCTCTCCGGCAATTTCAGTCGCCCAAACTGAAGCTGGGGTTCTAAATTTATTGATTTGAATATGAAGTGCATTTTTGGGAATATGCTCATCCATCTTGGCTGAAGGCAAGGAAAACTATGTTAATTAACATGGTACGAATGACAATGGGAGGGAATGCCAATTTGAACACAAAGTAATTAATGGTATGAAAGTAGGAAATAACAAACACAGTCCATGCGAATGATGGATGCACTACGAAAGCAAGCTAACTGACCACTTGCTCTCTTCTTACAAAGTCAGAAACACTATGCATTCGTAGAAATGCAAGGGAAATAACATGTCAACAGGTTATGACGAACGTGCCGGTTTAACATTTCGCATGAGTTTAGGTAGAATAGCCGGAGAGACACAGCTCTATGAAACTGAAAACGACTCTGTACGTAATGGACTGAAAGCCTAGCTTGAAAACAGTATCTAGACATTCAAATTTTGGCAAAATAGGAAGCATGTTAAACAGGCTGTAAGAACACAACTTACACAAATGCTCCTCTGCCCGGAGTCATACCACCACTAACATGCACATTCGTAGGGCTGATTCACTAGGAAATTATACAAACCTAAAAGATCTTGAATACCAAGCACTCAGTGATTAATATCGATAGAATTCCGAAATCAAAACGGGCGTGCAATAACCACACACACCTCTCTACCCCACATCCCGCACGCGCACACACACACTCTCACAGACACCACACGGACAACATGTTCGGGAGTTATAGTGCCAGACAGCAAACCTTAAAGAAGGTGAAAAAAGCCATGAGTCAACACCTAAAACACAAACGAGACTGAACGATTTGAAAAATTATCAAGTTTATTACATCTCAAATCCTTAGTTTGCCCTTTTAAAATTGTATTTCGTGCTACAGTTTTATCTTTTCATTTTCCTTATGTTGGTGTTTTAGTCCACCGCAGGATGCGCACCCTGGCGGCATCGCGGAGAACTACTGCGATTTTCCTAGAGATTCTGGAAAAGAGGCGGGCTTGGGAAAGGCCTTCCCTGATTGGACAGCGTTACAGGTCTGCCTTCCTGTTGAACCTTTCTTTTGACAAGCAAATTCGCTGCTCTGTGAGAGCTCTGGAATCAATGAAAACTCGAGGGAGTTGGAAACGTTTCCGATCCGGCCGTGTCGTAGTGTGAGCACTGCACGGGGAATTTCTCGAGCTGGGAACGGGCAGGGGGCGACTTCCCTCCCTCCCTTCTTTCAGGTCCAGGACCAGGACCCTGTTCAAGCGTCCTGCAGCGTAGGCCTCCTGCAGCCACCCCCTCCCTACCCCACCAAACACTGGCCTGCCTGGCAGCGCGCAGCACAGTGCGCAGAGAGCCTTGGCAGCGCGCGACGCGACCATCCCCGGATTCACTTGGCCAGGGAGGCATCGCGGCGCATCGCGGGCTGGAGCGAATGTTGCGTGCGGACGCGAGCGTGAGCGTGCACATCACGGCGCGCTGCGAGCGTGAGCGTGCCGAGCGTGCCGAGCGTGCCGAGCCTGCCGCGGGCGTATCGCCCGGGACTTCCTCGTCCGCGGGAGGAGAGCGCAGTCCGTCCGTCGGTCTCTGTCACCCTGTCGCCGCGAGCGCAGCGCGAGCGCCAGGTGCCAACATGAAGCGTGAGCTGCGCTAGCTGCGCCAGCCCTGTCGAACTGGCTGAACGGTCAAGTGACTGCGAGCTGAGCGCTGAACGCGGCGCGACGTCCGTTAAGGCCGTTAAGGCCCTGCTGCACAGCTGTCACCGTCAGCCTGTCAGCCTGCCTTGACGCCTGCCGCGCTGAGCTTCGCGCCCCGCGTTTCGCGTGTGATTCAGTGAACGGTGTTTACTTCGTGGGCCGCTAGTGCTGCCAGTGCTAGTGCTGTCAGTGGAGTGGTTTCGTGTGTGCCAACCGAGCGTGTGGATGTGGTGGCCGTAAGCGCGTCGAGGTGCGGGCTGCTGCTGTGAATGCTCTGGCAGACAATCTGCCCCGATCACAATGCCTCTCTTCGGGAAGAAGGACTCGAAAAAGTCGAAGAAGGAGTCGAAAGATGTGGAAAAGGTGCCGTCCGTCGATGACAAGTATAACCTCAAAGAGCTCCTCGGCACGTAAGTATTTGCTAGGGGGTTTCTGTCGTGTTGTTTTGTCAATTCGCCGTCATAACCTTAAAGTTTAAAAACACTCTCTGAAATTGATTGTCTTGGAGGGGTCGTATTTGTTGAAAGTTGCAAAGGTCAACATTTGATATGCTTTTTTTCGCACCATATTGCTTTGTGATTTCTGATCTTATTTGTATTTTTGGTCAGTTGTTGTGATTTTACAATTTTGTTGATACTTCTTCTCAATTTTTGTATTTTTTCTCAACATAAGTTATATGTTGAACAGCTGTGTCAACCTTAAAATCTTATGACAAAATTCGAATTTGTCGATAGAGAACATAATTTTAATTTTTGCTTCATCCAGAGTGTGTTTTTGCACGACATTGCATCCACTCAGCTGGAGGAATCCATGTTTTAGTTGCACTGTGTGAATGGCATTGCCTGTTGTTCAATTATTCCCTCACAAGAGCCCCTGTAGTTTGTTATCAGTTAGCCCGTTTTCTCATGTTTCGCTCTTTCATTCATTTTTCGGTTCAGTTGGTCATCTCAAATTTTTGTGTGATAAATACTGCTTGACGAAACATGATGGCCTGTCCACAATCAGAATTGATTGATTCCTGCAGTACTTTTTAATATTGTGTAGACAAATTAATTGTATCAAGTTAGTTTTAAAAGCTCTGCTCTTATTTTTCTGACCGTCGGGTGCCCCACTGCCTCGGGCACACTGTCTTAGCAGAGGGGTAATTTTCGGGCCTGGTCAGTGAAAGGGGGTGGGGTGGAGGGGGGGGGGGGGGGGGTCGAGCACTTGGAGCACTGGCGACGTGCCTTGCCGTGTGCCGTGCCCCGGCAAGCCCCGGCCCCGCACGGCCCGGCTGCATAGATTTCGCTTTCTCTCGCGGTGCTGGGCGCGAGCAGCGAGCGTGAGTGCGCGGCGCTGCAAGGCAAGGCGAGGCAAGGCGAGAGGAGGGAGGGGGAGGGGGAATTTTCACAAAGAGCAAGTTGTGAGTGAGGCGGGGTCACTGTGAAGTGCGCGCAAACGCCAGGCCAGCAGACTGATTCCGAGAGTCGTTTTCGTCGCTCTGTCTCTCTCGCACCTACACGGGACGCCCCTCGGGTGCGAGAGAGACACAGCGACGAAAACGACTCTCGGAATCAGTCTGCAGTGTGCAGGTCGACGAGGCGCTACGGCTGCTCGGTTGGCCCCGGCGTTACCAGTGGCGTGGTGGTGACGGCTTCATTGGTGCCACAAGGGGCCCAAGGGGCTCACGGCCGTGGCGGCGAGGCCGGCGAACCACGGCCATGCCGACGGCAGCCTATGGTCATGTCCGTGACTGTGTGGGCATGGCTGCAGACCGATTCCGAGAGTCGTCTTCGTCGCTCTGTCTCCCTCGCACCTGTAGGGGACGCCCTATGAGTGCGAGAGAGACACGGCGACGAAGACGACTCTCGGCATCAGCCTGCTGGGCATGGCTCCAACGACGACGACAGCCGGACGGACAAGGCCTGGACGGCCTGCGGAGAGTGGCGGAGTGGCGCAAGGCATTGTCGCTGCGGTTTTGCCCAGTCTGCCGCACATTGTGCATTTCCTCGCCTTTTCCGCGGAGAATGTCCCGGCGAGTGTACTAGTGTACTGCGTGCCGCGTCGCGCCGCGTCGCGCAGTGGTCCGCCTGTTACGATTAGAATTACTGCCCGGGATGGCGATTACGGCCGGCCGGCTCGGCCACGACGGCTGCCTCGAGGCCCCTGCGGACGACCCTTTGGTGACGCCTAGCCGACCCTTTTGGTAGAGGCCGTTTGGCCGACGACCCTTTGCGACCCTTTTGATAGGCCCTTTGGCGGACGACCCTTCGGTGACGCCTAGCCGACCCTTTTGGTAGGCCCTTTGGCGGACGACCCTTCGCGACCCTTTTGGTAGGCCCTTTGGCGGACGACCCTTCGCGACCCTTTTGGTAGGCCCTTTGGCGGACGACCCTTCGGCGAACCCTGGCCGACCCGTTTGGTAGGCCCTTTGCAGACGGCCCTTTGGTGGGCGACCCTATGGCTACTCCTTTCCGACCCTTTTCCTATAGGCCCCTCGGCGGACGACCCTTTGGAAAACCCTTTCCTACCCTTTTGGCGGTCTACTCCTCGGCAGGTAGCCCTTTGGCAGACGACCCGGCAGACCCTTTCCGACCCTTTGGCGCGCCCCCAGGGGGCCCCGCGACTCCCTGCGAGGCGCACCCTCTGGATGCCCTCCGTGAAGACCATTAGCCTTTGGAGGATCCTTTAGAAAGCCATTCGGAGGGCGTGTGAACAGTGTGAACGCCCTGCGGAGTCCCTTGAAATTGGCCCTTGCAGGGCCGGGCCGGGTCGGGCCGGGCAGGGCAGGGCAGGGCAGGCGTGCCACGGCCTTTGCCGGCCTTGGCAACTGTTTGTGCGATTCCCTTGAGACGTGCGACGTGGTGCGACGCGTGAGTCCCTTCCCTTCCCTCCGCGCGATTCGCGATGTAGGCCACACAGTGGGCCACACAGTGGGCCGCCCGGGCCATTTTATTGCCGTTGTGTGTGCAGTTTCGTCGCTCTGTCTCCCTCGCACCTGTTCGGCACGCCCCATGAGTGCGAGAGAGAGACGCTCGGAGTGGGTCGTGCCTTGCCTCGAGGGCTCGCCGTCTCTTTCGCTTTTCTCGTTGCCGTGTAAAGTCGTGATCCGAACCGCGGGCCAAACCTGATCGCGGGCCGGACGGGCCGACGCGACGGGCCGAGCCTGCAGGCCCAGGCCGAGCCGAGCCGCCGAGCAGTGTGCTCTCGTCGCGCTGTCTCTCTCGCACTCGCAGCGCACTCGCAGCGCGCGGGCCGTCCCGTGGGTGCGAGAGACGACGCCAAAGTACGAGAGACGGCTGGCGTGGTGCCCCTCCCGCCGCCCCGCCGCACAGTGGGCCAGAAGACCAGTGGAGGCGGACAAAACTCTAGAAGCGTTTTCAGCTCCAGAGTCGCTAAACAGGCCTCGAACCGAACGTGTGACCCCACCAATAGGTTCCTCGTTCGGAGAGCAATCCATTGGTGGAGTCACACGTTCGGTTCGAGGCCTGTTTAGCGACTCTGGAGCTCAAAACGCGTCTAGAGTTTTGGCCGCCTCCACCGGTATTCTGGCCCACTGCGCGCGGCCAGACGACGCCAAAACTCCCACATCGGTTTGGCCGTTTCAATAAAGAGGAGCGTGTTACTCGATGCCAGCCCCGCCAGCCCCGCCACTGGAAGAGAAGGCCACTCTGCCGGCTGGGCCCCGCGCCCCCGCGCGGGGAGGGGAGTCACAATGTGCGTCTGGCCCTAAAAATAGCGTTCCAAACATGCAGCCGGCGCTTGCGTGGCCGCGGCCAATGCCGCTAACTTGGTGGATACAGTGGACTGATTCCCAGAGTCGTTTTCGTCGCTCTGTCTCTCTCGCGCCTGCACGGTACGCCCCACGAGTGCGAGAAGGACGAGAACGACTCTCGGAATCAGTCTGCAGGGGTCGCGTTCGTTGGCGGTCACCCTCTCGGGGCTGAGACGCCGCCGTCCGGAGTCGGTTTTTGTTGATTGCCCAGAAATGTCTAATTGCGCGCCAGAGCGGCTTGCGTGCAGCGAGCTGCCTGCTTTGCATACGGAGAAACCAAGTACTCGCGCGCCGCACAGTGGGCCAGAAGACCGGTGGAGGCGACCAAAACTCTAGACGAGTTTTGGGATCCAGAGTCACTAATCAGGGCTCGAACCGAGCCTGTGACCCCACCAATGGATTCCTCGTTCGGAGAGCAATCCATTGGTGGGGTCACACGTTCGATTCGAGTCCCATTTAGCGACGCTGGAGCTCAAAACGCGTCTAGAGTTTTGGCCACCTCCACCGGTCTTCTGGCCCACTGTGCGCCGAAGATCTTTTTTTGCTTTTCCTCTTTCTTTCTTTTATTCGAAAAGCAACAACAAGACCGGCAACAAGGAGGAAAGCTGCGTGGCCTAAATATCTGCAGGTGTAAACACAGCCGGCAGACCGACGGCGGGGCGCCGGCCGGGCCATTTCCATATTGCGGCCGAATCGGGGGCGCGGCTCGGCTCGGCTCGCCACGGCGCGGCCCGGCTTATCTCAGTGTCACGACTTGTTCTTTATCGGCGCCGTGGTCAACGTATCGACCTCGTGTCAGGGAAGGCTCTGAGCATAGCTCTGAGCCCCGCGACGCGAAGGCTCTGCCTGGCCGTGCCGAGACCCTGCCTCTATACAGGCAGACAGCCAGCCCCTGTGACGATAAAGAGATTGGATAATGCGTTTGTGCAGAGGGAATGTGCGATGCGCGCGCACAGTGCGCACACTCGCCGCACAGTGGGCCAGAAGACCGGCGCCGGCGGCTGAAACTCTAGACGCGCTTTGAGCTCCAGAGTCGCTAAACCGGACTCTAAGCGAGCGTGTGACCCCACCAATGGATTGCTCTCCGAACGACGAATCCATTGGTGGGGTCACACGTTCGGTTCGAGTACCGTTTAGCGACTCTGGAGCTCAAAACGCGTCCGGGGTTTTGGCCGCCTCCACCGGTCTTCTGGCCCACTGTGCAGTGCACGATCGTTGTGCGCGGCGCGTTGGGGCGTCCATCGCGATGGTGTGCCCGGTGGCGCCCCGCGGCCGCGGCGACCCCGGGCAGGGCAGGGCAGGGCAGGGCAGGGCAGGCTTAACGATGGAACTGTTGTCGCCATCGATTGCCCGGGGGAACAGCGAGCAACACGGCGCGGCCTGGGCAGTGCCGGGGCAGCGCGTGAGCACCGTGCTTTCATCGCCCTCTCTCCCTCGCACCCGCGGGGCGTGCCGTCAGGGTGCGAGTGAGACAGAGCACTGTGCGCAATCGCGCCCCCTTGAAACTGGCCTTTTGAACGCAGGCGCTGCTCCGCCGCGGCTCCGCAGATTGATTCCGAGTTCTTCCTCGCTCTGTCGGTATGAGTGCGAGAGAGACAGAGCGACGAAAGCGACTCTCGGAGTCAGCCTGCTGGCGCTGGCCTTGGAGCGCCTGCGGCGGAGCGGGTAGGCCACCCTGCGTAGCGTCGGTGCTCGGCGGGCCGGCCTACGCTCTGCTTCGCAGGCGCTCCCCGGGGTGCCGCGCTGCCACCACACTGCCACCGCGCTGCCTGCTGGCTGACTCCGGGCGGGAGGCGTCCCTCTCTCTCGCACTCATGGAGTGGGGCGCCGAGGGCGTCGGGGTGCCCGCAGGGGTGCGAGAGAGACAGGCTGCCGGCTTTTCCTGCTCGACTCGGAATACCTTGCTGCCCGCTGCTCCCCGCACGCCCCAAAGGCCCAGAGGGGGGCGCTGGCTCGGCTGGGGTGGTGTTATTTTTCTGCCTCGCCGTGCGAGAGACAGCTATAGCGCCTCCCCCAGATAGGGCAGGGCCGACTTGTAGCGCAGCCTGCGCGTGCAGTGCTACCAACCAAGGTTGAGAAGAAAGTGAGGAAAAGTTGGGCCCGAGCGAGATTCGAACTTGAGTCCACCACGGGGTATCCGCGACCCTGTCTGGTACTCCCAAGGGCGCACAACTGTTTCATGCCTCGCCCGGGGAACGCTTTGACCAAAGCTAGTTTGGGCGCACCAGTCTGGCAAAGTTAGTCAGAAAGTGACTGAACCTCTGGAAGTACGTAGCTACTTTTGCTGACTTCAGGCGGCCACTGCGTCCTGTCTAGCTGTGGGCGAAGGCTTTTAGCAACAACGTCTTGGTCAGTGCCGCCTGGATGGTTGCCTACTCTTGCCCGGGGAACAGCCGAGCCCTGCAAACTGATTCCGAAAGTCGTTTTCGTCGCTCTGTCCCTCTGTCGCGCTTACAGGACGCCCAACGAGTGCGAGAGAGACGGAGTGTCGAAAACACTCCCGGAATGAGTCTGCCGTTCGCTGGAATTGAATAATGAGTCTCTGGGCGTCCTCCTGGACGTCCCTCTCCCCCTCCTCCTCCAGCAGGCCGTTGCCGAACGCTTCGTGCTGTCTCTCTCGCACTCGCGGCGCGTCGCGTGGCGCGTGAGAGAGACAAAGCGGCGTGTTCGGAATGAGCCCGCTGGTTCTCCTCTCCTAGACGACGACGGCCGCCCGTTTCCAAATGAAACTGCGACGAGATTGTCCCTTTCCCGCGCTTTGCCGCCATTAACGTCGTTATTCCGCACCGGCAAAACGACTCCAAGGACGGCGACGCCATGCCGACGCGTTGCGCGCCGCGACGAGGGTTGTTTCCGGGCCCGCCTGGCTAGGTCTGGCTGGGCCTCCAGTGGAACCCTTCCACTTCCAGGACTTCCAGTGGCGCCGCTTCGCGCCCTTATTTCCCCAGCCTCGCCACAGCCACTGCACAGTGGGCCAGCAGGGGACTAAAACTCAAGACGCGTTTTGCGCTCCAGAGTCACTAAACAGGACTCGAACCAAACGTGTGACCCCACCAATGGATGCCTCGTTCGGAGCGCAATCCATTGTTGGGGTCACACGTTCGGTTCGAGTCCCATTTAGCGACTCTGGAGCTCAAAACGCGTCTCGAGTTTTTACCGCCTGCGCCGGTCTTCTGGCCCACTGTGCAGTGCGCCTCCGCTGCTCGCTTCGCAGGCTTCGCACACGGCCCGTATTCGGTCGCGAGACTTTTGTTTCCCTCGTGTTTGTCTTGTTGTGCATTCATGCCGCATTAATGTTTTGGCTGCGGCGCGCTCCTTTGAGCCCGCTGTCGATATTGGGAGCCAGCCCGGCGTGGCGCGGCGTAGCCTGCAGGCTGTTCCGAGTAGCGTTCTCGTCGCTCTGTCTCCCTCGCACTCATGCGGCGTCCCGTGTAGGAGCGAGAGAGACAGCGCTACGAAAAGGACTCTCGGAATCAGTCTGCCGGCGTAGCCATGCGGGGCCGAAACTCCCCGAACTCGCCCAACGACAGCGTTTCCCACTCGGGGGCCCGCGTTGGGGGTGGCGGGGGCGGGGAGGGCCGGGGGGCGGCAGCGAGGGGCGGGGCCGGCGGGGCGCGCGCGTCTTTGCTCTGTAAATTGAGTCGGGGAACAGTTTGGCGTCGTTCAACAGTTGGTAGTCCGTTTACTGTTGGCCTGCGGTGACGCGGCGACGCCTGGCAGCCTGGCTGCTGTAATTTACGGGCCGCGTTTGCCTCGGAAGGTTGCCGGCCTGCGGACCGATTCCGAGAGTCGTTTCCGTCGCTCTGTCTCTCTCGCACCTGTACGGGACGCCTTATGGGTGCGAGAGAGACAGAGCGACGGATACGACTCTCGGATCGGTCCGCTCCTTGCCGGCCGCCAAGCCGCGCCGCAGCAACAAAAAGTGTCGCCGAGTTTCGGCCGCGCCGCGCAGCAGGCTCAACGGCGCTTTCGTCGCTGTCTCTCTCTGGCCTGCACGAACCGCCCCATGAGTGCGAGAGAGACGGCTGAGTCGCCTCGTCTCTGTCACACTCATGCGGCCTTCCGCCGTACGGGTGCCAGAGAGACAGCGTGCGACGAAAGCGCACAGTGGGCCAGAAGACCGGCAGAGGCGGACAAAACTCTAGACGCGTTTTGGGCTCTAGAGTGGCTAAGTGGGACTCGAACCGAACGTGTGACCGCACCAATGGATTGCTCTCCGAACGAGGCATCCATTGATGGGGTCACACGTTCGGTTCGAGGCCTTTTTAGTGACTCTGGAGCTCAAACCGCGTCTCGAGTTTTGTCCGCCTCCACCGGTCTTCTGGCCCACTGTGAAGCGCCGTTCGGCACGAGGTCCGCGGATGGGGCGGGAAAACAGGCCGATTCGCGGAGAGTGTTCGGCTGTCCTGTTGGCCTGTTGTTGGCCTGGCTGCTCGCGGCGAGGCGAAGCGGGGCGAGGCGGCGGGTCTGTCGGTGGTTTTGCTGCCACGTGAGATGTTTTGCTCTGCGGCTTGTGGGCTTGCGGCCCTTGCGGCGCGCGCTGGATCGTATATCGTGCATGCTGCCGACGGCCCGACGGCCCGACGGGGTGAGCCGACCGGCCGGGCTGCGCGGGCTGACGGGGTGCTCGCTGAAACTCTGCCTGCCCTTCCACGTACACTGTCGGGCATCATCTCCCGCTGTTGTTCCGGCTCGGCTCGGCCGTCCGCTGGGGGCGACTGGGGGCCCCGCGGGGGGCCGATGGGGGTTCGGTTGAGTGGATTTGCGGAACCCTGGGCCGGCCGCCCTGGGCCCCCTGCCCTCCCCGATGGGCTACGTGCCGGGGCCGCGCGCGTGCAACGTCTTGATGTAACTCGGTGTCCCGGGTTCGAATCCCGCTGTTTTTGTCCGCCTTTTTGTTGCTCTTGCCCGTCTAATGCGCTCTGCTCGCTCTGCTTTGCTGTTCCAGCGGCGCGTTCTCCGAAGTGCGGCTGGCCGAGAGCAGGGAGCGGCCGGGCGAGCTGTTCGCCGTCAAGATCATCGACAAGAAGGCCCTGAAGGGCAAGGAAGACTCCCTGGAGAATGAAATCAAGGTCCTCAGGAGGTAAGAAGTAGCTCGGCGCCCTTGACGGTAACGCCTCCTGGAGTCAAGTCCAGTGGACGTGCTCCGCGATCGTCCAGGCCGCCTGCCGGCGTAGGCCGGCGTAATCCCCTGCAGACGGCCAGCCGGGCCAACCGCACCGTGGGCCAGAAGGCCGCTGGAGGCGGCCAAAATTCCAGGCGCGTTGTGAGCTCCAGAGTCGCTAAATGGGGCTCGAACCGAACGTGTGACCCCACCAATGGATTGCTCTCCGAACGAGGAATCCATTGGTGGGGTCACACGCTACGTTCGAGTCCCATTTAGCGACTCTGCAGCTCAAAACGCGTCTAGGATTTTGGCCGCCGGCGCCGGTCGTCTGGCCCACTGTGAGCCGGGCCGCGCCACCGTGAAAAAGGACGCGTGCGGAAACGTTCGGGAACGTGGAGGTGGACCGGAGCCCCGTAGCGGGCGGCCTTCGTTAAAGAAACATCTTCCGACGGATCGGATAAGGAGGCAGCGGGCGTTCCCTTCGCCTATCCCCCTCCCCTCCCCTCCTCCTCCCCCTCCCCCGGGCCGCGATCCTCTCCCGTTTCCGGGGCCGCCACTGCGCCCCTTTTTCCAGTGCTGGCTGTGTGCTTTCAGTGCCCCCCGCACACTAAGTCGGGGGAATGGCTTGTCTCTAGTTGCCGGAGAAGTTAGACGGCCTTGGCGAGGCCACGGGGCTGCGCGCCGAGGCCAGTGCTGCGTCGAGGCCAGCCAGCCAGCCCCTGCTGCTCCGAGGCCAGCTGCCAGCCCTGCTCTCCCAATAAGCAAACGGGCTGCACAGTTTCGCCCTCACCTACGTGCTCTCGCTGGCGCTCGCTGGGGTTGGCGGCCGTACGTGCCGGGGCCGTGTTTGCGGACGTGGCCTCCACTTCGCGCCGCCACACCCCGCCCCACCCCGCCCCACCCCACCCCGCAGCACCCCGCCGCACCCCGCCCCGCCCCGCCGCTGTTTAGTTGGCGTGCGGATTTGTTGCGCTTGCTTTGGTGTAAAACTGGACGAGCCTCTCGAGGGCCTGGCTGCCTCGCTGGCGCAGTTTGCCGCGAAGGTCGACTGCAGCGGACTGATTCCGAACCAGTGCTGTCGTCTCCGTCTCGCTCGCACCCGTTCGCCCTACGAGTGGGAGTGAGAGAGTGAGTGCGAGAGAGGGGGAGGGAGGGAGAGAGGGACTCGGAATCACTCTGCGCTGCCGCTACATCGGGCCCGTCCTGGCATCTGCCCGGCCCTGCCACGCGAGAGGGGAATGGATTGAAATGCCGTAGTCGGCATTGCCGGGCGGCGGTCGGTCGGAGCCCCGACCCACCCCGACCCACCCCGACCCACCCCGACCCACCCCGACCCACCCCGACCCCGATCGAGAGGATCGGAAGACGAGAGATCGAGTGGGGCTGCGCGCGCCTTACCCAGGCAGACCCGCCGCGCCACGCAGCGCACAGTGGGCCAGAAGACCGGTGGAGGCGGCCAAAACTCTGAACGTGTTTTGAGCTCCAGAGTCGCTAAATGGGTCTCGAACCGAACGTGTGACCCTACCAATGGATACCTCGTTCGGAGAGCAATCCATTGGTTGGGTCACACGTCCGTTTCGAGTCCCATTTAGCGACTCTGGAGCTCAAAACGCGTCTCGAGTTTTGGCCGCCTCCACCGGTCTTCTGGCCCACTGTGCAGCGCCACGCAGCGCCACGCAGTGCCCCTCGTCCACAACGGCCCTCGCGCCGAGTGTTTGCGCGCCAGACGGCAGCAGCAGGACGCTCCCGAACGCGTCTCCGTCTCTCTCGCACTCACGACGCGCCCCATGGGGCCCGCTGGGGCGCGAGAGAGGCGGGGCGACGTGCCCGCGGACTCGGCCCACAGCCCCCCGCGACCCGCTGCAGCGTGCAGCCTCGTCCCGCCTGACCTTTCGCCTTCGGCCGGCGCGTGGTGGAGCGTGGCGCGTGGTGGAGCATGGCGGAGCGTGGCGCGTAGTGGAGCATGGCGGAGCGTGGCGCGTAGTGGAGCATGGCGGAGCGTGGCGCGTAGTGGAGCATGGCGGGGCGTGGCGCGTAGTGGAGCGTGGCGGGGCGTGGCGCATAGTGGAGCGTGCCGGAGCGTGGCCGTTGCGTGCCAGCCGCACCCCGCACCCCGCCTCACCTGTTGCGATCTGATTGGTCGGGCCGCAGGGTCGGCGGTCGGTGTGGCTGGCCGCGTCGCCCCGTCGCCCCGCCCCGGACCCCCCAGTGCGGCGCGGCGGCGCCCTGTGGACTGCAGACTGATTCCGCAAGTCGTTTTCGTCGCTCTGTCTCTCTCGCTCTCATTGGGCGTCCTGTGTAGGTGCGATAGAGACAGAGCGACGAAAACGACTCGCGGAATCAGTCGACTGCCGGTCCGGGCTCCTTTCCGGGGCGAGCCGGGGTCGCTCCCAGGATCATTTCCGGGGTCCTTTGCAGGATCCTTTGCAGGTTCTTTGGCGGCACCCTTCCGGGCCGCGCTGGCCGAGGCCCTGGCTGCCTCTGGGAGCGTCGCCCAGCCGCCCTCTCCCTCTCCAGGATCCATTCCGGTCCCCGCTGGGCCAGCAGACTGATTCCGAGAGTCGTCGTCGTCGCTCTGCCTCCCTCGCACCCTTCCGGACACCCCGACGAGTGCGAGAGAGACAGAGCGATGGAGACGGGGCCCAGCTGCTGGGCCCAGTTGGCGCCTTTGAGGGACGGGGGCGACGGGGGCCCCGGCCGGGCGCTGCTTTGAAGCTGTTGTTGGTTGTTGTCGCCGTGACCACCGAGCACCCCGCCCACGCCCCCCCCCCCACCTCTTCGGCCCACCGCCGATTTGTCCGGCTCGCTACCCCACCCCTCTCCCCGCCGCGCCGCGCCACGCCGCACCCCGGGCTGCCCGGGCATGGCCAGGGGGTGGCTCGGTGCGGGTCGTCAGCGTGGTGGCCCTCGGTTTGGTGGCCGTCGGCGTCGGCATGGTGGTCCTTGGTGGACCTCGCCTGGTGACCCTCGGGTGGTGACCCTGGCGGCCCCGGGGACTCGACATGGCAGCAAGCGCCTTCCCCCACCCCTCCCCGCGGCGATGCCCCTCCCGGCCCGGGTCCCGGGGCGTGGGGGCGACGAAGACGGAAGAATTGGCCAGCTAGCGCGAGCTGGCGCGAGCTAGCGCCACACGCAGCCTGGGGGCCGTGCTGGGGCACGCCGCGCGCTCAGCTTGTACTGTGCTGCTGTATCGATTCTCCGCGCCTTACGCCCGGCCCATGGCCTGCCCATGGCGCGGCCAGCCCCATGCCACGGCACTGGCAGTCCCATGACAAAGGCACGCCTAGACATTCCCATGGCGCGGCCAGCCCTATGCCACGGCACTGGCAGTCCCATGACAAAGGCACGCCTAGACATTCCCATGGCGCGGCCAGCCCCATGCCACGGCACTGGCAGTCCCATGACAAAGGCACGCCTAGACATTCCCATGGCGCGGCCAGCCCTATGCCACGGCACTGGCAGTCCCACGACAAAGGCACGCCTAGACATTCCCATGGCGCGGCCAGCCCCATGCCACGGCACGCAGTCCATGACAAGCACGCTAGACATTCCCTGGCGCGGCCAGCCATGCCACGCACGGCAGTCCCACGACAAAGGCACGCCTAGACATTCCATGGCGCGGCCAGCCCCATGCCACGGCACTGGCGTCCCATGACAAAGGCACGCCTAGACATTCCCATGGCGCGCGCCAGCCCCATGACCACGCGCACCATGGGCAGGGTCGCCATGACAAAGGCACGCCTAGACATTCCCATGGCGCGGCCAGCCCCGCGATAACGCCAGGATCGCCACGGCGTCGCACGGGGCACGCCGAGCACGCCGTGACAAAGGACGGCAGCCTGGCGGGCCGCGGCCTCGGCCCCCCACGTCGCCGACGTCACATCGACATCCCCTCGGTGGCATTCCCACGACGCTGACGGTGACACAGGCATCCCCCATGTCGCCACTCAGGCCGCGCCCCGCCATCCCCGCCCCTTCGCTAGCGAGCATCCAGAATCCAGCGCTTTGATCTGAAATGTCATCCCAGTCGCGCTACGCTACGCCGTGCTGTGCCGACTAGGTTTGTCGTGCCTTTCTCTCTCTCTCTCTCTCTCTCTCTCTCTCTCTCTCTCTCTCTCTCTCTCTCTCTCTCTGTCTGTCTCTCTCTCTTCTCTCTCTCTCTCTCTCCTCTCCTCTCTCTCTCTCTCCTCTCTCTCTCTCTCTCTCTCTCTCTCTCTCTCTCTCTCTCTCTCTCTCTCTCTCTCTCTCTCTCTCTCTCTCTCTCTTTCTGTTTCTCTCATTCTCTCGCACGGCAATTGTGTTGCGTGGTTTGTTGCCTCTGGTTCGCACAAACCCCACGCTGCCTGCCGCGAGCCGGCTGGGTTGGGCTGTGCTGGGTCGGTGGGGCCCCGTAAACAGTCTGAGAGGTATCCGCTTAGGCGGTAAAGAAAGCGGCTTACCGTCATGGCCCTTGCCGTGGCGTGCGTGTCATGCGCCTGGCTGGGCGTTTTGACGTTGTCGGTATAATCAGGGCTTTTTAAAAAGGGCGCCTATTCTCGGCGGGCTTTCCTTGCCTTCCTTTCCTGGCGACGAGTTTAGGGCGCCGCACAGTGGGCCAGAAGACCGGCGCCGGCGGCCAAAACTCGAGACGCGTTTTGAGTTCCAGAGTCGCTTAACAGGACTCCAACCGAGCGTGTGACCCCACCAGTGGATGCCTCGTTCGAAGAGCAATCCATTGGTGGGGTCACACGTTCGGGCCGAGTCACATTTGGCGACTGTGGAGCTCGAAACGCGTCTAGAAGTTTGGCCGCCTCCACCGGTCTTCTGGCCCACTGTGCGGCTGCCGCCCGGCCTCGTGGTTCGGCCGCCGGGCACCGCCGGGTCGCCGCCACCGCCATGACCACCATCATCATCTCCATCACGGAGGGGGTGGTATTACGAGGGTCTCGACATGAGAACGGCCTCGGCGTTGCCGCGTGCACGGCCATGGCACGGCCCGGGGCCGTCTGCGAACCGCGGCGCCGCGTCTCTCTCGCACCGCTGCGGGGCGCCCCGTGCGTGCGGGAGAGACAGAAGGACAGAAGGCTCCGCTCGGAATCAGCCTGCGGGGCCCTCGGTGGGGCCGCCCCAAGGCCCTCGAGCCCTGCGGCCCTGAGGCCCTGCGGGGGCCCTGCGCGTAAGCCTGTTGCTTCCTCGCTTCATCCCTTACGCAGTGTAGTGGCGTGGCTCCCTCTTTTCCCGGCCGGTGCACGCGACCTGGCGAGAGGCGAGGGTGCTGGCAGAGCTGTGCAGAGGCCCTCCGCGAGGTGGAAACTTCTTTCCCAAGTGTCGTCGTGGTCCCATCTTCTGAACATCAGACCGATTCCGAGAGTCGTTTACGTCGCTCAGTCTCTCTCGCACCCATGGGGCTTCGCGTATCGGCGCGAGAGAGACAGAGCGACGAAAACGACTCTCGGAATCAGTCTTGCGTCGTGCATGGCTCGACTTTGTCTCTAAATCCCATTCCCGGTCCTTGTTGGTCCTCGACACTCGAAGCGCTCGCGCTTCGCGAGATATCGACGCAGACTCGCCGAAAAAACGGGGCGGAAAATTGTGGTGCCCCACATCGGCGGCGCCGGGCTGGTTTGGGCCTAGCGTGGTTCCGCAGTCCCGTCGCGTTATTCATGAGTTTGCCGTTTCGATTCCGCCGTTCCGTTCCGCCATTCCATTCCATTCCATTCCATTCCATTCCGGCGTCTGGGTTCGCCCGTTCGGCCGTCAGACGCAGGCCAGCCGAAGGCGCCAAAGGCAAGCAGCCACTCGCACAGTGGGCCAGAAGACCGGTGGAGGCGGCCAAACCTCTAGACGCGTTTTGAACTCTAGAGTCGCTAAATGGGACTCGAATCCAACGTGTGACCCCACCAATGGTTTGCTCTCCGAATGAGGAATCCATTGGTGGGGTCACACGTTCGGTTCGAGTCCCATTTAGCGACTCAGGAGCTCAAAACGCGTCTTGAGTTTTGACCGCCTCCACCGGTCTTCTGGCCCACTGTGACTCGCCTCGCTGCGCCGCGCCTAAAGGGCCTCGAGACGCCCGCCGGCGGCGCCTAGCCTCGTCTGCACACTGATTCCGAGAGTCGTTTTCGTCGCTCTGTCTCTCTCGCACCGACACGGGGCGCCCCGTGAGTGCGAGAGGGACAGAGCGACGACTCTCGGAATCAGTCTGCTGTGGCGGGGCGGGGGCGGGGGCATCCGAGGGTGAAAACGCTTTCGGGGGGAAGCTGCATGAGGCGGTAATTGGAGGTGAGGTGGAGGGCCCGATATTTTTCCTCTATGGTTTCGCGAGGAGCAGGGCCGGAGGGGCCTAAGCCCCACGGCGAGCCTCCGCCCCGCCTCGCCCCGCCCCACCCCGCCCCGCCCGGGAAGCACTTGGCCGCTTCGCCGCGTCTGGTCACGCGGAAGGCTCACGGGGAGGGAGGCATGAACTCGCTGATGTAATCCCGTGGCCGTGGTGGAGCACGCGCGAGCGGCGCGAGCACGCGGGGCTGCAGACTGATTCCGAGAGTCGTTTTCGTCGCCTCGTCGCCGCGGGGCGTTACCTGGCGTTCCCTGTGGGTGCGAGAGAGACAGAGCGACGAAAACGACTCTCGGAATCAGTCTGCAGTGCAGGCAGGGCGGCGGTACTTCGAACCGTCTCGCTGTCGCATTGCTCGGCCGGAAGCAAGGCCGGAAGGCTGGAAGTCGAGAAGCGAACCGCGGCGCCCTTTCTGGTGGAGTACCGCGGAGTACGCGACGCTGGAAGGGAGCGATAACGGCCTTTGCCTTTGACTGGTTGGCCGCGAGACCGAGGGTTAGACCGCCAGACCGCACGCCGTGATCGGGGCGGGGCGGGGCGGGGCAGGGCGGGGCGGGGGGCGCCCCTCCGCGGTGTCGCTCGCTGTGTAGTGTGGCCGTAATTACGCGGAAGCGTCGCCGGGGTGCCGCGGCGCCGCGGTGGTTGCGGACGGGACGGCGCGTGCCCGCCAAGGACGCCGCCAAGGACGCCGCCAAGGACGCCGCCAAGGACGCCGCCAAGGACGCCGTCAAGGACGCCGCCAAGGACGCCGTCAAGGACGCCGTCAAGGACGCCGTCAAGGACGCCGCCAAGGACGCCGGGAAGGACAACAATGGCAAGGGCTCAGGGAAGGACAACGGCATGGACGCCGACCGGGACGGTGGCAAGGACGCCGACGAGGACGCCGCCAAGGACGCAGCCCGGGCGGTCAGCGCGGACTTGCGTGCCTGCGCGGCCTGCGCGCCGGCGCCCCTCTGAGGGCGTTCGCCCCGAGTTCGCCCGGGTCGGAACCGCGCGGCATTATTTCTGGTGTGCCGCCCCCTGGTGCCCCCTGGTGCCCCGTGGTGCCCCGTGGTGCCCCGTGGCTGCCCGCCGCCCGGCCTCGGCCAAACTATACAAATGACGGCATGACGCAACCGCGGCCGACAGGCCGACAGGCAAGCCGGCGGGGCTGATTGCTGATTGCCGGCAGCCGATTGCAAGCCGATTGCAAACCGATGGCAGTGTAGGTGAGGCGCGCTTTGGCGTTTTCGTGACCGTACGGCCGGCCGACCGGCCCAACATGAATAATGGAAACGCGTTTAATGTGTTGAGTGGCTGCGATGTGGCTTGTCTTTGGAAGGGCCGCGCCGTGGCCGCCAGCCCTGCCAGCCCTGCCAGCCCTGCCAGCCCTGCCAGCCCCGCCCTGCGCCAGCTCAAAGGGACTGGCAGGGCCGGTCAGGGCGGCCAGCTGGTCCGTGGAAATTAGCATGCATTGTCCGAGGCCCGTCCCGAGCCGAGTCGAGTAGTCCATCGAGTCCTCTGAGGCCGAGGCGCCGAGGCCCAGTGCCGTCCAGCGCTGCGGTTGGAGCGTCGGCGACCATGGCGTTATCAGGCTGGAGGGACAGGGTTAGAACGTCAGAGGCCGTGCATGCTTATCGGGAGCTTCATGAGGCTGTGCCGCTGTGCCTGACGCAGTGCCGCCGCCGCCCTGCCCGAGGCGTCATCAGAACCCCTATCTTGGGCCGAGGCCGTGTACACGACATGGGCAGAGCCTTTGGTGCAGCTACCGTGTCCGAGGCTGCTTTAGAGACCGTGCCCCAGGCACTGTCTAAGCTGGGGCGGAGGCCCGTCCGAGGCCGTGTCCGAGACCGTGTCCGAAACCGTGTCCGAGACCGTGTCCGAGACCGTGTCCGAGGCCGTGTCCGAGACCGTGTCCGAGGCCGTGTCCGAGGAGGCCAAGTCCGAGGCCGTGCCCATCGGAGACCACGTTCGGCACAGCTGAGGCGCTGTGGCTATTTGGCTTGTGGTGGCCGCCGTCTTGGCAGGACCAAGGAAGGGCCGGGCGGGAGGGCTGCGTTTACTCGACTTGAATAAAGCATAGCCCTCTGCCCCGCGAGCCCGCACCGGCCGCACCCCGACCCTGAAGCCGGTTAAGGGTTTAGGGTTTAGGACGGCTCAGGAAATTTCCAATACCCGACCCTTTCGACGAACGGTAAAAGACCTGCTACTGGTGTGATTAAAAGACCCTGTGGTTTGACTTTTTTATTCTTTTTTATTGTGCTCCTTTTTCTGCTCTGAGGCGCAAACATATATTTTTTTAAATTCTTCTCTTCTTTTTTTGCTGACTTTTTGTTGATTGTAGTTCATTGAACGTGAAGTGCTACAGGAAAACTGTCGTTTCCGTTTGGCGCTTTGCAAATGTGGCTGCCAAAAACGCCTCCGAAAGGCGCGCAAGTTGTTTTCTTTTTTGGCGTAGTTGTCATCTCTCTCATCTCCATCCTCCCAATCATCCGAATCACGTACTACTATCGTTTGCTCCCTCTGTCTCTCTCTCTGCCAGTCTGTATCTGTTATGATGTCTCTCTGTCTTTTCTGCTCCTGCGCTGCTTGCAGTAGAGGTGCAAAACAGCAAGAGGCACGGCAAACCTTTTCTAACTTTTTTTTCTGGCGTGATTCTTTAGGTTCAGCGAGTCTGCCAAGCGGCGGAACGACCCGGAGGGCGCCGAGAACGGTCCTCGGTGAGTGTGTCTGCGGAGCACGCGGAGCATGCTGGGGCACTGCGCACAGTGGACCTGCCAGGAGACCGGCGCAGGCGGACAAAACCCTAGACGCGTTTTGAGCTCCAGAGTCGCTAAATGGGACTCGAACCGAACGTGCCACCCCACCAATGGATTCCTCGTTCGGAGAGCAATCCATTGGTGGGGTCACACGTCCGGTTCTAGTCCCATTTAGCGACTCTGGAGCTCAAAATGCGTCTAGAGTTTTGGCCGCCTCCACCGGTCTTCTGGCCCACTGTGTGGCGGGTAGCACCCGTCTAGCACCCGTCTTGGATGCGGGTAGGGTACCTGTGAATAGGCCCCCTGTACTAGTGCAAGGAATCCCTCTAACCCGTTGTCGCTTTGACCTTGAGACCCACCTGGCCAGCTAACACCCCTCGGCCCCGACACCCTCCCCCGCACTGCTCCACCCTACGGCCTGGCCCCGTTGCGTGTGAATGTGTGTGTGTGTGTCGCTTAGTCTGCGAGTCGTTTGCATATCTGTGAGCCGTGAGTGGGACATGCTCCTATTTCCACGGGCTTTGCCTGTCGACTCTTAGGGGGCTGGGTCGGGAAGGTATTTCGTCTCACCTCGCCGCACCCGCACCCCCACCGCCTGCTCCCCCCCCCCCTCCCCCGCGCGGGCCTACCCGCCGCTAAAATGTTCCTCAGCGCCTCGATGTAGACCCCTAACTTCTCCTAGCATGTCACGCTGCCCTGACTAACATTAAGTGTGGCCTCCGTAGCCGGCAGATAGAGAATCACACACACGCCTATACTTCCACACACACACACACACACTGACCCGCTCACTGTTGGACTCGTCTGCGTTGCGTGTGTGTCTCATTGCGGTTCCCCCGCAGCGCGGCGGGTGCTCAGCCGCGCCGCGCGGGTTCGAATCCCGCCAGGGGCGCAAGTTTTGGTTTGTTTCGGCTGATATGAAAACGGCGCATCCCCTCGGCACGCTGCGACACTGCAGCATGGAACCCGCAGGCTGTGCGGCCTTTCGTCGCTCTGTCTCTCTCGCTCCCAACGGGCGCCGCCACGAGTGCGAGAGAGACAGAGCGACGAAAGCGCCGCACAGCCTGCTGCACGTCGACACCGCACGAGGCACGACACGAGGTCTTTTTTCCCGTATGTGCCTCCCCCTCCCCTCGCCTTGCGATCGCCTTGTAATTTGCTACACCTGTCTTGCTTACATTAGCTGGCCCAGCGTCGCCCAGTGCGGCCGCGGGCGGGCCTCCTCCGTCGGGGCCTTCTAGGCGTCTTCAAGGCGCCTTCAAGGCGTCTTCAAGGCGCCTTCTAGGCCTGCCGCCCCGCCCACAAGAAGCGCGGCACCGCGGCATGACACGCACACGTTTGCCAAACATTCTGCATTGTGTCCATGTTTTTCAAAGACACGTTCCATGTTGTGGTGGTGGTGGTGGTGATGGTGTTGGTGATGGTGTTGGTGGTGACGGTGTTGGTGGTGACGGTGTTGGTGTGGTGTGGGTTCGACAAGGTAAGAGCAACAGACTGCAGGCGGCGGAGGCGGGGCGTCCCGCTTGGACGGACATCGAGGGCCACGGGACGCCGGAGCGAGCGCCTGCCTAGCGCCTGCCGACGCGGCGCGGGCTGTACCGCCACGCACCGCTGCGCCGCGGGCTGGCCTATTGCCGACGCTGCAGGCGCTAGGCAGGCGCCGGGTAGGCAGTCCCGCGGCGCAGCGGAGCGTGGCGGCACAGCCCGCGCCGCGTCGGCAGGCGCTCCCACGCGCCGCCTGCCGGCAGACTGATTCCGAGAGTCGTTTTCGTCGCTCTGTCTCTCTCGCACTCATGGGGCGTGCCGTATAGGTGCGAGAGAGACAGAGCGACGAAAACGACTCTGCACCCAGTCTGCAGTGCTATAGATTGCCGTACAGCTGACCGCTCTCCTTGTTCTCGTCCTTGCCGTCCGTCCCGAGACGGGCCGCCGCCCTCCGGGACGCCGACGCCGCACTCCGCACCCGCGCGCACTCCGCCAGGATTAGACCTCCGCGTTGTTCGTCGTTTGTTGTTTCGCGAGGGTAGGGTAGGACGCTGGCCGGGGCCGGCGTGGACCCTGGACCGGGCTTCGGGCTTCCAGGTGGGTAGCTTTCGACCCTGGCGGGGCCGTGATGGGTTGGCGGGTCCCTGGCGAGTCCCTGGCCGGTCCCTGAGGGGTTCCTGGGCCGGTCCATGGCGCACAGTGGGCCAGAAGACCGGCGCAGGCGGCCTAAACTCGAGACGCGTTTTGAGCTCCAGAGTCGCTAAATGGGACTCGAACCGAACGTGTGACTCCACCAATGGATTCCTCGTTCGGAGAGCAATCCTAATCCATTGGTGGGGTCACACGTTCGGTTCGAGTCCTGTTTAGCGACTCGGCGGCCGCCCGCTACACGCTCCGACGTGAACATGATAGGCTGGACAGTGTGCCATGGCATCAGTCAGCGTGCTGCCCGAGTGCGGCATGCGGCACGTCCCGTTGCCGCCACGCCAGGCGTAGCCAGGCGGTGCCCCGCGCGACCGAGCCCCATTCACGCGTTTAAAAAGCGCTCAAGTCGAGTCACTGCCGAGGAGGCTGTTTTTTCGCCGCTGCGACGCGCCGCGTGGCGTCGCCGCGTCGCCGCCTGGCGGAGTAGGAGTATGTACACTGTCGGCAAGCCTGCAGTCTGATTCCGCGGGAAGAGCCCGGTCGCTCTGTCTCTCTCGCTCCCGGACGCGACGCGCCGTGAGTGCGAGAGAGACAGAGCGGCGAAAGCACTGTCCTGGCAAATACTACAGCGCGCTTTCCGCGAACGTCGGGCTGGGCCTTTGCAGTGGCGCGCCTCGCGTCTCGGACAAGTAGTCTTCTCTCGCGGCCGTGGCGGCGGCGTTCGGGATTCGAGGCTCTGGCTCGTTGCTCGCCTCAGCCGAGCGGTCCAGAAGAGTCGTTTCGTCTCTCTGTCTCTGTCGCACTCGCGGGGCTCCCCGTAAGGGCGCTAGGGAGACGGAGCGACAAACCGCTCTTCTGAATGGCGCGGCTGAATGACCGGGATGGGACTGGACGGCCGCCGCACAGTGGGCCAGAAGACCGGTGGAGGCGGCCAAAACTCTACACGCGTTTTGAGCTCCTGAGTCGCTAAACAGGACTCGAACCGATCGTGTGACCCCACCAATGGATTCCTCGTTCGGAGAGCAATCCATGGGTGGGGTGACACGTTCGGTTCTAGTCCCATTTAGCGACTCTGGAGCTCAAAACGCGTCTAGAGTTTTGGCCGCCTCCACCGGTCTTCTGGCCCACTGTGCGGCGGACCTCGCGTCGCCTCGCCGCGGACGGGGTCGGCCAGTGACACTCGCCAAGGCAAAGCCAAGGCTGCCCCGTCTCTCTCGCGCCCATACGGGACGCAGCCTGATTGCGAGAGAGAGAGAGAGAGAGAGAGAGAGAGAGAGAGAGAGAGAGAGAGAGAGAGAGAGAAAGAGGCTTCCCTATGCCGGCCTGTCCGCGCGCTGCTCGGCCCGAGGCTCGGCTCCATCGTTCACTGTACAGTTAATGGGACGACGCCTGGTTTACTTCTGAGTGGCTTCTTAAAATAAAACCGCGAATCAAAGCGAATTTCGAATGAACGGCGCGACTTTTTTGTGGCAGTGTCCGCCGCATCGTTGCTCCGCGACGCGCGGCGCGTGCGCTGCGTGGCGCCGCATAAGCGGCAAAGCCGTAAAGATAATGAGAGGCTCTTGGACCGCGAGGCTCTCGGCGCCGCGAACCGCGATCCGATCGATCAATAATTAATAGCCGAAAAAGAGTTGTAAATTCCGAGGGGGGCGGGCGAGGCGGGCCGGCGGAGCGCGGCGACAAATCGGCCGATGGCCGTATAAATAACTATGAATGGACCAATGGACGGGCCGCGGGTTGGGGGACACCCTCCGTGGGGGGAGGGGAGGGGGAGGTCCGTAAAGTGCGGCACGATTCCAGGCCGCGTTTGCCGAGGCGTTTGGCGGCGTTTGCCGAGGCGTTTGCCCCTTCCCACCTGACACGGCCATGCATTGGAGATGACGGCGCTCGGGGACATGACGTCACGTCGGGGACGGAGGGACCTCAGGGACGACGGGGACGTCGGGGCCGGTCCCCCAACTTTGTCTGCGGCTGACACGCGTGCTCGCCGAGGGTGTGGGGGGGTGGGCCAGGGCCAGCCCGGCCAGCCCCGGCCGGAGAGGGTCTGCGGAGACATCGGAGGGCAGCGCCGCCGCGCCCCACGACAGCACAGTGGGCCAGAAGACCGGTGGAGGCGGTCGAAATCCCGGACGCGTTTTGAGCTCCAGAGTCACTAAATGGGACTCGAACCGAGCAAGTGACCCCACCAATGGATTCCTCGTTCCGAGAGCAATCCGTTGGTGGGGTCGCACGCTCGGTTCGAGTCCTGTTTAGCGACTCTGGAGCTCAAAAGGCGTCTAGAGTTGGCCGCCGGCGCCGGTCTTCTGGCCCACTGTGCACAGGCTGGCCGAGGCGACGCTCGGCGAAGTTGATGAATGTTGGAGCTTGCAGCAGCAACAGCACTGGCGGTGCCGTGGGCCGTGGCGCAGTGGCGCGACTTTGGGGGAGGCGAGGCGCGAGGCGAGGCGCCGGAAAAGTCAGTGGCGCGGCCAGACGAGCAGACGACACGGCGGCCACGTGTTTGACCCGCTCCATTATTTGCTCGTCTGTCTTTCTCTCTCTTTCTTTCTCGCTGCGCCGCTGCCTCTCTTTTTCGCTCTCTTTCCCTCTACCCCGTCGTCCTCTTCATTTTCTCTCCTCTGTCCGCTTTCGTCGGGCTGGCGGGGCTGGCGGGGCTGGCAGCTGGTCCCTCTGGGGCCCCGGCCGCCCCGCGCCCCGACGCGACGCCCGACCCGGACGACACTCCGACACCGCCGCCTCGGGGCGGGGCGGGCCGGGGCGTCCCCGCTGCACCTAGCCTCGCTCGGGGTGTCGCGCAAAGTCCCGCATATGGGTCTGGCTGTCCGCCCTGCTGCGCCGCGCTGCGCCGCGCGAGTGTAGGGCGCAGGGCGCAAGGGACGGCTGGGAGGGGCGCAGTGCGCAGACCACTCTCGTCTGTTGTGTCCTTCCCGGTCTTCCCCGGAAGGGACTAAAGGGACGGGACAGGCTGCTGGTGCCTGTGGCTGCTGGGTGTGCATTAGTCGATTCAACGTAACGTGACACTAGTCGTGCCCAGGCCCCTGGGGGTCTGGCTGGCTGGCCGGGCTCGGGGTAAGGCTAAGGCTCGGCGGCTGCAGCTGTACTGCTCTCCGTCTCTCTCTCACTCTCTCGCAGCCGCGCGGGCTTAGCCGCCGCCCGCAGCTGGCTGAAACTTCATGCAGCTTACAGATCGATACCATACCCGGCCTGCCTGGCCCTGCCCCCGCGGTGAGAGCTGCGGCGCTCGGATGGAGGGGGCGGTGGGGGGCGGTCCAGGGAGGGGGAGGGGGGTTACCAACACTCATCACTCACCGCGGCCTTGGCCTTGGCCTGGGCGCCGGGAGGGGGGAGGGGGGGCAGCTGTCCCCCTTTAGCGACCGCCCCCGGCGGCCCCAACCCCTCCAGCGTATAAAAATAAGAATCGCACCTGGCAATGTGCTGGGCAGCGTGGCAGGCTGGTGGCAGGTTCGCGTCCCCGCCGGGGTTTCTTTTTCGGGACGCGGTCAGGGAGGGGGGGGGGGGGGGGGGAGTTCCTGGACGGCATGACACGCGCCCAATGACGCTGCACTCCACTGATGACGGGGCTGCGATACTGACCTGGTGCTCCGGCTCCCTACGGCCCCCTACGGCCCCCGGCCTTGCGGAAAGTGAAACGTGAAACATGTTTGCTCCTTCAGGAACTTTGCCGCGCTGCTCCGCTGCTGTGCTGCAGCGCGCTGCCCGTGGTGATGGCGACTCAAGGTGGCGGTCCCGATGCCGGTTGCTAACATTCTAACGTGTCAAGCCTGTCTGCCTGTCTGTCTGCCTGTCTGTCTGTCCGGCCGTCCGCGCGTCCGCCTGTCTCTGTTTAAAGACTCGGTGTCCTTGTTCCAGGCTAACCCATCCCAACATCGTCCAGCTGCTCGAGACCTTCGAGGACAAGCACAAGGTGTACCTCATCATGGAGTTGTGAGTACCTCGCCGGCCTGACTTGCCGCGGCCGGAACGACGCACTGCTTGGAGCGTCGATAGAAATACGGGGAAAAGGGGGGGGGGGAATCCTTTGCCCCCTGCCTGCCCTGTCGTAGATAGATAGAGGTAGAGTTGGGAATTTCCGAAAGTATAAAGGTCCATTGATAACACACGGTTTTGTTCTTTACAGAGTGACTGGCGGTGAGCTCTTTGACCGCATTGTTCAGAAAGGTTCATACACTGAAAAAGATGCCTCAGATCTGATACGTCAAGTTCTGGAAGCTGTAGATTACATGCATGAACAAGGTGTTGTTCACCGGGATCTGAAGGTACTGACAGTTTGCTGCTGGATTCATTTGTACGTCTATTTAGTTTTCTCTGATACTTCAGTAGTTTCACTGAGTAACTGTTTATTTTCAGCCGGAAAATCTTTTGTACTATAGTCCCGATGAAGATTCTAAGATAATGATAAGTGACTTTGGCCTATCGAAAATGGAAGATTCAGGAATCATGGCAACTGCTTGTGGAACTCCAGGATATGTTGGTTAGTATAAAATTTACTTAAAAAAAAAAAAAAAGTTCATATCAAGTGTTAAAAAAACTGTACCTTGATTTGGTCTAATGTAACCTTCTTAACATGAATTTTTCCTCATGCTACCTTTTTATTCTGTTTCACATTATTTATTTTCATCTGATGTTTTTCTTTCACATATTCATTACTTTTGTTTCATTTTGTTTTTTTCCAGCTCCTGAAGTTCTTGCTCAGAAACCTTATGGTAAAGCGGTTGATGTGTGGAGCATAGGTGTTATTTCATACATATTGCTTTGTGGTTACCCTCCATTTTATGATGAAAATGATGCCAATTTATTTGCCCAAATATTGAAAGGTATGATCTAGTAAATTTTCAAGAAATTGCGGTAGTTTGATTCCCCCACATCCTTGCTAATGTTACTATGGAACTCTATTTTATGTGTCCAGGTGATTTTGAGTTTGACTCTCCGTACTGGGATGAAATAAGCGATTCTGCAAAGGATTTCATCCGTCAACTTATGTGTGTTGAAGTAGAAAAGAGATATACTTGCAGACAGGCATTACAGCATCCGTGGTGAGTCCTTTCATCTGTGTTACTGTTTGTTTCTCATAATTTTTTTCATGTCTTTAAAAAAATAATGGCTTTTCTTGCTTTGTCCTTCAGGATTTCTGGCAATGCTGCTAGTAACAAGAATATCCATGGAACTGTATCAGAGCAGCTCAAGAAGAACTTTGCTAAGTCACGATGGAAGGTAAAGTACCATAAGACATTTGGCACCTGCCAATACCAAATGAAATAATCCACCCCAGTCCTTAAGTCCCTACATGTTCTCTCTGAGATGTTTCCACTTCTTAACTTCACTTCTTTGTGTCTTTATTTGTCTGTCAAATGTTTGAACGTGAGTCACTTTTGTTACCATTGTCCTCATCTGCGTGGCCCTTGTACAAGGTGTTTTCTTTTTTTTTTTCCATGAAACTGTTTGTTCATTGGTGGTGGTCCTAATGGTTCTACCTCTCTTCCAGCAATTGATGAACGCCATAGCCATGGTGCACAAGATGCAGAGATTAGCTCTTACCAATAATACTAGTAGCATGGATGTAGACGAAGCCCAAAGGTGTGACACCATTCAGGAGGAGACGGACGAGGGGGATGAAGGTACAGCGCTGTGCACGGTCTATGTCTCTGTCGTGTAGCTATACCCTCCCTGCTCGTTGATGTTGTCGAGTGATTACTGTCAGACCCCCAACATAGCTGAGCAGCCCATTTCTCTTGACCTGTTGAACAAACCTCTATTATTGTATTTTGCTCATTGAGTAGGTAGAAACATAGTGAACATACACTCAGATATGACCTATAAATCATATAAATACAGTATATATAGTCATAATAGTCTGTGTGGTTCTGATAGCTCAGAATAAATGGGTTGAGGCTTTAAGATAGAGAACAGGGATTGAAAGAAGCACATCCCAGTGTAGAGTAGAATGCACTGGAAGAGAATCTAGCAGAGTGTGTAGTTCTCCAGAATACCAAATGGGATCAGGGGGCTGCAAATTCAAGTGCTGGTTTCTCTGCAAACATGCAAATTTACTGCTCAGAATTGCACACCACTTTTCAATAATTCAGATTCTATTACTCTTTGCTGCCTTCTGGTCCAAAGTGAAAAAACGTATGTAAATATGAGCAAAATATGTATAAAAAAGCTCGTCAAAAAAAATACCATATCACATGTAAACCTGCGCTCATATGTTAAGAGGAGACCAGTTATTTATTTTTCTTTGTTTTCTTTTTCTTTTTCAGTGATGTGCTTTGTGTGTTTCTCAGCTCAATATTCCTTGCTGCTGTGCCTGAGGCAATTACTGTAGTGTTTTTTTTTCTGTAGGAGACAAGGGTGTTTGTGGAGCATTTCATTTGCCAAACCTAGTTCTCTCCAATCTCCTCAATTTTGTGCTAAAATTTGAAGTTTTAAATATTATTGCCGTATTGAGACTTTGATCTGAACCAAACTTCATGAACAGTATTAGCTCCTGTCTTTCTCATTTTGCTCTTGTTTTTCTCTTTAAATCTAATTTTTAATTTCCTTTCAAGATTACTTGGTATTTCCTTCTCTCATAGCTTTTCATGGTAGCATGCAACTGGAATGTTATATGAGCAGTTGTCATAAACTTGTGTTTTACTCTGGTTATCCATTTTAGTGCATTGTCTTCACCCTGACTTGTTTTCCAGCAGTGTGTTATTTTTGCTGCTGCATCTGTTCGCATGGAAGTGGCTGTAGGACTAGAAGTGGCTTTGCGTGACAACAATTTAAATCTCTTAAGTTAATTAATTTTCATATATCTCTTGCCTTCCTTAGTCCCTCTTGGATTGCTTACACAAATTCACAAGTGTCTCAGCTAAACTACAAAGCTCCAAATAGTTGCTGTACAGCAGTAAACGCCCAGAGGATTTCTTTATCTCAATGGCTCTCACTTTTTGAATATTGTTCTAAAGTTCATCATCAAATCCCATTTTTTTGTCTGTCACAACTGCTCTAGAAACACTCACGAGTTTTGTTTTACTTTACACAACAAGTCATAATATCTAATGTGAGATGGTTTGTGTTGCAGCAAGCTTATCACGCAGCCACCGTGATTCATCAAATGAAGCGCATGGCTCTGAGCAGTAGCACCGGGGGAGCGGCAGTAGCCGTGGCTCCCAACTCTGGGGAGGCCCGTCGCAGCCCGCCGCCGAGTGCCCGCGCAAACAGGGCCAGCAACAGCAAGCCTTAGTCCTGGTTCACATTTACTCTCGCTGACCAAGACACGCCTGCCATCAACCCCACTTCATTGTTTATTTGAAGACGCTTGCACAGGATTACAGCATTCATGTGCAGAAAAATATTTTGAATTTCTATTGTAGAATATATTAAAAAATATATTGTGAGACACTAACTCTTTGTAAGCAACGCCAAATTCAGCAATACGTTTTTTAAATGGGAACAGTTGGTACCTTTTATTGGTAGTTTGCAAGTTGATTTTGTTTTGCCCTTTAAGGCCACAAAAATCTGATGTCGCTCTTTGTTTTGACCTAACTGCCTTCCATTTACATTGGTTTCAAGGTACGTCCGTGTGTGTGTAACATTTTGTTGAACTTGTTTTAAAACTCATAATTTGGCTTGCAGTCCATTTGTAAATAATTTTGCTCAAAGGAAATATTGTCATGGCTTTCATCAATAACCATTCCTAAGAATTATCTTCTAGATTATTGGTCACTCAGATACTTTGCAGTCGTGTTTTACACAGTAATATTCAAGAATAATGTGTTTTCACATTGCTTTTTATTCTTCTTCCTTGAAGCTTTTGCCTTGTTCTGTTCCCAACATATCAGGTATATATGTAGCTGGCATAACTAAATTTTCAATGTCTATGAACCTTGATGTTACAATATTTTGGGACATTTCATAAATAGTTCCTAGTTATGTTGGTCTGATGAGCTTTGCATTTTAACCCACCGTTTAATGAAAAACATGTCTTAGTTTTACGAACTTTACCTTTTCTACCTGCATTTGTAGAACAAAGAGATCTGTCTCTTTCTTTGAAGGCCTATGTAGAAATCTTTTGTGCGTTAAATTTTTTAAGGAGCACAGTTGTGGATAGCCTCTGTGGCTTGTGAGGATACTTCAATGACCAGGTGCTAGTAGAGATATCTCTTGATAATATTGCAGTATCTTTTTGCTGAGCCCATGAGTGGTGGTGTTCTTACCCTATCCTCAGTGATCAGATGTTTCTGTAAAACTATTAATTCTTTGACACGCATACATCTTTGTAAGTGCAAAGTTCTAGAATCATTTTCTTGTGATAATTGGTTGTGCATTTGGAATGAATGACCCACTGTGTGTCAGCTGTCTTGCCCCTAGAATTTCTGTATCTGGCCCAAGTACTGGAAGAAAAAGAGGTGGTTAATTTTTTTTATCTTTTCAAAAATTATGTTTAGTTGTCAAAACAGCGGACAGTTATGATAATAACTGTATCCTTTTCACACGCCGTAGATTTCCAGAGTAACAATCAAATCCATTCCTTCATTTTATAAAAATTCCTTTTTATATACATTGATTTTTAAACTGTGTGAGATTTGTCATAATATTTGTGTTCTTTTTAATGCAGCTCTTTGCAGTGTGTCCTTGACCCCTCTTTGGAAGCAGAAAGTTGTTAACATCAACTGTATCATTGTACTGTATGTATGTTTTTAACTGTGCTGGTTTCAATATGTAAAAGCTGTCATTCCTGGTTCATTCAAAATGAATTTTATGCTGTTCCTATAAATGAACAGGGTTATTTGATAACCTGGCATCTCATTTGGATTTCACAACATTTTGTTCTCTGTGGTATTTTGTTGGTTTGGTTTTACTCTTAAGCATTCCTACCTTTTAAAAACGTCAACTTGTTGAATTCTTCTTCCTTTTTATTTTATTATTATTAAGAGAAAATCTTTTAAAAGTGTATTCTTGTGTATGAAAGAAAGAATTTCTTCTTGTCGCGTCCACAGCCGTGATATGTTTAGATGCTGCATTCAAGTACTTGATTTGCGCAGTTTCTTGTGCTATCAATTATACTGTTAATCTGGATGTAGTTTGTTTTTTAAGAGTCTATATGTATGTTGTCTGTGAACCTGAACACAGAAAGTGCACAGTGCATAATGCATCTGGTGCCCTTAAGCAATGTTGAATTTTAATGTTGTTGGAACTGATGCATTTATTTACACACCTGCTGTGTGTTGATCTTATTTACAATATATATGTATAATATATGTATACATAAAAGTAAATACCTATCTTATATACATTTAAGCTAAGATTGTTTTATATCTTGTGAGAATGACATGGTGGTCAAGCTTCTTAAAAGCAACTGCCTTGAACACTTACAGCTCTCTTCCTCTGCTCCTGCAAATGTCTCTTCTTTCATTCCACTGTTATTTCTAATTCTAAACAATCTTCTCCTATTCTTACTAATCCTACTCTCTATAATTATTGCTATTACTACTAATAATGTGAGTTTAGGTAAATTAATATTTTAAAAAATTGTTTTTGAATGCTTGTTTTCAGTAAAATGAGTATATGATGTTGACTATCATGTTACCTTATGGCCATACTTGGCCATCTCAAAAGCAGTGTCGGAGAAAACTTTGGCGCTAATGTGGTACATTTCACCCAACAAGGTTTTCCGAATCCATTGCTTCAAAAGAAAAGAACAAAAAGAAGTGTGAGGCTACTGTTTGCATTTTTTGCACAAAGTAACTCATTATTACCCTTGCCTTTCTGATCTGCTCTTGTTTGTTTCTGTCTTTGGAAATCACATTCCCTTCTGTCTTGCCCTTGTCAACTTTATTGTGACTGTGGGTAGCACACAAATTCTTTGCTGGCCATAATTCATGTGTTTACAGTAATATTTTGATAATGCATTAGTCACACTGCTAATCCAATTTTGGGTTCAAGTATTCACATCGGACCACAAGACCCCGTGCATTCGGGTGTCGACCTCGCTTGTCTTATCCTTGCAAAGGTAAGACATAAGTGGTCCACATTTGCAGGCATTAGACTAACGTGGTTGACACCTGCAGCTGTGGGACTATGTGACCTTTTCTTTAAGCTACAGCTTCATGAAGCATGACTCTGTATCTACTGCTTGCTATTTTACATGAATTAGAGCAAATAGTTACATTTAATTTTCAAATGTCAAACATATCGACCACAAAAAGAAATATTTTATTGGTAGATATAAATCTTCACTAATGTGTCTAGCTTTTTAAAACAGATTCAACTCAGTTACCTTACAAGTTTTTTCTTTGTCCTACCTGCTTAAGTAAATACTCATCTTTGCTTGTGTTAATTTTGGCTAGTTCAACAACAAAATATAATTGAAAGCTCTCTTGAAATTCTATTGTTTATGCATTTTGTGATTTATGCATTTAGTAGCCGTTACTGAAACATCTTAAGGGTTAAGTGTAGTAATGAAAATTATCACGAATATCTGTGAGTGATTGCTGTATGGTCTTATGATACTGCATACTAGGTTTGTGTTTGTCTTTTCCCAATCTCCCGTATTTGTGTTTGTAGACCCTCTGGGAGAAAGCTCATGTCATCTCTTCAGGTGTCCGCCCATGTGCAACAACAGCACTTGATCTTTATTATGACATTATTTCTGTCAATAAGAAACAATGTATTGTGCTAGCAGTGTCCATTTCTTCCATTAATATCATTAGCCGTTGCTGCCCATCTAGTGCAATGTCTCTCTGTTCCTACCTTTCCATCGTAAATGGCTATGCCATGAAATGCAACATTCTGACTGCACCCTCTTCGTAAGCGTTACTATGTTTGTTATATTTTTGTACGCATAGCCAGGTAATAAACTTATGTGAGTAAGCTATCTGCTGTTATTAAGCGTTGTGTTTGCACTTTTTTGTTTGATTTTTTTCTATTTGTGGCATGTTTGTTTGTCAAATGTTTTATAATGAAATCCAGAGCTCAATATTGTCGAAAATTTAAATTCAAATTAACATCACCATGACCAACTGTATTTTTGGCTCTGTTATGTTCTCGTTCTGTTTTTTCCTTCTGTGCATCTTTTAATGTTGAAATTTTTATATGTTTACTTGTGTTATTTTACCTGTTTTGTTTCTTGAAAGATTTTCAGTCATTTTAAATTGTGTTTTTTTATTACAAGTGTATGTTGTTATCAACGATTATCTTGTCTTTATAAAAAGTTCATTTATTTCATTTATTTGTTTGAATGTTCTGTATTAACAATTTTTGAATCTGTGTTTTTCTTCATTTGCTAGCATTGTTGTAGATTAATTCTTTTGAACTCAATTTCGCCTTTACTGCTGGAAATTGTACGAATATTTAACATAATTTTTTTTTAGTTAGTGAAAAGCCTGAAAAGCCTTAACAAAATGTGGGATGGCTTCAATATGTGTGGGCATGTATTTGTTTTCTGCCAAGTGCCATTCAAGGTGACTGATTGAAAAGAGCCATGCCATGAACGAGATGCCATTTTTAAGGGGTATATAATCATATCTAAATTGCATCTTGAATGCATGTACAGATTTCTGTAATTGTAGTTGAACAGCTACACATTCAATTAAACTGTTTTGTAAAATTCTTAATAAGTGGTTAATTAACTATAGTGTTTTAAGCCATATTTTCTCAAAAAGAGTTGGATTGAATTTAAAGATTTATCTTCCATTTGACCATGCCTCAAAGCAGGTATAACCATTGCTTCTCATGGTCAAGCGTAGGGCATCATATCTACCATTTTACGCACATGCTACACTTATGATTTGTAAGCTTCGATGTTGTTGTCAAGAATTGTGAGTTCAGATGGTCTTATTTTTGTGAACAAAGTATGTTGGACCAAAATGTGATAAGGTTTTGTTCCATTTCCTTTGTTTCTGTTTCTCTTTTATGTTCTCTTCCATTCTCATTTGAATATAAATGTGCAATATGTTAATTTATTTGTGGAAGTAACTGGTTAATTTTATGTTGCTGCACACATCGAATTTTCGTGCAAATGAAAGAGGAGTGTCAAAATAAATGGTGATGTTACAAAGAGATTTTCTGGCGTCCACTTGTTATTTGGGAACCCCTTCCCGCCCTTCCACAAACTTTGAGCGCAAACGCATGACAAAGCCGCGCATGGCTCGCACTCGCGCATAGAGAGGGCCGCGCCGCCGTGCCTGGCCGCGCCTCGCCGATGCAGGACTTCCCCGCCGTTGTCGCAAGGCCATGCCTGGCCATGCCTGGCCATGCCACTATGACGGACAGAAATAGGTTGCGCGAGATTGAAAGCAGCGCTTCCTATCGCAGCCCTCCCATCTTATTCAGAGACCTCGACGCTTACTTTGAGTTCCTGGCCACCTGCAAGAGGGAGTTCGACGCCTCGTGGAGGCGAAAGTGCCCGGTGGGCCGCCTGGAGGACTGGGACCGGGTGAGAACCTTGGGGTCGGGCTCCTTCGGTCGAGTGATCCTCGTCCAGAACAGAGACACCAAGCAATTCTGCGTCATGAAGGTGATGGAGAAGGCCAAAGTAATCAAAATGAGGCAAAAGAACCACGTGCACGACGAGAGGCGAGCTCTCAACTACGTCAACTTCCCGTTCATCGTGTCCCTGGTCACGTCGTTCAAAAACTTCAACTACGTGTTTCTGGTGATGCCGTTCGTGCCGGGGGGCGAGATGTTTTCCTACCTGCGTCGCGTTGGCAAGTTCGGCGAGGACCAGGCGCGCTTCTACGCCGCGCAGGTCGTCCTGTCCTTCGAGTACCTGCACAACGTGGACCTCATCTACCGCGACCTCAAGCCGGAGAACATCCTGCTGGACGACAGGGGCTACGTGAAGCTCGCCGACCTGGGCTTCTGCAAGGTGGTGAAGGGGCGCACGTGGACGCTGTGCGGCACGCCGGAGTACCTGGCCCCGGAGCTCATCCTCAGCAAGGGCTACGGCAAGTCGGCCGACTGGTGGTCGTTCGGAGTGCTGCTCTACGAGATGGCGGCGGGCTTCGCTCCGTTCCACGGCTCCGAGACCATGCGGACGTACGAGAAGATCGTGGCGGGCAGGTTTCGCACCATCCCGCATTTCTCTCCGGAGCTCAAGGACCTGGTGGAGAGGCTGCTGCAGGCGGATCTGTCGAGGAGACTCGGCATTCTGAGAGACGGGGTGAACGACGTCAAGAGGCACGCCTGGTTCCGGTCCACCAACTGGCTCGCCCTGTTGAACAAGCAAGTGAGAGCTCCGTACGTACCGCGGTGCCAATCCCCAGGGGACTCCAGCAACTACGACGTCTACGTGGAGAGGGAGCTGACGACAGCCAGTCAAGACAGGTTCCCCAACGATTTCATTGACTTTTGAGAGGACGCAGTCAGGACGCAGTCCCATCGCACAGAGTGGTCTTAGAATGGTCTTCGAAATGTCGCGCGATTTATATCGTTAAACGCCTGCGACGCCTGTCCGAAATAAGCCACCGTCTGTCTTTGCCGGCCATTGCCCTCAAGACCTCAAGAGCGACAGATTTGAATTTGGCGGTTCTCTACGATTCATCAGGTGCACCAGGACGTCCCCGAACCACGCTTCACCAACACCGGAGGTGGACTCTTTAACTTTATTTATGGTAAAGCGCCAACAATTGTTTTACAAGAGGATGACCTGACGGCGAACCCAACTAGAAGTTCTCTAGAAGCGTTTCTCCAAGGAAACGGCTTTGTTCAAATTTCTCATAGTCTGTTACGCTTTTGTTCTCATAGCCCTAACGTGTCTTCTGCTAGCGAGTTGTTACGTCATTGACGGGTAATTGACCATCGTCCTGACACTGACATTGACAGGGCAGGACTTTAAAGGTACACGAAGGCATACCCTACAGTTTGATCGCTCTTTTGTCAGACTGTGAAAGAGACTCAAAGGTCTTTCTGTTCTGTTCAAACAGCTCGACACGGTGCGTCTGTCGAAAGGCTCCACGACTAACCTCTAGATTCCTGCAGCCTTGTCTGCTCTCTTGCGTCAGCCGTTCCAGAGACGGCGAATCCAGCAGTGTTCATTCGTGTCAGGTGAGCAATTTCGGTGCACAGTGTTTCTCGATTCTGTTTCCGTCTTCGCACTGTCAAATACTCTCTTACTGGCGCACCCAAGAAACCTGCAAGAAGTGCCAAAGTGCCCAGGTCTATCTTCAAATTTTTCCCTCCATGTTTATGGCCTTGTCCTTCTCTGGGCCTTGTCCTTACCTTTGAGCCCTGCACTCATCTTCTAACGAATCTTCACTTATCGATTATTAGCGCTCCCTTCATGTATTTACAATGTCAACTTGTTATTCTATTATTTTTTAGTTGCGGTACAGCATCACAATGGTGAGGGGAACTCAAGCACCTATGATATTTGAGGAGTACGAGAATCGGGAGACTTTCGTTGAGAAATATCAACGCAGAATAGTACAAAATCCGTTCTTGTCAGCTGGTAAGTTGCTTTGGCGTAACAAAATGTGTTTCATTAAATTATTTGTGGTTTTTTTTTTGGTGATTTATTAATGTTATGTTTTATTTCTTTACTAGGTCTTTTTGGTTTGTGCACAATGTTAGTTGTGGGAGCTCGCAAGTACAAAAAGTTACGAGCTGATGGCATGTCACCATCAATTTTCCTTATAAATTTAAGAGTAGCAGCTCAAGGAATGGTTGCAGGTGCTTTAGGATTAGGGCTGTTGTCTCAGTATTTTAGTGAAACAGTTATCTCATCAGATAATAATTCCAAGAAATCATGATTTGGTGCCTGATTTCAATCAGTGTTAGGTATTTATTTTGTAAAGCCTCAAATTGCGGACCCATCTTAATTTTATGCAATGAAGATTGATGATAGTGTGCAATAAAGATGGCTTATTTCTTGTTCTATTCCTAGGAATCTTTGTTGTGCATTGTTGCTATGGATACTAAAATGTACATATATGTTCAACAAATTTGTTTCAGTTACATTTATTTTTTTACTCTTTATGAGCCTATTTCCTGTGTTTTAGCCTTAAAAAAAGCAAATATTTTGCCCTTTCCTTATTGTGCAGTTATGTTCAATTGTTACCTGAGGAAATGCAACAAACAGGTCAGAAAAATTTTATGTGCAGATGAAGAAGCAAACTGTTAGACACTTTATTCTCGGAAATGGTAAACCTTTTAAGTTTTGGATCATGTCAAAATAAAATTTACATGAAAATTTGTCAGAGACTTTAATTGCAAATTCCCTTTTGCACAAAAACACATGCAAGAAAGGTTCACCACAACCCCTGCCCATATACTTAGAATGAAACAGCAGAACTGGAAGATTCATTATTAATTTGTCTATAAAGTACAGAGCCAAATGACAAAATTGTTTCAAAATTTCAGCTGGTTTCAAGCTATAATAACAATGGAATGAATAGCACAGAGAAAACTTTCACCAGTAGCATTCTCCACGCAAGCAGCATGTGGCTTGAGCTATATCACAGTTAATACTTGAGGGAATGGTACAGTTAATTAAATCATGCTCAAATGCACAACAGGAAACTTTTGAATGAGCGACACCACCCAAACTGCCACTCGCCTAGGGTATTTGTAAAGCACTCATTTGCTTCCAGGTAAAAGTAACATGCATAATACAGTATATATTACAATTTTGGTTTTTATCACAGAAAACAATAATATACAGGCCAGAGGCTGTTAAATTATGTGTGTGTTGGAAACATTTCATATTCCATAAGTAATGAGTATCACTTCATAATCAGGTCCACTGGAAAAATAGAAGAGAAAAGAAACCCAAAGAAATAATATGGACTGGAAGTTGCTCCTTTTAGACATGATAAAGGCAAACCAATACCATCATTAGGGTAAAATTGTTTTACCACTTGATCAAACTGTTTCCTTAAGTCCATGGTCTCAAAAATGAGTGTGATTCACACTAAAGTTTACAAGAGTGCTATCAAACATTCAATAAAGACAAGTGCTTTCACTCTGCCAAATTCTTTTCATTTCTCTTGGATGAAGAAAGACAAAAAGAATACATAAATACATAAACAATACTTTTCTTTGAAAAGGAAATCCGATTATTGAATTGCAAATAAGGGACTGAGAAATTATTGTCAAATACATTCAAAATGCGTACAAACAAATCAATTGGCATCCATGAGTTACAAAAAAAGGACATCCAAATTTTCGTACTCAAAACTGAGCTATCAGTACAGATGTCTGTCAGTGGCAGAAGTGGAATGCCTAGTGCTTATAGAAAGATTCCTTCATTGATATATGGAGGGTTTTCATTGCACTCAGTCAATATTTCAATATTCCATAAACAGAACAATGACTTAGAGATCTTACAATAAAGGAATAAAATTAATTACAACTCATCACGGAAGGCTCGAAGAATATTGATCCTGTTGCCCATATCAGTCTTTTTAACATCTGATAACTTTCCAGTTAAAAGTTTGTTCAGACGCTTCATCTCGTCATCAATAAATTCTGAACCCTTTTCAACCATTCGCTGCATCATTTTCACATATACTTCACCTGTTTTTCTTTCCTCGAGTTTTTCAAGTCTGCCAACAAGACCTTGAGCCTCACGGAGAATCTCTTTCCTGTGACAGAAACACCAGAAAATATAATCATGAACAACTGGCCACCCTTGCTATTAACCAGGCAAAAACATGAAATGATAAAATAATTACCTTGAATTTTCATCTTTGGCAACTCTGAACTTAGAAGCAATTTTATCAAATGCCTCTAAACAGCCAGGCAGACCAACATACTTGCCAGACTTTGTCCGAATGAACTGGATCAAATTTTCGGAAGTGAAACCTTCCTCTGTGGTCTCTTCAAAGTCTATTGGTTCTTTGCCTGGAGGAAATAGAAGCACATTTAAATTAAATTGTTTGCACCAAGACAACAAATCAAACACCAGATCACTCACCTTTCATAAACAGTTTCACAACAGGGAACTGTTCTTTGTCGATCTTAAAACGCTCAGCAAGATCAGAGTTTTCCTTTTCTCCATAATCTTTGACACCAACTTCTGCGATCAATATATCTGCTGCTTTTGCAGCTTCAGCCATTTTGGTGAAGGCTTCATGCTTGGGTCCGTAAGGATATGCAACGTCAAATTTGATTAAGGAGACGTCAAACTTGTCAATTACCTGAAACAATAATTATGCTTTTGGTAAACATTGAGACGTAAAGCCTGTTGAATGCGAGCTTAATAATTTGTTCATTAGGATATTGATGCCAAACGAAATAAAATTTAATTTTAAAAATTAAAGACGAAGTTGAGGGGTGTAATAAAATAATTTTTGACATGGTTTAAAATGTGCTGTAAATGTTTTGAATTTTTTGAACGAAAGAGTAAGTTTGAACGCTTTGTTTTGAAATGAAGGGATGCTTCAAACCCGGGATGAATGGAAAGAATGTCACGTCATTACAAACGTTAAGAGAAAAGGGAACTATATTAAATTTAATTTTGAAATAAGGATCTGCTGACAAGAAAATATTGCCAATATTCCAGTGCTGTCACATGCTGTACAGGTTACCAGCGTTGGCCGCACGCCATTGGCCCACGTCATCGCTCCAGCCAATGGGAGACTGCCGCCTCGGCCGCGCACCGGCTCCGCTTCGCACTCCCTTCCCTTTTTACCTTATCAAACGTCCAGGAGTCCAAAGCGACGGTCCCCATGCCGAGGCTTTCCGCGCATAGCTCCAGTGAAACGAGCAGCAGGACGAGAAGCCGACTCATCTTGCAGCTTTTCGGGTCCTTCGAGTCCTTCGCTGGCTTGTTGTGGTTCGGTCCGCTTGCTGTCTGCTAGAGCGTCTGCTCGACCGACACCGCCGCCTGCTTCTGGCTGCGCTCGTCTCGTCGTTCGCACGCAAGCGCGAGTGGGAGGGGAGGGGAGGGGATGGGCTCGGAAGGGGAGGGGAGGCAAGGGGAGAAGAGGGAGAGGGGAGGAGAGATAAGCCAGCAGGCGGGACTTCCCTCTTCCAGTGTCAACGCTTTTGCTGTGCTTCGGTAGGCGAATAGAAGAAATTGTCGTCGACGGATGGAAATGATGGAATTCTTTATTAAACGATATAAATCTTACAAATAGATAGCTCTATTCTAGTGTATTTGATAAGACGGTTTGGGGGGAAATACAACTGACAAAAACACAGTCACGTGAAATTCAACAATCAACAAAAACAAAAGGGCTCGTGTGTGACAAAGCGACAGGGACACGACAAGACGTTATGAAGGTTCAACCTTTACCAGCCAGTGCTTCCGTGTGCTGCGGGTCCAGAAGGGAATCCACTTCCGCTAGAAACGTGTCAGTGTAACCTGCAACACCGACGTTCTCCATAGGGAAAAAAAGTGATGACTTCATTCGGCAAGAAAAAAACAACAACGTACCTTGTAATTTTTCTAAGGGAGGTAGGAAACCTCCGTAATCTGCAGGCAAACAATCCTTCGGAATGAACTCGTGGAGTCCAGCCTCCTCCTCACTGGTATGAAATTGAAACTAAGAATAAGGAGAAAGGAATGAGTTAAAGGCAACGAATATTACTCGTCTTATGGAACGCGCAAACCGTTTTGTTAAGTTCAGGCGCGTGAATTAAGTGGGTCACGATGGGGAGGGGGGGGGATTTGCCCCCAGTTGCAAATACTTAGGCAAAAGGCAAAAAGAGCCCTTCCTCTTTTCTAGTCCTAGAGACGCGCCCGTACAGTAATGTGATACCCACTATTGACGTTAGCTCCTTGTTGATGAAGGGCCGCAGCATCTTCATGATGCGGTCCATCAGGGTCGTCGTGTTGACGAAGTGGATCCGCTGCATCCTCAGCGGCAGGCCTTCCTGTGGGCACCGCATCACACTTTCATGCCAAACATCCACATCACACAGTGCAGGCGCGGATAAATAGGAGGCGCAAATGTTTTTTTGCGAGGGTTTTCGCCGCAGCCATAGCACCTTGATAGCCGCCTGAAAGGTAGGCAACAGACTATACTTGGCTCCTTTAAAGAGAGGAAAAGTGCTACTGTACTTCAGCGGCCGTTGGGCATAAGGGCGTAAGTCACATGGGAAACCCATTGAAAATTGGTTTGTTCTGTCCGATGATCACTCGCTTCACCCCAGCCAAAGGCCGCTCGTTCGTTGGTGCGCCTGAGTGCGGGCCACTCTGCACACATGAGTACTAGTCGGTACTAGTGATTAACTAGTACCATCATGTCACCACATCATGTCACTGAAGGGATCGCAAGGACTTGAGGTGCCCACCTGCAGATACTTGAAGATCTTCCTGGGCAGCCGGATGCCCCAGGCCCACATGTGGCTGAGCTGGACGCCCTTCATGTCGAAGATGCAGACGTAGCCCTCGGCGGTGGGCTCGGCCAGCACGGCGGCGTCCATGGTCAGGAACTGCGCCTTGCTGGACGAGGAGTACACGAAGTGCGTGGGGTCGGGGTTCCGGAGCGCCTGCACCATGACGCGGAAGCCCTCGGGCGTCTTCTTGGGCAGCAGGCAGAAGTAGCTGCGGGAAGTGGGGGCTGGGTTGTCGCGCGGTTTCGAGGGGGTAAACACTCCGGTGAACCTTGTACAGACTACTCCCTATTACGGGGTATTACACTTGTATTACGCATGTATTACGCCTCGATTTCGTTGAAAAATGACATTTTTTGATACTTTTGGTCCCAAAATGTATTACTATTACGCGTATTACGGCGTACCCGACTTTTCTGTACTGGGTATTACGGAAGTGTTTACCCCCTCGCGCGGTTTGTTTGACCAGAGTGTCGTTGGCGCGCTCAGAGAGGCCGACCGGCAGGCCGGTACACTCTAGTGTCTTACAGAGACAGGCTGCACCAGCATATTCTGGTGGTTTTCATCATGAGAATGAAATTCGACAAAATATCAACCCCTCCTGAGAAGCCCATCCTTACTCGCCCAGGCGCTGGGAGACTATCTTTGTGTAGGAGTTAAGATAGTCTCCCAACGTCCGGGTGAGTTTTCGAGCGCCCCGACGAGTTAGGGTGGTCTCCTAGTGTAGGAGTTAAGATAGTCTCCCAACGTCCGGGTGAGTTTTCGAGCGCCCCGACGAGTTAGGGCGGTCTCCTAGTGTAGGAGTTAAGATAGTCTCCCAACGTCCGGGTGAGTTTTCGAGCGCCCCGACGAGTTAGGGCGGTCTCCTAGTGTAGGAGTTAAGATAGTCTCCCAACGTCCGGTGAGTTTTCGAGCGCCCCGACGAGTTAGGGTGGTCTCCTAGTGTAGGAGTTAAGATAGTCTCCCAACGTCCGGGTGAGTTTTCGAGCGCCCCGACGAGTTAGGGCGGTCTCCTAGCGCCCGGGCGAGTGGATGGTTTTCTTAGGAAAGGTCGATATCTGTAAGGTGCAACTAATTTTTAGAATTAAGTTACGAAGCCAGCTGCACCACCATAACACGTAAGACCGTAAGACTTTTGCAGGCCAGGCTCCGCCAGGCTCACCCGATGCCCTTGGCCCGCTGCACCTCCTCGCAGTGCACGGAGCGCTCGGTGAACACCTCGGGCGTCTTGGTGCGCACCGACTCGTACACGCGCAGCACGGTCTTGGCGTGCTCCGCGTCGCCGCGGCACGCGTGCAGGAACGCGACGAGCAGCGAGTCTGGACAGGCCACTCAAGTCAGGGAACCCTCACCTACGAAAAACCACTGAGACGTCCAATTGCGAAGTCAAGATTCCGACAAGCGTTTTGACTGTCACCATGCCACTCAATTTACAGTGGTGGTGCTCACCGCCGATGTCCGGCAGGACTTTGTTCTCGCGGCACCAGGACCGCAGCCCCCTGACGTCAGCCGCGGTGATGTCCTTGTTCCTGGCGAGCTCGCCGTCCAGGCTCCAGGCCCTCGCCTCCGCGGCCATCTTGCGAAACACCTGCTCGATTCCGTCTTGAAAGGGAAAAGCGGTCCGTTATCCACCTCGGATGCCTCGGAATCCCCCCTCCCCCCCCCCTCCCCGCTCGTCCTTACCAGTGCCGGAGTCGACGGCGTCCTCGAACAGGTCCTGCTCCTCGGCCGACTCCTCGTCGACGGCCTCCTCCACAGCCCTGCGTGACCCGCCCATGCTTGCTGCTGTCACCAAAGGCCACGCATTCCCTGGCGGACGGGGGCCGCGAAAAAGGAAAGCTTAGTCCGGTATTCGAACCTAGGTCAGTGAACGACCTCGCCTCCCACGCGCGAACAAGGCACTGTGCGGCGGCGGCCGGTACTTCGCCACTGACACACTGGTCGCCGTCTCACTATCAATGGCCACTGCTACGCACTCTGGAGATAAGCACGGCAGCAACAACAGCAACAACAACACAGCCAGGCTCGCGGCGCGAAACCCTCGCCAGTTAGATAAGCGCAGCGAGCACAAGCAGGGCGGCAAGCTGGTGACAGGCTAACGTGAACAACTCAAGCCGGCCGAGCCCACTCTGTCCTCACCTATGTCTGCCTGTATTGCAACGCGCGCCGGCCTGTGCGCCACACTGCGGTCGCCGCCCTACAAGAGCCAGGCCGCTGGTGACCGCTGAATCCACCCCGCCCCGCCCCACCCCACCCCACCCTACCCCACCCCACCCCACCCCTTTTCCCAGGGGGTTCGCTGTTCCCCTTACCGTCCGGCCGGTGATCCTGTTAGTGCCTCCCCCATGGAGTAGTTCCCCGGGTGACGGGGAAGGCGGAACTTGAAAGAAAGGGAGTAAAACGATCCGATACACTTTCAGATTCTCCTTTATTATCTCAAAAAAGAAGGTCAACTTTTAACAGAAGTTTCTTACAGTGTCCCCCCTATTGGTCGTTAAGATCCCCCCACTGGCACAATAAAACGATTAGACACTAGGATGACGCAATGATTTTCGTTCATAGCTACATACTTTTAGAGAGCTTGAAAATCAGTTAAAATTTTGCGAATAAATGAAGCCAAATTGGTACATTAATTTAGCTTAAACTTTAGTCAGCATTTTGAACAAAAAAAACACATGAAATGAACAACATGAATAATAGATGATGAAACATACAACACAGTCTGCTCTCAATACCGTATATACACACATATATACATATGAAATTCAAGTCGTTAATAATAAATTTATTACATGAAAAGTAGAGTAAGGAGTGGGACTAACAGAGTATCTGGAAAAAGAAAAGACCATATTCTTTCCTTCTTTTCCCGAGAAATTTCCCTAAATTATGGAATTGCACCTAAAATGTAATTCATTGATACTCTGCAAAGGTTTTCTCCTCCTCCATAGACTCTGCAAACCATCTCTCGTTTGCTCCCCTAATGCGATTATGACTTATAGACCCTATTTGAGCTTTCAAAGGAATCAAGCTTCAATCTTGCAGCACTTGAGCACAGCGAGAGTTAAATTTCCCGCCATACAATGGTTCAATTAAGATAATACAAGATTTGTTGTAGTTTATATATGGGCGTGTTTGTAATGCAATGAAAATTTAATTATCAAGTTATAAGGGTAAAAAAGTGTAAGCCTTAATTTTAAAACAAAGTAGTACAAAAAAGAAATTCATTTACAAAACAAAAAACGTCTACAACGACTACGAACAGACCAGATAATACAAAAATAATCACAAGTAGTTTCTCATTTCCACTTATAAATAATGCAACAACATCAACAGCTGAAAGCGCACAAGTTTCTCCGAACTAAACGAGCAGACACCCTGTGGCTCAAATTTGAAACCAGGCTTATATCGCTTAGACCTAATAACACGTAAATAAAAGGATACTCTGTTTTGGCACGTCACTATCAGTAAGCGGGGCGCGTTGAGCGGGGCGGTTGAGCAGCCTTCAGGACCTCGAGGACCTTGGCCTTCAGTAAGGGCGCACGGCGGCGATGCCCACCCTGGGCGACGCGGCGCTGTTGGCGCGGTGCAGCAGGTCGTGGTGCCGGGGCGGCGGCTCGGCGTAGCTGTGGCGGTAGCGCGCCGAGACCTGCGCCCGCGGCGGCCCCACCGGGTGTCCCTGGTGCCCCTGGTGCCCCTGGTGCCCCTGGTGCCCCTGGTGCCCCTGGTGCCCCTGGTGCCCCTGGTGCCCCTGGTGCCCCGGGTGTCCGGGCGGGCCTCCCGGCGGCCCGGGGTCCCTGGCCGTGTCGCGGTCCAGCCCCGGGTACCGGTCGCGCTCGTCCAGCTCCTGGTAGGACCGCCGCTTGAACTCCTGCGCCAGCTCGTTGGAGTGCCGCCGCCGCTCGTCCTCCAGCACCTCGAACACGCTGCGCCGCTTCTTGTCCGCGAGGTACGCGCGCTCGCGGTCCCCGAGGTCGTCGTCGTGGTCGCGCGGGTACGGCGCCGCGTGGCGGGGAGGCCCGGCGGCAGCCCGGGGGTGCGGGTGCGGCAGCGCGGGCAGCGCGTTGCTGCTGCGGTACCGCTCCAGCGGGATGTCCAGGTCCTCGTTGTAGGGGATGCGGTAGCGCGGGTGCGGGCTGTCCTCCGGCATGGCGGGCATGGCGGGCATGGCGTCGCTCGGGTAGGGGTAGCTGCCTCGGGCGGGGCTGCGGAATCTGTCTTCGCGGTGGACGCTCCGCGACCGCGACACAGCGGCAATGCCACGAAGATCACCGCTACGGGGGTCGCCCGCCCGGGGGTCACTTCCACGAGGATCGCCTCCGCGGGGTTCTCCGCCGCGGTGGTCGCCTCCTCGAGGGTCACGATGGTTACGATGATCGCTTCCGCGGGGGTCGACCCCCCGGGGGTCCGGCCCACGAGAATCCACCCCACGAGGCTCTGCGCCACGGGGATCGTTCCGGGAGTCTCCGCCACGGCCGGGGTGCTCCGCCCGGTCCGCCCTGTCCGCCCTGTCTCCCCGGTACGCGGCGGGGTACTCGTGGCGGGGCGGGCCTGGCCGGGAGGACCCCGTCGTCCTGGCCGGCGGCGCCGCGAAGTCATCGACGTCGTCCTCCAGGGACTCCCTCGACATCCGCCGGTTGACGGCGGCGATGATCCTCTGCCGGCCGCCCATCGGCGGCGCGTTGCCGGAGAAGTCCACGTCCTCCTCCTCCTCGTCGGCGTAGTAGCGGCCGCCCGCGGGGCCGGCGGGGCTCAGGGGCGCGTCCAGCATCTCGTCGTCGGAGTCGTCGCGCGACCGCGACCAGGAAGGGCGGCGGGGCCGGGGCCGCGGCCGGGGGCAGGGGCCGGCCACCATGGCGGGGCTGATGGGGGGCTCCACGATCTGCAAGCAGCGCCAAGCAGGACAAGGTTCACCACATACTCCACCAAGCGCGGCGCGGCGTGCGACTCCGATTTGCTCCGCTTCTGCTTACCGGTGGGGTGTGGGGGGGCTGCTGGGGGGCCGCCTGCTGCGGCTGCTGGTTGGAGCGCCGCTTCTCCATGTTGAGCTGCATCACCCGCTCCTGCTCCTCCAGCCGCTCGCGCTCCAGTGAAAGGAACTTCTCCTTGGCGTCCTGCAAATGCAGCTTCGTTTAGCGCGGCCGCCTCGCCTCACCACTGCCATCCCGTCGTCCTGCAGACTTCCGTCGCACAGTGGGCTAGAAGACCGGCGGAGGCGGCGAAAACTCCAGACGCCTTTTGACTTCCAGAGTCGCCAAACGGGACTCGAATCGAACGAGTAAACCCACCAATGGATTGCTCTCCGAACGAGGAATCCATTGGTGGGGTCACACGTTCGGTTCGAGTCCTGTTAAGCGACTCTGGAGCTCAAACGCGTCGAGAGTTTTGCCCACCTCCACCGGTGTTCTGGCTCACCGTGCGTCTCTCTGTCCTTCTCGCACCTAGGCGGGACGCCCCATGAGTGCGAGAGAGACAGGGCGACGATCACGACTGGGCAGCTCGGCGAACCGCTGGCCGTGAGCACGCCATGACGTACCTGGAAGCGCTCCCTGGGCGACATGGGCCCCGACAGGGGGTGGTTGCCCGCCGCCCCTCTCCGCGACAGGCCCGCCGCGGGGGTGGCGGCGCCGCGGTGGTGTGGGGCTGGTGACAGAGACCTCGGCGGCGACCTGGCGGCGCGGGGCGACCTCGGTGACCTCGGCGATGACCTGGGCGACCGTGGGGTCCTGGGCGACCTCGCCCGCTGCCGTTCGTCAGCCGGCGGCCGCCGCACTCGCGTCCGGGACGGCAGATCCTCATCCTCGTCTCGCGGCGCGTGTCTGCTGAGGAAGCCAGCTGAACGTAAACCCACTCACACGCGGACAAACGAGCCAAGCTCGGAAGTACGTCCGGAACTACCCACCTGTCGATGGGCGGCGTGGGGCTGGCGTGTCTTCGACGGGATCCTGGCGCGCCGCCGGCCAGGGGGTGGTCACGCGCGTCGCGGGGGTCCGTCCTCGTCAGCGACCCGGGCGTGGCGGGCGTGGCGGGCGTGCTGGGCGACGAGGGCGACGGCGACGCCGGGGAGTGCACCCGGCGAGCGCGCGGCAGGCTGAGCTCCGCGCCGTGCGAGCCCCGCCACCCGGACAGCACGCCGCGGCCGCCGAGCCCCGACAGCCCCGGCTGCACCAGGAACAGCGAGTCCTCGGAAGGCTCGTTCCACTCCTCGTCTGCAACAGAACGCATTCAACAGTCAGTCACTTGCGCGCCGCGGCCGCGTGGTGGAAAGCAGTCACCTTCCATCAAAGAACCACAGGTTCAAATCCCACCACTTGAAAAAAAAAAATACTATCAGTTGAGAATAATCGTCTATTATTACGTAAGCGTTAACGTTCTTTCTAAACGGACGGGCAACCAATCAGACCCGGAGCAACGAGCCGCGGCCGCAATTTGCAGCTGCTGCTTGCAGCTGTCTGCAGCTGGGCCGAGCTGTGCAGCAGCGCGATCGTGCTCGGAAAAGTATTGCAATAAACGCTCCGGGTGCTTGCGGTGCAGGTCCATCAATGGGTGCAGTGCAGTGGAGGGGAGGGGGGACAAGGTGGGCGTTGCCTTGCGACAATGAAAATCGAGCTCACGCCCCACACGTGGAGTCCAGCGGTCCAGAGGGCAGGGAGGGAAGAGAGGGAAGGGAGGGGAGGGAGGCGAACCAGAAACAGTAAAACCCCACACAACTCATTCACGCACGACGAAGATAAAATACGGCAGCGACGTAAGCGGCCAAGCGGCGGCCCTGCATGCATGCATTGCATACCATGGCGGAGCGGAGCCGGCAGAGGCTTTCGTTCGGCCCGGTCCACCACGTAACTTGTAATACCCGACGATTTGTGTTGGCCGCTGCTAGCGCCACACACACTGACACACACACACACACACACACACGCGCGCACACACACACACACACACACACACACACACACACGCACGCACACACACGCACGGTCGGAGAGTAAAATGGCCGCGGAGATGCTTTTCGATAATTAACAGCGGCGAGTGTCGTAACGTCGAATAACGCCTCACAATGGAACGGAGTTTCTACTCCATATTTATGGCTCCGCGGGCATCGCATCGACTCGGCCTCGCTCCGCTCCGCTCTCGGTCCGAGCGGTCCGAGACAGCAGCAGTAGCAGCGGTAGCAGCCAGCCTCTTCACCGTCCCGAGTTCCTTCCGATCGGTTCCATTTCCGGTTTCATGACGACAATGGCGGCGTCTGGACTGCCCGGCTGCCCGCTCTGTGCGTGCGTGTGTGTGTGTGTGTGTGTGTGCGTGTGTGTGTGTGTGTGTGCGCGCGCGTGCGCTTGTGAGTGTGTGTGTGTATGTGTGTATGTGTGTGTGCGTGCGCGCGTGCGTGTGTGTTTGTGAGTGTGTCTGTGAGTGTGTGAGAGAGACATCGACACTCAGCCCGAAGGTGGGAATCTAACGGAACGGACTTTGGCAGTTGGACTGCGCGAGACTGCACCTCCCCGTTTACCTCTTTCATCCCAGGCGGCATCTTTGCCTCTGCAAACGCGCAGTGTTTCGCGAAAGGTTTTGCGACGGACAGACGGGCAGGCGGACAGACGTACAGACAGGCGGCAGGCCGGCAGGCCGACAGAAGATAGAGGAGAAAGGCTGGGCAGCATTGTCTCGATCAAGGTCGCTATGCACAGAATGGCCGTCTATTCACAGAGCGCTGCCTGCCGGCGCCACGGCGCGCCTAGTGGGCCCCGGCGCCCTTTGCCAGGCCGTTTGCCGCGCGTTGCCGCGTCAACCGAGTGGCCGAGGTGGAAGCAGTGGACGCACTCAAGGTTAAGGTTTTGTCCGGAGGCGAGTCCTCGAGTCCTTACAGTGGGCCTCAAGACTGATGGAGGCGACAAAAGTTTTAGACGCGTTTTGAGCTCCACAGTCGCTAAATGGGACTCGAACCGAACGTGTGACCCCACCAATGGATTGCTCTCCGAACGAGGAATCCATTGGTGGGGTCACACGTTCAGTTCGTGTCCTGTTTATAGGCTTTCGAGCTCAAAACGCGTTTAGCGTTCCGGCCGCCTCCAGCGGTGGCGCTCTGTGCGCTTGCCACTGGCCGGGCTGCGGGCATTCCGAACTGCGCTGTCGTGGCGCTCTCTCTGTCGCACTAATGGGGCGCCCCGCACGGAAGCGAGAGAGACAGAAAGCACTTGTTGATCACCACATAGCGCTGCCGCCGCGGATCTTGAGCCTGAAACGGCGGTTCTGTTCGGTTCGGCCAGTCGGAGCAGGCCAGGCCGCGCCGCCAGGCCGTTGCCTTTACGAGGCCGGTCTCGTCGCGGCCTGCAGTCGCTCTGTCTCTCTCGCACCCGCACGGCACGCCCCGCGAGTGCGAGAGAGACAGAGCGACGCGCTCGGAGGCGGCCCGCTGGACGACACGCTAGGCGGACGGCACGGACGGCACGCCGTCACGCCGTCACGCGGCCGGACTGGTTCGGTTATCGCGCTGGCGACATGCAACGCCCGGCAGGACGGGCAGGGCCGGCAGGACGGACGCTGTCTCTCTCGCATCCCTACGGGACGCCCCGTGAGTGCGACAGAGACAGAGCGAGGCGCTCGCCTGCACTGCAGGCAGGACGCGGACGGCCACCACGGCCACCGCGGTCACGTGGGCGTGGGCACTCGTCCGCTCATTTCGCAGGTTTCATTGCATGCCGCCGTACCGCGGTCGGCACCGCGACACCACACTCGGCCCGCGTCGCTACTCCCCGCGGCAGGGCCTCGAGAGGAAGTGCCCGGCGATACTCCGCGCGGGAGAGACTTGGAGCGCCGGTTATGCGGACGGTCTCCTCCACACGGGGTATCCGCGGGTCGCTCCTGATGACACTGGCCGCGCTGGCCGCTGGCAGGCCGTGGGTCCCCGGGCTGCGCAACGGGGGACCTCTCTCCTCCTCTCCACTTCGCCCGTCGCGGCAGACTGTCTCTCTCACACCTCTAGGGAAACGCCCCGCGAGTGCGAGAGAGACAGAGCAGCGTTAGGTAGGAATGAAGCGGGCCCCGCAGCCCAGATGAAGTAATCGGCATAACGGTGGGAACTGGAGCCTTTGGGCGCCGCCCTCACAAAGTCACAAAGGCCGGCCAGACACGCGCCTCTCGGCCTTTCGGGCTTTCGGACCGCGGCGATACCCCGTGACTCCTTTGCGCGCGGAGTAGCGACACGGAGGGGGGAATTTCGAAACGGGGCGGGCATTTAAATCCCCGGAAGACGAGGCTGCCAGGCGTGGATACGTACAGCGGAGGGGGAAGGGGTTTTTGCCCCCCTATAGCCCCTAGATAGCCGTCTGAAAGGTAGGAAAAAGAGCTACTTTGCCCCCGTAAGTAGGCAAAAGATGTTACCACCCCAATTAGGCCGCCTCTGGATCCGCCACTGGAGACTGCCTGCAAAGAAGGAGAGGAGCAGAAGAAGAAGAAGAAGAAGAAGAAGAAGAAGAAGAAGAAGAAGAAGAAGAAGAAGAAGAAGAAGAAGAAGAAGAAGAAGAAGAAGAAGAAGAAGAAGAAGAAGAAGAAGAAGAGAAGGGAAAAAAGAGGGAGCCCTTAGCGGTGAACCCTGACGTCGCCGACAACGTTTGCATAATGAAGTCATATGCAGTCATACGCATGGGGACCGCCGCGCGCTATCTCACTCATACTCAAACACGCACACACTCACACAGGCGCGCGCAATTATGGGGCGTAGTTTATGTTCGCCGTGCGGCACATTCTTGAACAGGGTGACTGAACCGGTCCGGGCGCTGCAGCGCCGCTGCCTTTGACAGCGGCTGACAGGCATTTGCCAGCCTTTTGGCAGCCTTTCCCCGAGTCGAGGAGTCGTCGTCGACTCCGCGGGGAGGGAGGGGGAGGGGGAGGCGCCGCTAAGTGCTCCACTAGCAAATCATGCCGTCCGGTGGTAATGAGGCACGAATCTAGCATGTCTGTCTGTCTGTCTGTCTGTCTGTCTGCCCGTCCGTCTGCCCACGCATTCGCATTCCGTGTCGACATTTTCGCATGGCTCCCCTGCAGTCGCTGCAGGTGGCAGACGTGTCGCCACCCCGCCGCGGGGCGTCCGCGTGGTTCGCGTCCCGTGGGGCCTTCTGGCCGCGACGCCGCGACGCCGCGACGCGCCTCCGACGAGAGATCCCATAACACACTATTTACCGATAGGGGCGACGCAGCGAGACGGCCGAGACGGCCGGCCCACTTCACCTGCGCGGCTCTCTCCGTCTCTCTCGCACGCGTGGGGCGTCCCGTGTAGGTGCGAGGGAGACAGATCGACGACAACGACTCTCGGAATCAGTCTGCTGGGCGCTGCCTGGGCGCTGCCTGCCTGGGCGTTGCCCAATGCACTGACGCTGGACGATCCGAAGGGGCCCGGCCCGGCGGCCCAGGGCAGGGGGCCAGATCACATCTGCCTATAAGGAGCCCCCGCATTAGTTGCCCCCCTCTTGCATCAGGCACTACAATACCTGCTGACAGTGCAGCAGGGCGTAGTTCCTGGCCGATCTGCCTTACGTCAGAGTCACACTTTGCGGGCCACACACATACGCACACTATCGCACACTCACTCACTCACTCACACACACACACACACACACACACACACACACACAGACACACAGACACACTTGCACGCGGCATGAAATTGCCAAGGCCACAGGTGTCGGGTCGAAAATTGGCCGCCGACGATCCCCCTCAAGGCGCTCAAGGCCCTCAGCGTGCTGCCGTGCCGTGCCGCCATACGACGGCGTTGCAGTGCAGCAGCACCGCGATGACAGCCTGACGCCTTGATCTTTACGTCGCCGTCAACAACAGCAACAACAACAGGCCGACAGTTTAAACGAAAACACACGCAAACACGGGGAGGCTACCACTCTGCCCCAGTCCGTTCCAGTCTGCGGACTGATTCCGAGAGTCATTTCCGCAGCTCTGTCTCGCTCGCACTTATGGGGCGTACCGTGTGCGCGAGAAAGACAGAGCGACGAAAATGACTCCGGAATCGGTGTGCTGGAGCGAGGAGAAGGTTCACTCGCATCAACGCTTGCTCGCTCCCCGCTCGTGATCTGAGCGTTAGTTCCGAGCGATCTCTCTCTCTCTCTCCCTCTCTCTCTCTCTCTCTCTCTCTCTCTCTCTCTCTCTCCTCTCTCTCTCTCTCTCCTCTCTCTCTCTCTCTGTCCCTCAAACCGAACTAAGC